CTACAGCATTGCGGAGGAGTGATATGAGACCATGGCGTTACGTTCGACATTGCCTAGCAATGCACATGTTACCTTTGACATTTATCATTACATACTTCTTAGACCTCCCAGATTAGTGTGCGGCAGGCTGATACGTATTTAGAACATGTGGACGCAGGACTGGACCTTGGATCAAACCAATCTGGATAGTTTTATAGCCTACAAATCAAGCATAAAAAAACCAACAAGAGTATAACCAAAAAGGGGAAGCTGAGAAGCTCCACTATAAAGACTATCTATTCCCCGATCAGAATGGGCTTCCGCTTCTCGCTGAATGCCTCCAATGCTGCATTGCGATCCTTGGTCATGAGAACGGAGTCGTACGCCGCATTCTCAACCGCCTCACAGCTATACGTCAACGCACTGATAGCCGCTCGCACCGCCAACGGCCCAGCATTGCATATATTCTCTGCCAATTGAAGCCCAGCCTCCAAGACGAGACCCTTCTGCGCCGCTTCATGACCGTCAATCCCCACGAGCCGATTACACAGTCCCATGGCAGCAGCCTCCTTCGCTGGCACCAACCTCCCCGTCAAGACCATGTCCAGCGCATTGGAGACACCAACAATATTGGGCAACCGGTACGTTCCCCCGGCACCGGGGATAATTGCCAGTCTTGTCTCGGGCAACGCCACAATGACATCAGCTGCAAAGACACGCAGGTGGCAGCACAGAGCCAGCTCAAGGCCCCCGCCCAGCGCCTTTCCCGAAACACACGCAATCGAGGGGATAGGCAGCGCTGCGAGCCGCGAGAACACGGCGCGCAGGCTAGTCAAGAAGGACTTGGTTTCAGATTGTGTCATTTGCTTCCTTTCTTTGAGGTCAGCTCCAGCGCAGAAGACACCGTCGACCGCGCTGGAGATGATCAGGGCGCGCGTCTTGTTTGGGTGAGATTCATGGTGAATCTCTTCAATTTCACTGCTAAGCTCGCGGAGCATTTGCCAGGAGATGGCGTTTTTGGCATCCGGACGATGCAGCTGGATGATTTTGATGGTACCGGCATGTGGTGCGAGGACGCGGGTTACCATTAACGTAGAGAGAGTTTTTGTGTTGGAGGGGACGAGGCTGAGGTCGGTGAGCCCCTTCGTTGCCGCCACATCGAGCGACGTCGGAGGGTGGGGACCATTGGCTCCGTCACCGGGTAGCTCAGTTGCAAGCGGGATATCTTTGTTTGAGAGGTCACTGGGAATCGGCGTGCTATCATGCTGACTGACAGGGCGCCGCTCATGCTCTACCGCTTCGACGTCCTCCGCTGGCTCTTTCTCCTGGACGTCAGCAACGGCAGGCTTATCTGCTGTGAACCATGCAAAGAACGGGTCATCCCGCAGACACTCGATCGTGCGCTCCTGCTCCGTCACCATGAACTCGCAGCTCCCATCCGGCACCCGGGGCAGCACGATGACAGCGCCTGCCTGAGTGCCCCTCGCCGGGAGGCGCAGCGCCTTGATATGGCCGTCGCCAAAGATCGGGCCAAAATCCATGGCGTGCAGGTCCATCTTGAACAGACTGGTCAGGATAATCCCCGATGTCGCCATGGATTCAAGAATGTTGAGCCGCGTGTGGGCTTCGAGCGCCGTCCGCTCCGCGTACCCGACCAGATCCCGGAACTTGTCGCCTGTCAGGGCCCTGAGCTCGGTGCGCAGGGCCCGAGCCGCTTCGCCAAGGCCGGTCTCTGGATCCGCAAGCGCAGACAGCGCAACTGAGGACTTGGTCATGTAGATGACATTGCCGAAGTAGGTTTCGGTGATGTTGAGGTGCCGGCGGCAGTCCACGGGCTGCGCGACGTAGGTGGTTGCGTCCGCATCGAGGATGCCCGCGCGATGCCGTGCGACCATGATGCTGCGCCAGATGAAGGCGGATATAGCGTCGTTGGTGGAAAACCAGTCTTCCGGGCCGTGGGAGGTGGCGGAGAGCGCTTTTTTGAGCTCGGAAAGGGCCGTGGCGCTGATGCGGAAGGTGTGGCAGGAATTGTCCACATTGTGAATCTGTGCATGGGCGTTGGACGGCGACGATGTCCACGCTGCATGGTCCTCGATGGCTCCAGGAATCCCCTGGCCCGACACGAAGGCTGTCCGGTCAGAACGGTACACTTCGGTTCTTTGCTGAAGAGGATGACCGGTCTCGCCGGACTGAGCCTTACAGAGCTCGTCGGCGAAGATCTTAATGATCTCGCTCACCCCGCGGCCGTCGGCAGCATTGTGGATGATGGAAACGACGAGGAGCAGGCCCCCCCGGACGAAGTTGGCCTGGAAGCGGCAGACGTCGACCCGCTCAGCGTTAAAGTATCCGACCTCTGGGAGGGGACAGAGCTGCTCAGTGTTCAGGAGATGTTGAGAGAAGTTGGCCTCGGCCAGGTCTGCAAAGCTGAGCTCATCCGACAGGTCCTTGACGATGAGGCGGGCGGCGCCTTCGGGGACGATGTTGCGAAGCCAGGGTCGTCCTCCTTGGTCTGCCGAAAATGGAACAACCGAACCTGCCAGAACGGGGAAGCGCTGGACGGTGTGATGGAAGGCGATGTGGAGGTAATCGGTCAACTTCTCTTTGTCGGTGTGGACGGGGAGGGAAAAGCAGAGGATGCGCTTCGAGTGTGTCGGAGGCAGTATCCTGTCCCAGTGAGAGATCTTAACCTCAAAGGGCGGACACTCAACAGTAAAGGTTTGTTCCATTTCAACAACACTGAAGACTGGGCAAGATGTGAAAGGATATTACAGTTGGAGTCGCACACTCAAGGCGTGTCGCTGCTGAGCTGAGGTGTCTGCTCATTTATTCCCTCTCATGTCCAGCATTCCGTCACTGAGAATATCTCCGGCTGTATCACCCTGCCAGTTCTTGACTCGCGCTCTCATGCACACGTCTCGAAGCTTGGTACCAAGGTCGATCCATCCACATGTAACATGTAGAGCAGGTATTGGACCATGAACTGCCGAAGTCCATACGATGACGAGCTAGAAATGTCTCTGACCCTTGTCGGGCACTTCATCGGCACTTAATTTGCTGTCGGCTCCTTGTTATCTTCTCATCCTCGTCGTTCGCCGGATTCACTGGTTTGTCCAAGACACACTGCAGCCACTCGGGTAATATCGAATCGAATCCCTGCACCTCATGGAGGCACCGGGTCCTATTGAGCAACAAAAACGTGAAGGATTCATCTGGCCTGTCAAAACGCAAAGTATCATTCTTGAAGTGTCAAACACAAGCTTGTAGTGAAATATTTACAAGAACGAGCCCGATCTTTGAGGCAGTCTGCCAACACAGGGCTACGTCCTAGCCTACCCAAAGTGGAACAATATCGATCTCTAACCCGACTATACGAGGCCGGATTAAGCGAAGAAAAATACCCCACGTAACAGAGGAGATAAGCACTGGTCCGTACCAAAAAGCTTGACAGGTGGCACATTTGAGGGTTGGTTTATTGGCTGCGCCGCAGCATCAGAATACACCTCAGGCCGCATTTAGATACTACGGCCATACAACTGGCTTTATAACTAATTGTACGGTCATGATTGGTTGAGCAAGACGAGATTGCCCTGATAATCCGCGTAAGACGACTAGTAAGCCACTAGAGACCTTTTGCACTGCCAAGCTTGCTTTGGGGGTTGGTTCTAGTCAGGAATAATAATAGATACGGAGTAGGTGCCGTCCTACCACTGATTTTCACGGCCTGCCCCCTAGTAAGATAATTGAAAAACAGATTCAGATGATCCCCCGAGTCTAAGCTTCTAGTACTTCCGTAGATCACCAGTGGCGTACCCCATGAATATATGTTTTGATTCAGAAGCCAGCTGTTGACTAGACTGCCAGCTAAATTACTCTGCACCTTACTCTCCAGGGGAATATACGACGGAGTGCGTATATGAAGTATCTAAAAGCTAATTCTAAAGCCATAAAGGTGGTGAAATGAGGGGTTGCGGGCTAATCTTGATGCTTTGACAGCGTATACTACCATATCCAGAATCACTATATGAATGAAAGATGCTTGGAATAGCTTCACTACACACCACGCTAGACCAAATCCAGACACACTTGAGCTCTTTATCAAGTGCAAAAGTACGCTTCATTTGCGAATGCAGGATACAGGAAGTTTACCAGACCTGCACTCGGGGTACTGCACATTTTAGGTGCTAGCAGGAGGCCTGAGTTGAGCGGCTATCCCTGATATGGCGATTGCAAAGCAGACTTGGCGCTGCAAAAAGTCTCGACTAACTATCAATATCCAATACCGCTACTCTAAAAAGGTGCTGGACGATGTACTCTGTAGTCTACGGATTACGTGTCCCTCTAATGGTGGTATAATATTTTCAACTAACCAACAGCGGCCTGCTGTGGCCGCACGGTGACTGTGTGGGCGGACGCAAGCAGGAGATCATCATTTGGTGGCATGGATGGCTTCATCCGCCATCACCAACGAGAGAGATGTCCGAGGCTCTAGGTAAAGCGAGGAATGCGTCGTGCGAAGTACGATTGCGCCCTCCTTCCTCTCCAGTCCTCTGTCTCCGAGAAACTGCACGAGTTGTTGAAAAAGTACACGCAAGAGCATCCGAATACATTCGTATATTTATCCGGAGACCGATGGATAATGCATTAGGGACGGCACAGCAAGCGCTTAGCGATTGCGAAGGTGATATAGAACACGAGATTTGAACAAGGGTTCAGATTAAATCCTCTCCCCACCTGCCACTAGCGTTGACTACGTGAAGAAGCGCCATGTGCAACACCATGTACGGCTCCATGTCCCTGGCTGTCCTCATGGCACAGAAAAAAGGAATCCTTGAACAGTGGGGCAAAACAATGGCTGTTATTGTAGCCTGCAGTTGCTTGCGCCATGGTGATAAAAGTTCGAAAGAGCCCCTGCTTTTCCTAATCGTGCAAGAAAGAGAGGCATTGCCATGAACTACGCCATGGAAAAAGCACAATGTTCATGTCTTAAGTATGCAACAAGGGCCTGGCAGCGCATCGACCACATGGTCGAAATCAACCTCGAGATCATCGTCATCGCTACCACGCAGACAATCGACTTCGCCCTGCAGTCGCAGAGATGTCCGTTACACAATCTCTCGCTCGTCTCCTCCGCGACGGAGATTCGGGACGTTCTCCTGCAGATCTACGAGAGGCTGGTCTCTTTCCTCCGCATCGCCGTGACAACGTATACATATTCTGACACGACTCCCTTTGAACAAACCTCCTTTACCCCCGCCGGACAGCCGAAGCCGTGGTCTACTGATTGCCTTCAGTATGGATCGGCGCAATCGGTGCAGGATAAACCGGTCTCCAGCGGAGTGGTGTGCAGGCCCTCCAGGATGGCATTGGGAGAGCACGAGTTGAGCGATGAGGAAAGCAGATACTTGGCGCTGGATATGATCTGTCGCTCCCTATGGAACCTGACCAAGGCCTTGCGACAGATGGATAGGAGCGATAATGCCAATCTAAGAAAGGCTGATTCGAGGGTAGTTACACTTTTATTCCAAGTGACGCGGTTACTGGATAGTGTCACGGCCAATTTACATGTGTGGAAGGCTTCATGATGGGATAGACGATAGACGAGTAGAATGCGTTCAACGAAAACGAATTTCCTTTTTCATTTTCTGTTCTATATGCCTGCTGCCCCACTATCATCAATCCCAAACTTGCCGCTCCAGACTCGCGGTGAGAGTCATAAACCCAATGAAGCGCTCCACGCGACCCAACACATCCTGGAGTAGGTCTTCCGTCAGCTTGGAACTGGTATTGTTTCCGTCTGTTTGCCTGAGCAGTTGTTCCAGCTGCTTCACCACGCCTCGCTGCCGGTCCAGATACATCCGCACCAGATGTCGCGAGAAGGCCCGCTTAACAGATTCATTGAGTTGAACAGTCCCAAGTACTAACGGCCGCTTCGTGTGCGGGAGCGCGCTGCGCCAGTCACTGGCATCCGTCAACGACGAGCCCCGACTCATGGGCGACTCAGCACTCGGTATACAGCCTCTGTCGCCCTCACTCTGGCCGTCCTCCTGAGACCCGCCGCTGCTATTCTCGAACAGGCTGAGGACATTGGCCACCACGAGCGTCAGAAGTACCAGCGTCTGTCCGCATCCCGTGGCCGCGAGACAGGACTGGCAGCGGAGGATCTTGTCCCGAGCGCGGCTGACTTGGTTTTCAAGGTTGAGGAGGACGTCTAGGGCCACGCTGGTTCCGAGGGCCTGGAGGTCGGAGAGCTTGGTCAGCTGGCTGGTGAGAGCGCCGTAGCAATGGGATGTGCAGCGGGTACTGAGGAGGGACGGATTCGACTCGCCGATGAGGGAGGCGGAGGGACGCGAGGCCAAGGTCGGTCGACGGGGAGAATGTACGGTGGGATGCCCCGCAAATAGAGAATAGTTGCTGGTAAGTGGGGAGAAAAGAGGTTCCACCTGCGCGGTGGGACCAGGGTCGTCTAGGCATACAGGGGACAGCCCGCTTCCCCAGATACGGGGCTCTGTGGAACCGTAATACTGCCCTTGCGGCGCAAGGTCCAGCTCTTGGAACGCTGATCCCTCAATTATACCCTGTAGCGTAGCCCAGTCAACCTCCCCTATCCCGTACTCAAGGCTGCTGGCTAGACTCGCCCCAATTCCTGAGTCGGACATGTTCTGGTCGAGGGACAATGCAGAATCTCCGGCAGATGAAGCGGAATTGTTGCCTGCATGGAGTTCCTCCAAAATGGAGCTGGCCCTGCTCCCTGGTGCTGGAGTCCCAAAGTCATTCAATACATGGCTCGGGTTGACACTGCTCCCCAGCGGTTCACCCAAAACATTCGGGGGCAGAAGCGGTTCCGTGCCTCTTGGCGAGTGTTCAACAGGAAGCTGTGGACTGTGCTGCTGTTGAGTCTTCTTCGGTTTTCGGCCGGGCTTTGCAGCGCGTTCTTGCAGCTGGCCCCTGGGCTCGGTCAATGCGCCTAGAGCTTTCGCAGAGGGACGACCGATCTTGCGATATTGGCTGTACACACACTGGCGACCGTGTTGAGTGCACCTGGCACATGCTGGTCTCGTCTGGCTACACTTGACCTTGGTGCTAAGACACGAGTCGCATGAGGACCGAAACTTCACCTCGGACATGGCAGGAGGGTGATCAATTCTGACCATTTACAGCTATCTTGGATTATCAGTAGCGGTGCTTGCCTGGCATATTTATTATTGGTAGTATATTGCGGCATACAATGGCGACCAAGGCGTACTTCGTCATTGTGGCTCGGATGCAGGTTCGTATTCGCGTAGCTTTGCAGGATTATCTTCTCTTTGCGATGATTGGAAGTGTAACAATTTGGGTGATGCGATATCGTATAACCCCTCTTCTCCGTTGGTTAGCCAGTTGTTCCAGAGTAGGGGGCGGACTGGGCTGGGCCTAACAAGGTTTCAGAGCCAACTATTATACCACAGAGCCCTTTGTGCTTAGCTGCACCGTCAACTTCCCCGAGACTCGTCTGTTTGTGGGAGCGAGTGTGTTATATTCGGGCATGTATACCAATTATTCTGGCAAAGGAGGGTGCGAGGAGACCATCTTTCAGTTTAAGAGGAGACCCAGCACATCCAGATAAACGTCGCCAGGCGATTTTCCTTTCAGTTAAACGGATAGTCACTATTCCTGGGTTACATCGTTTCTTCAAAATCACAAGGGGATAGATAGCTGCGGGGGGATCAGATCGCAGAGCCAAGAGACTCAAGACCAACTAAGAGTTCTTAGACTCGGGGCCAAGAAGCTGCCACAATACTATACCACTAGACTAAATGAGTGTCCACACGAGGTACACATTAGTCTAGTGGTATAATATCTGCACAGAGGCTCCAAGCGCCATAAGTTCTCGATATAGCAATGGAAGGAAGATCTGCAAGGCGAACTCAAGAAACAAATCGATCAACCTGGACGAACCCGTTCCATGTGTCTTTCTTGAACTCCCACGAATGGGAGCGCAAGAAAGGAGCCGAGCCCTGCCGCTCGGCTCCTTTCTTCCCTCTGACCCCTGCCAGAATGTCGAATCATAACCTGCCAAGAGAGGCGTGGCTGCAGATGCAAACACTGGCTTTTGGAGACGAGGCCCAACCTGTCACACAGACTGATCGACCCTCCCGGATTCTGGACGAATCAAGCAAAAGTGGGTATTCCTCAACTGTTTGTTTTGCTGTGGATAAATTGCAACACGTCGCAAGAGGCAGGGGTTTTCTTCCCATCCCCTAGTCCCCCAGAGATTGCAAACATGCCCGAATAGGTAACTGGAGCAGCTTGTCATGATGAGAGGAAAGACTAGAAAGGGCAGCTCTTGGTCTCCACGGAGGCAGACTTGTAAATAGAGAAAATCCTTTCCTCCGCCTGCAGTCAGGAATACGTATACAGTCAACTCAAAACCATATCGACTGTAGCAGACACGATCCAACCATGTCTGAAACAAAGGATGCAGTCCCCGCAACTAATGCCTCTTGCAGTCAAGAAACAGGGGCTGCCGGTTCTCCGTCCGATGATGACACTATCGATGTGGCGGGAAAGAAAGAGCCAGAAGCAACACAAGCACCGCCTGCTGGTCCTCCTGCGGTCAAGTACCCGGATCCTCTACTAGGGGCCGTGCTCACGGTTGCATTGCTCCTGGCAATGTTTCTTGTCGCCTTGGACATGGTGAGAGTTGGTCTTGATGTTCGATGGCTTTACGGTCACTAACCAACGTTCCCAAACTCCCAGAGCATTATCACCACTGCGATCCCTACTATCACCAAAAGGTTCCACAGTCTCGACCAAGAAGGTTGGTACGGCTCTGCGTTCTTCTTATGTCTGGCCACCTTCCAGGCCTTCTGGGGGAAAGCGTACAAGTTCTTCCCCCTCAAAACCGCCTTTCTCACGGCCGTTGGGGTCTTCGAGCTCGGGAGTCTGATTGCCGCCCTCGCGCCCAACAGCCCAGCCCTCATTGTGGGTCGAGCCATCCAGGGTGTGGGTGGTGCGGGCGTGACCGGCGGTGTTTATACCATCCTTGCCTTTATCACGAGGCCTAAATACCTACACGCCGTCTTTGGCGTCACCAGCGCGGTCTGGAGTGTGTCTTCCGTGCTCGGTCCAATCCTGAGTGGGGTCTTCACGCAGTATGTGACGTGGAGATGGTGTTTCTGGGTCAACCTGCCCATTGGCGGCGCCGCCTCGATTATTCTCCTGCTTCTGTTGAAGACTCCCCCTCACTCACGCGTGGCCCACACCACAATTGACAAGATCCCCACTCTGTTCGACTTTCCAGGAATGGTGGTCCTTGTGGGTGGAATGGTGTGTCTTCTTCTCGCCCTCGAGGACGGTGGTGTCAAACATCCCTGGCACAGCAGTGTCCCGATCGGATTGCTCGTCGGGTTCGGGCTCCTCATGATCGTGTTTGTCCTGGTGGAATGGAAGCAGGGCGAAGGGGCCATGGTCGTCCCCCGCATCATCAAACGCCGAAGCATTCTCGTCCTCGCCCTATTCAACCTGACCGCGCAGGGGTCCGGATTCGCGCGGGTCTACAATCTGCCCATCTTTTTCCAGGCCGGTCAAGGCCAGTCGCCGTCCGAGTCGGGTATTCGCACACTGCCCACCGTGCTAACCACTTGTAAGTGCCGCCCTTCCCTTGTTCCGTGCCGGCGTCGAACATACCCCTCACCCCCTCCAAACCAGCCATCTTTAGTTTCGTCGGATCCATCCTCCTTGGGAAGGTCGGCTTCTATCAGCCCTTCCTCATGCTAGGGGCCATGTTCGTCACGGTTGGGACCGGACTGATCTACACCATGGGCCCGGCTGCCACGGCAGGCCAATACATCGGCTACCAGGTGCTGGCCGCTATCGGCTCCGGACTCGTTATCCAGCTCAATGTCATCGTGGCCCAGGCAATCACTCCGCGCGTGGACATGTCCATCACGCTGGCGACTGTCCTTTGTGAGTCCACTCCCGCTCCCGCATTCCCTGGTTGTACTCTAATAGTCACAGTCTTCCAATTCATCGGCGGCACGGTCGGAGTCTCAGCCGCTACTAACATCATGAACAACGTCCTCATCAACACGCTGACCAAGGAGAGCCCCAACATCTCTGTCGCGGACGTCCTGGCCGCTGGTTCCACGGGGTTATCGCGTGCGTTCCCTCGCCAGGAGGATTTCGACGTGGTGGTGCATGCGTACATGAACGGGATCAAGGCCGGATGGATCTGGTGTGTTGCACTGGCGGGGTTGGCATTCTTGGTCTCCTTTGGCGCTGAGTGGAAGAGTGTGCGGCCGGAAGATGTGAAGAAGAGACGCGAGCAAAAAGCGGCGGCTGCGTCCGCGAGTCCTTGAATGCGCCTATATCATGTTGTGGATGAACTCAGAACCCTTGCAATAGTGCCTGTGAATATATCCAAACTGTCAGTTGCTAAGATAGAGCATTAACTATAAACTCCTAGCTTTATGTAGAATTCTGACTCGAATACTTGGATGAGGCAATCTCTCCAGACTCCAGTCAGCAAGAAAAGAATGAAGCACCGCGATGGGGAGGAGGGCCAGGACAATTAGTACAGTAAGATAGGGCTCCAGGGAGGTAGTCCTGCATTATATGACTCTCTGTCGGCCTAACATCTCATACAAAGGTGATCTGTTGTTTTGTAGGAGCTTGGGTTAAGCCCTTAAAGAACTTTGGATTAGTATATGTATCTCTTTGCCTTTCTTATGGAACAATAAGATCTTGCCTAGTACAGGTCAAAAGTCTGAGCCCGGACTCCTTCAAAATCCAAAGCCTCCCCGTGCATAATACCATGTATGTAAGCTTCCCCCACCAGCTGATAAATATTCTTTTGCTCGCTTCTCCTCAGACAAAATGGAACAACTCCACCGTACAGAAGGACAATAGAGTCGCCCTTCCTCGCCGTTCCCGGAACAAGTCCAAAATAACCTCGTTTCGTAAGACACACTACGGACGGCCGAAACCTTTCAGAAAAGTCAATGGCCGTGAAAAGAAACAACCATAACTCCTCATGCAGCTGAGAAAGCCTCTGCTTCATGATCTCCGCACGAGAATACTTCTCTGTGAACTGTTTTTGGGAGTCGTCCTTCCTCAATTCCATATACTCTGCTAACGCCTGGAATGATGCCCGGAAAGCCTGGCCTAGCCAATCTCCCCAGGGTGCTTTCTTTGCATTACCAATCGGTAGCTTCCACTTTAAGTCCTCGATTGATTCTCTCGTCAAATACGAGGATCCGTGCTTGTCGATGAACTCGAAAATGTCTGCGATGTAGTCCAGCGCGTCATCGACCTCGGACGTGCATTTCCCTAATTTCTCGATTTCATCGACGAGGCAGCCGTCAATCAGAAGAATCCTGTCATCTTTATCATCTTTTGGTGCTAAATGTGCATTTTCTTCCATCTTTCCCGCCGCACAGAATTCACGCTCTGGATGCCACGATGTGATCGTTTTCGGATACGGATCCGCTGTCCAGTCTGGAATCCACGATGGAAAACGTTCCGGCTGAGACGAAATTCGACCTCGATAAAGTAGAGTAGCAGTCTTCTTACGATGGACAAACTCTGAAGCGTACCGACAAACGATATCTTCCAATGAGGACTTGTAGTCGGGCTTGAGCTTTGGGCTGTCTGCTGCGTCTGCCGCAACATTCAGCAACGTAAATAGCCTGTCGCGCTTGAAGGTCGCTTTTGCATGATGAAATAATTCAAAGAGATCGAGAAGATTGTATGTTTTCTCTAATTGTCGATATCCGTGTCGAGTTTCACCAAGGCTGAGTATCGTGCTCATATCGCGCATGGTGGGAATGTCTAGGGACTTTATTGACTTTTCCGCGTGTGCCTGACAGTTCTTCACGGCTTCGTAGAGGTCCTCCCACCGGATGTGATCAGAACCACAGTGTACAATGAGATCTCTCGCTAGGATCACCTCCTGAATTATCCAGGATCGCATGAACCAGGGTCTTTGGAAAAGCTTGCTGATGGCTGTCCATTTTTCTTGGCCAAAGGCTGATATAGCGTTCTCTTTCTTCGGGTCATTCATGGTTCGCAGCGATTTAATTGCAAGCTCACTTTGATCGGCCCTTTCCCCTACCCATCCAAATACTTGCACCGCCTGCTGGAATATTACCGGGAGTAAGCTAATCTGTTGCACCTTCTCGGGTTTGTCCGTCTGGTGGATTGAAATGGCATCAGCCCATACGAGGACAGTCTCATCCAACCTTCGTACCTGTCTTAAGGCAGAGTACAAGGACGCGGGAATAGGTATGTCGCCTTCCTCAGTCCGTATACGATACGGTTTTAGTGCTGGCCCCCAGGTATATGAGACAGCTATGTATTCATCTCCAGCGTCCAGGGATGTGGGGAAAAGAATCCCTTCAAGTGGACTTTCCTTTTTGCCTGGGAACAGCTTCAACAAACGGATGCCTTTGCTAGGTTCCAAAGGTTGGTACTTATAGCCGTCTCTCCATTCGTAGTCCGTGATGTTAAAAGAGGAGGTGTCTGAGGAAGCGTCCATTAGTGCTGCAAGGTAATGATCACCTTGTGCAGTAAGATCCAATTTCCCTGCGGCGTACAGATTCCATGGATTGACGTAAAAGGCCATATCCGGCTGATCATAGATATTGTATACTCGTATGAGCACGAAAACTTCGTTCTTCGTTGTTTTCATTGAGATTTTCCGAGCCTTCATCCAATTGTTAGCAACGTAAGAGATTCGTTGTGAGACATAATAAGTTCAGCACTGGCGTTTTACTTACCATGTCAAAACGCTTTTGATGGAGCTGGAATGAAGCATGCAGATCTCCTGCAGTAAGTGTGTACGTCTAACTGGTATGTGACAGGTCTGTTATTCCAGTCTTTGGCTTGCTCGTACCCATATTGCACAAGGAACTCTGTAAACTTGGCCGCATCAGGCAGTGTGAATGTGGCTTTTGTGTCGTCTCTGTTGTAACCCACAGGCGATCTCGAGGGACTGGTCCAATGCACATCCGGTTTGTAATAATCAGGAAACTCTCTCGAGAGAAACTTTGCAACCTGCATTCAGGCAGGATTAGTATGATAGAACCATTTACATCTGACAAGAATAGGACTTACAAATATCTCGCCTGAGAATGCTTCCTCCGCTTGGACCGGGTCTGGCAAAGTAACGAAGACAGTTGTAACTTTGGTGGTATTATCAACATGTACACGGCCAGTATGTGTGATAATGTTCTTATCGAGACTGATTTCGTCAACAACCCCATCCAGGTAGACAACTTGGGCTAATTCCTTTCGAGTTGTGCGTTTGACAAGGCTCCTTGTGAAGTCGCGCAGAGAACGATCCGGAAGTCCAGGGTCCACTATGTACGGTGCGGATTGAGGGGATCGAGATCGAGATTGAGATTGAGATTGAGACTGAGATTTATAGTGCTGTTCCCGCTCAGGACCCCCAACGAGGATTGGTTCGTGGCTCTCTTTCTTGACGTCAACAACTTGACGATATAAAGAAAGAATGGTGCCCTCAGCGAGCCCGCCTTGATAAGTTGTCTTTTCCTTTGTGGAGCCCGACCGCACGAATCTCAGGAGCCTTGACGGAAGGCTATTAGGAGGTGGGTCTGAAGGCTCGGATATAGGAGATTCAGCTCGTAGACCTGATTTCAGACTATGGCCGTTGGCGGACTCTGACTCGTCGGTTCCCTCCACTGTCCAAGACGAAGAACTGGCAGATCTTCTTCTTTCGGAAATCAGTGGCTCTCTCTGCACTGAACAGTTGCTACTGCTCCTCCTATCGTTCGGTGGCTGTGACGAATCTTTTTCTACGGTAGTATCGTTGATAGAAGCTGTAGTCTCTGCTGGCTGTTCCCCTGTCGATTCCGGCTTTGTATTTTTCTCTTGTGCGGAAGAGACATGATGTTCCGTCTGCTCGCTATCTGAAGATGACGATGTGCTTTCCGCCTTTTGTCTGATCCCTTGTATACTTGCCTGGTCAGTATTTTGGTCAAAGACTTGATCGCCCTCCTGGCCTGATGTTGGACTTATCCGCTTCACGACCTTTGTTCCCCTTGAAGCAGGCATATATGGTTTACTATGCTGGGATTGCTCCGGTAGTGACCACTCCTTATCGTGAGGAAACTTGTGGAACGCAAGCGTCTCTTCAATGTATTGTAAGTCCGCGTCATTCATTATGATCCACGCCAATTTCCTTTCCTGTGGACCTATAATACCACAAAACCTCGAGAGCTGTTCACTGAGATCAACTGGAAATCGCTTCTTAGCAATGGTATTGGTTGCCACATAAACATGGAGGCCATCGTCTTCCTCCTTCAGGAAAGATTGTATGGTCAGGGTGTTGCTGGTGATTATTCGCTGGCCCAGTGGACTTACTACTGTCCACTCCGATGTCAGCTTGCCTGCTTGAAATAACTTAATGTTCTTCAGGCAGTGCAAAATTATGCCCAACCTAGGGGTTCTGTCGGAGATCAGCCTAGTAGCATCTGCGGTTAACCATATTCGTGTCTCTCAGCGTTCAACTTAGCTGTTGCAGAACGTGCACTTACCGACGGATAAATCTGATCCTATGGTGGAAATGTGCAGTCTCCAAACTCAACTGTTGCCGGCCTTCATGTTTAAGAGACTTTTTGGCCCAAGTGGACAACATCCGGCTTTGTAGTTCAAATGCGTCCATGATGGAAGGCATCCTCAGCAGATCCACGTAATCGAAAGCAAGCAACGCAACCTGGGTACCAGCGCTCTCTCGAAGCTCCCACTCATCTGCAATTCACCAAGGTGAGTGCCCGTACCAATCAGCTAGACGAAACGGGCCAGATCCACCCAAAAAGTTATAGACTGGGAATATCTCGGATCCTAGCCCAATGCCCTTGACTTTCTTTTCTCCGTTCTTCTTCAAGAGTCTGTCTGCGTCTTGGAAGAGCTCCAGTATATCCTGCAGGATAGTTGGCCGGCAAATCTCAATCTCCTTAAGTATGCGCCCTGGATCGGCATCCTGGACTCCCAAAACCTCATGAAAAAGATGTTTGCAATCTTTATACACCTTCTCGAGTCTTGGAGTCTGTAGGAGACTGTCGGGGCCCTCCCAGACACATTCGTCGGCACTGAGCCAAGCAGACTTGCGTTTAGACTCTCCAATTGGAACATAGACAAGCTTGGAAATTCGGAAGGTGTGTCTAGGGTTAACGTCGGCAATTAGCAACATACACAAGAGGAATATACGATCATACCGAACAACATCCTTTTGATTCTCGGAATATCTGTTCTGCAGTGCGCGATACATTGCATACATCTGGTCTTCGGATGGAGTTATGTTCTCCGACTCCCGCAATCTTTGCAAGCATCGGATGTAAAATTGGACGTTTGTGTCCAACAGGACCTCTAAGTGACTTAGAATGGACCATCCGTGCTCATGGTCATTTTCTACCTTCAAGCGTGGGATAGGAATTGAATTATCGATTAATAAGCTCTTCGGAACCAGGAACGTGTCTTTAAGCGCTGATTTCACCGGAGTGTCGTGGCATTCTACAAGCTTGGATTTTAGTTTTTCTCGCACTTTCGCTGTCTGCGAGAACCGAGCTTTGTCAAGCCATGTTTCATAGATATTCCTGTGGTCTTTCAACAGTTGCAGCCATCTGGGTGATGGTAATATTTCAGTGACACGTTCGAAATCTGGGGAAAGCTCCTGTGTGTACATGTTTATATTAGCGACCAACCTTGGAATCCGATATATTCCCAGGTTCCAAAAAAGGAAAAAGATCCAACTCTCTTTGTTTTCGGTGCTGATGGTCAGATAATCTCGATGCAAGAGAGGAACCGTCAGCCCCCCTTTGGCGAAAATTGCAGCAGCAGAATCCTCCAAGTTCGAGTCAATATAGACCGAGGATGCCAAGCAGTATTTGTTGTCCGTGGTAGCGACCCATATGTCAGTATTACCCTGATTAGACCACCCGGTTCGGTGGAGAAAGTCCAGCTGAGCGATCAAGTGCGACAGAGGACCAGACTCAGCTGACTTCTTGTTGACCTGATTGCTGACGATAGAGTCATGAATGTCGCTCACGGAGTAAGGTTTCGCTCCGGCACGTTGGAAGAGGGCTCGGCGGATTATGTTTTCTTTATTGTCTTGAATGTCCTGGTGGATCTCGAAAACTTTGATACCGGGTGGTAGGGCAGTTGATTCTTTCTCTGGAGGAAGCAGAATGAGCCCCTTGTCTGCTGATGTCCATCCTTCTCTTAGAGGAATGATTTGAAGAGTTTGCAAGAGCTTCATGTTTTTGTCCAAGTCTTTGTGGCCGTTTAGGGCTTCAGCAAGTCCCAGATGCCACTCTAGAGATTTATTCTCGATACCTTTGTCGCATTCAATAAGAAGTTTCAGATCCTCCAGAAACTCTTCCAGAGATATTTGTCTAACACCAAGGTCCTTCAAGATGGACCAGTCGTCCTCCGAATACCGTCGTGAAAGATACCGCCCCTCGGTGTTCCTACCAAGTGTGAATGGAATATCGTCTGAGTGCCTAAACTCATGAGGGATGTATCGAAGAGATGACGGCTTTGTGAGCTGATCGCTCTCAGAAGCTAGAAATGGTTTCTCGGCTATACTGGCCCAAATCCTCGGTCGTACGTGTTCGAAAAAGTCTTTCTGTGGCTGCAAATTAGGGAGAAACTTGATCCACGAATAGCGGAGTCGGCCTTGTATCAGATATTCAATTGCTGTCACAAATGCGTTGGGGATTTCCACTCGAATCTTGCCATTCCAGTCAGGTTTGCCAGACTTATCAGATTTGTCGCTGATTTCTTCTCGGCTTGTTGGTAATACGAAATTAGCTTGAAGAAGGAACTGCTGGATCGTCAGCCATAGTCTTATTTGCTGAGGATTAAGCTCACAAACCGTAAATCCATAGCTGCGTACTGGAAGAAATGAATAGACGTCTTGAGCTTGTAATATCGGTTGACCATCAGCGTCAATTGGAAATGCCAACTTTATCTCAGATTCAGTCTGGTTCGGTCGCTTCTTATCGCTTGGCATTTGATCTATTTTATATTCGGTGACAATATACCGCCTCTCCGAATTGTCAGAATATGTAAGTGTGGTCATATAAACACCCCTTTTATCCAGATTCTCATCTTTCCTAGTGACGCTTGCACATGGGATTTCATCTTGGTCTTCGATATTCAGGTTGATACATCGCAACTGCTTCAGAAAGATCAGAGCTTTAGAAGCGTATGCACGTATACCGTGTAGCAAGGCGGGCACATCAACATCCGATGACAACTGGAACACCATTGACGTGTATCCTTGGCGAATTTCTTCTGGCGGTGGCAGCGATTCCCATATAGGGATCAGCATACCAAGTCTCTGGCCTCTGTCGAATTTGAAGGTATATGCTTTCGACGCAATCCAGACTATGTCCGCTACCAGGAAGACTGATTTGAAGCCGACCCCCTTTTCGCCAGTTGATCTGGACTCGTACTTCTTTGTACTCAATCCTGCGTTGCAGATAGCGTCGACATTTTTCTTGCTGAAACCGAGCTCGTTGCAATCCGTGCGCAGACGTCCATTTCTATACGCCACTGCCAAAGTTGGTATCACTTTCGGCTCTGAGGTTGATGGCGTAGACGACTCCGCTTGGTAGACATTATCGTCTGCGTTTTGTATCAGTTCAAGAAAGAAATGAGCCGGCGATTGGTACACATCTTCGGAAAGTCTAAACACTTGTTAGCGTGGCTGCTCAAAAACAGGAAGTATCTCTTAACACATCGGCTCACACGTTCAGGGCTCTTTCCAAACCGGAGGCCAGTTTATTGTGTTGCTCATCTACGCCAAGGTCTTGTCGGATTCTCTGGATATGTTCCCTCGCATTTTGTTCCTCAGTCTTAGTATTCTCTTCTTGCTTTTGTTCCTCAATCTTAGTATTCTCCTCTTGCTGTTGTTCCTTCCAGGTCTCTTCCTCTCCGTCATAATCCCGTCTCTCCCCTCGCCCTCTGTTGCCACGCCTTCTTCCCGTCTGTTTATGTCTCTCTCGTGATTGCTCTCGCTCCTTTACTCTCTCTTCCTTATTCGTGCTCCCATACCTTGGACGACGACATCTGCTGCGTTGTTTCTTTCTCGAGTTGCTTTGAAACAAGGAGAGAACAGTTCCCCAGAGTGAGCGTTGTGAACGCTTTAATGATGGCATGATTGTAAATATATTGAGTGGAAAGGTTGAGAAAACTTTATATGACGGCAAAGGATGGAGAGTCTAGGAGGTGCTTACTAGGTAAGGTAATATAGCAAGAAGGAAGTTAAGCCTCCTCTTGTAAGGCTGATGAATGCTTATATAGGTGTACTAATTGAGGGGCTGGTTAGATTATCTCGTGATTTCTTATGCAGCGTAATTTTTTAACTACTAATTATCTAATAATAATACCTGTTAGTATGTAGTAAATTTAACTGGATAATACCTAGGAGTCTTAAAGAAAAGAATAACCAGTAGCGCCAACCAGATCTTGATAGCCTATATATTATCCAGTGTACACTAGGATCCTAGGACCTCATCACACCAATGACATTACTGTAGACCTATTTAGAGCTAATTTTATCCTCCTTACCACTGTCGGTGTTAACCGGACTTGATTCATTATCGTACATTGGTGTCTAGCCCATTCACCAACCTGCTATGGTGGGGCCAGTTGTTCCCTTCTAGGTTTTATGGCTGCTGGCTGTTATGCTGGCTGCTATCTTGGTAATGGCAGTAGCAATGGCAGTATTAAAATAGATAAGGCAATAAGAAGGTATCATCACAGCCAAGCACCTCCAGGGAAGGTTGCGCTGCATTTTCATTGCCTTCCCCAGGGTCACTAGCCATAGACAATCCTTCGCGTGATTCAGGCAATGGAATCCTCTACAGGATACTGTCGGATACTGTCCAATACAGCTGGATCACTTCACGGAAGCTCATCCAGTGAGTATTGTAGTAGTTTTGGCCGAGGCAGAAGGTCGTCCAGCCAGTGTGATAGTGGTTTGGGCCGTGGTTTACGTGCTTTTCGGGCGGCTTCCCAACCTTCCCCTGCTTCAACGGCTTGCATCTTGATCCATTCCACGGTGTGACGGGATGTGTGCTGAGCCATTGCATTGGATTAAAACTGGATTATGGCTTGCAGTAATATTGTCTTCACTCAGAAGGAAGCTCCAGTGTGCACATTATGCTGTTGTTCACGGGGTTCAAGTGGATGACTTGGGTAAAGCTGACAACTCGACCGAGAAGTGGAGTGCATGTCCAGTGTGATTGTGATATGCTGACTTGGTGATGCTACCCGTTGGAGGGGTAATTCGCAAACATCCAGAGAAAGTAGGCGAAGATAAATATATCCTAATAGCTGCCTCTTACCCCCTTTAACCCTCTGGCATTATTAATACCAGTAGGTAACAGTCGAAAAAGTGATTTATTCACAAACAGTCTGCTGTAAAGTGGCTCTTCCTCTAGTTACCAACATCGCACTCCTCTATTATGGGCGAGTGCATTCACATCTGAGCCCTGGGATCTAATGCTGAGGTTCTCTCTGTCACTGCATTTCAAGGTTCTGAATCTGTGATGAAAGTAGCAGCACTGAAGCCACAATTTTGTCTTAATCTCTCTACTATAGTATCACACATCTGCTGGCTTTGCTTTTTTTCGTAAAAGAAAGCGGAAACCCGTAAGCCGTTTCCACGATTGTAATACAAGAAATAGGAGGATATTCCACTCAGATGGGTTTCTATTCACTCGCTCTGGTCGAAATTGACTGAAGGCTTTGCCTATGGGACCCCATTTAGCGTCATTTAGCATTGATGTTATGATACCACGGCGGAACTGTTGATAAACTTCCTTACTAAGGCGAGCGAGGTTGTTCAGGTTCATAACAACCAGGTAAGTGGTGGTTGCGAGAAGGACAATAACAACTGTGAACACTCCCGGGTGGTAGCTGTAGTCTATGGCCCAGAGCACAGCACAGAAGCTGAGTGGCAGGTACACAATACTAATGTATGTTAGTAGTTTAACATTCTCACCCAATTCTGTAGCAGCTCTTGATTCGATGACCATACTCGCATTGAAGAGCTGCAAAACATCAATATCAACGCACAGTGTGGTAGGGTAGGCTGCATTGCGTACTTACACCATTTCGCAGAGTATCAATCTGGGAGCGCATATTTTCGAGACAGGATTTTAACACCTCTAAGCAGGCGGTTTGGTCCTTCCACCTGTGGTACCAGATTTGCCAAATAGTCCAAAGGGGCACACCAGGGGATCGCTGCATCTCCTGTTTCTCGGCGAACCTCCCTGATGAAGTTCTCACCGGCGTTGAAAATGTGTTTGCGAGCTTCCCAGAAGTTCTGCCACTCTCGCATGGTTGCTGAAATGCTAGGAATGAACATCCCCAGACGGTCGATGGGCCAGAAGTAAAGCCGCGAGCGTGAGAACGTATTGTCATCGAATAAAAGACGGTCGTGCTCGTCAGGATCGAAAATGGCACCCTGGTCGTCTACGAGGGAGCTGAGGTGATTGGCAACCTGCTCCCATGAGTCGGCGGCATCACGAAGAGCCTGTAGAATAAGTGCTACAGGTATCATATGGCCGTCGTAGCGGCCTTCCGGCCAGGAGGTCTCCTGGTGCAACGGGCAGAAATGAGCAGGGGCCAAATGAAGGATGGACCAATACCAAGAAACCTGGATCTGGCACATCATTCACAAAGCCTTTCACTGGGTCATCCATGCAGAACCCGCCTGCAGCTCCCAGCCTGGACTGAAAAATGCCCATGGTGAAGGCCATCTCTTGCAAGTAACTTGCAGGTCCAGAATGCTTGGTAGTACCATAGAGCGCGCCCAGACTTCCAATCGCCGTACAAAGGCCGTTGCCCGTTTGGGCTGATTTTGAACCATGTTATATGAAACGGCGCCCATTTTGCTTCGAACGGGTTGGCGTCCTCGCTACGACCCTTGCAGCGCACATGGACGTCCAGAAGGTCCCTGAACCGTTGGAGGGGGACCGTGCGAAACGGTGGTTCAAGCCAGGACTTGTGAACTTCCCGGAAGACATAAATTGATCTATGTCAATGTCACTATCGACAGTCTTCGACTTTAAGATGGCTGCCAGGCCCTGGAAACTGATGATGCGGTACCAGTGTGTGGCACCCACGAGTCGAACTACGGCAGGCGCACCTGCTCGCTTGTTCAACTCACAACGAACAGGCGGAATGTTGACCTTGAATTCCTCCGCTGAGAGAGCCGGTCCGGCAAGTGTTCGCGGATCGCCTTCTTCTTCTTCCTGCAGACTGTTCCCATCAACATCCTTCCAGCCGTAGCAGGTCAAATGTCTAAAATCGTCAACATCCGTGATTTCAAAACTGCCCCCGCGCTCATACAACGTCTCCCATATTCGACGAAGCTTCTCCAAGGTACTCTCGAGCGGAAGTCCATCTCGGACAGCTGCATGTAATGCATCCTTCTCGAAGGCTGAGCAAATCCCATAATCAGGGGGGACGGATTAGAGATTGCCGAGACATTTCTGGAAGAGCTGACGGTAACGCATCAACCCGGATCGTGAACCCCCAATTGGTTCTGGCAGCAACGATGGCACCAAGGAGTAAGGTACTAATCGTTCTTCCTTTTTATATTCTTCATCCGGTAAGAATTCAATCTCGGCACCTAGACTCTCTCCACCTATATGGTACCATTCACCATCCACCTGGACCATCTCCCATTCCGGCATATAGTTTGGACGACCTTTTCCCCAAGCAAGCCTTATCAGTGGCAGACCGGGTAGATCAGAGTCGACACCCTCTGGGCATTGTCCAGTCGCTCTCCGTAACCTCTCGCTGTCAGGAAGCTTGCTGATTATCCTCGGTAGCACTTTCAGGTATATCAACAACATGGACATTATATCTGCTGGAAGTCAATTTTGCATGAATTTTGCTATAGTCAACTGCATTCATCAATATCTTTATCTAACTGCCAGTTGCAGCAAGACCACTTCAGAACTTGATAAATCATGGGGTGTATACAATGCCATTATTACCCTCTTACAGGTGCATTTTCATCCTTGTAAGGATATCCTGCTTGTGCTTTAGGCTAATCTAGATCTAAGCCTTTCTAGGCAACAAACAGAGCAAGAACACAATGCTATAATAGCTCAACTTGAGAAAGGCCTTTGCCAAGTAGACGAGCTCTATTACCCTCTTGCTCAACAGGGGTGTAATTTTTCAATCTTTCCATCTCCAGTAACATTCAAGTTGTATCTCAACCAAGCCAAGGAAATTGGTGGGGTATTTGAAGAGGGTAACTGGGATCTCAACTAGGCTGCTGAATACCGCGTCTGGCGCAGCGTTGAACCAGGTACATCAAAGGCTGAAATATCAAGCAGCACAAGCACAGATGGGAAACCAGGCTATTGGATTCAAACAAGCTTCTTTGATTGCGTTGGGTAGGAAAAGGAGGATATGCGATTTGTTCAACACGAGAGTAAGGAATAAAAGGTTTCAGAGTATGGTAAACTTTCTGTAGTTTGTGATGGATAGCAATCTTGATGGTGTTGACTTTGACTGGGAATTTTCCTGGCACACTAGATATTCCTGGGATTCCAGCCGGTAGCCCTGAGGATGGACCAAACTATCTGACATTCCTGCAAGAGCTTCGGTCCATTTTGCCCAGCGGAAAGACCATTTCTATCGCTGCACCAGCATCATTCTGGTAACCAACCTGAAAGCCTTCCCAATCGCCGAAATCAGCAATTTCGGGGACTATAGAGTCTTCATGGCATATGATCTCCACGGGCAGTGGAATTACGGCAATGCCTTCTCAGAGTCAGTCATCGAGACGTCTATACATCTATACTACCATAATACTGACAGGATAATCTGGGTCTATCTAGTTCTGGATGTCGTGCCGGAAATTGTCTTCGCTCTCAGCTTAACCAGACTGAGACCACTCAAGCTCTCGCTATGATACTCTTGTCTACAAAAAGACTCAGTGGGTCTCGTGGATGAGTCCTTCAATGTCCCAATGTACATATGTTACTATTCATGGTCCTTGTGGAAATAGTGGCTATAAGCAACACAAGCAGGCGATAGGTAAAAGTTTATTTTGGCTGGTTTGTAAGTAGGGCAGCTGTATAATGTTATAACATGCTATAACTAATGCTTATGCATCGATTACAGTGTCTGACTCAGCGTCATGTGACATACTGGGGTTAACCCTTACATTTGGAGATTCCAAGACATCATTCACATCGATATAGGTTAACATATTTATGCCTTTATGTTTACTCCATTGAGTCTCCTGCCATAAATATATTGTTTCAATTGGAAACTGAGCAGATCACACGTAGAGATGACAGCGCCAGATCAGTACCGCGATGACTTCGACATCAGTACAAACATCCGCAGCCTCTCCAGCAAACCGCAGATCCAGCCATTCGCCGGCCGCATTGGAGGAAACCAAGGCCTCGTCCTTGATCGCCATGACCCGGGCAATTTAGAAGTTCTAAAGAAGACGCCCGATGCGGCCCCGTTAATGAGCTTCCGGGATGCCTACAATTTCCATGGATTTGTTGACTTGAATCTCTGGCGATTTGCTTTGATTGAATGCGTCGGTATACTCACCTATGGACTTCCTCTTTGTGTAGTGAAATGACGTGGAATAGGCACCATGATGCTCTCGTTTATCACCGCGTGGATGGGTAGTTCTCCCCTGCCGCCTTCATCTACGCCTCCAGACACTGCAGGGGTGTTTGGAACGCCAGAGTTTCTCGGTCCACTATTCGGTGGCATCAGCAATTGGCTTTTCCTCACGCTGTTCATCTTCTCTTTCTCGTCTATCAGCGGGAGCCATCTTAATCCAACAATCACCATGGCGACATTCTTCGCGCGATTGATCTCGTTTCCACGCGCCGTCCTTTACCTCAGTGGCCAGGTCCTTGGCGGAGCATTGGCTGGCTGGATCTTGCAGCCGGCATGGGGCTCAGAGGCGTTCCTGGTTGGGGGATGCTATATCAACACAGAGCTCGTCCCGGTCCGACAGGCTCTCCTGCTGGAATTCATTTGCTGTTTAATTCTGTTATTCCTGGCCTTTGGTGTAGGGCTGGATCCCCGGCAGGTGCAGGTGTATGGGGCGGCGCTGTCGCCTTGGCTGGTGGGACTAGCACTGGGGCTAGTCAGCTGGGGCTCTGCCTATACACGGAAGGGATATAACGGGGCGAGTATGTTGGTCTTCAGTCTTGATTATCCGGTTGCTGATTGAGGGTAATACAGGCTTGAACCCAGCTCGGTGCTTCGGGGTATATGTGGCAACCACGTTCCCCGGGTATCATTGGATCCACTGGGTGAGTTTTCTCTGGCCATAATAATATTGACCGTCTTCTCATGCAAGTAGGTTGGCCCTTTGGCCGCTTCGGTCGGGCATGGGATAGTATACTTTTTGGTGCCCCCATGGAAAGCGCCTGGATGTTAGACCTTCTGCGCGCTACTTAGACGGGTTTAGGCTGCACCATAGTAGATCCGATCTTTCGAATGTGTCATATGAATTTCCTAAGATTAGGTGTAACAATATATGACCACAAATGTACGTTACAGATAATAACAAGAACATCGGGAGGGGATGTGCAATTGTTGTCGCAGTCTGGGGTCCCACGAGTCTTCAGGCCCATCAGCATGTCATCTCCATCTGTTTAGGTAATCGATTTCCTGTCCTTTGGCTCTGGTATGGTGGTATAATATTCTCAACTAACCAACAGCGGCCTGCTGTGGCCGCACGGTGACTGTGTGGACTAGACTTCGTTGGTTGAGTATGATGACAAGGGTGGAAAGGGCCTATAAGTAAAGCTGGCAGCATTGAGGCCTCATACCAATGCTTTGTATAAAGTACATGGTTGAGACACACGAGTGTCCAAAAAGCATGTAGTTCCTCGATATTTGTCCTAGTAGAGATGAATAGAATAACCCTTTAATTTTCGTTCATGGATGAGTCTGAGATATATTTCGAACAATCTATGCAATCGCACCCTGGGTCTCTCCTACTCTCACCACATACTTGACCGCGCTCGCCTTACCGTTCTTCAAATCAGTCAAGGCCTGCTGAAGTCCCCCGAGACCACCCGGCACGACCTCGTGCGGATGAGGCTTGAACCACCCATCCAACAGTCCCTTGGCGATGTATCTGAAATGAACAAAGCCAAAGTCCTTCTGGTCAGCATGAACACAACCAACATTCGTCTTGGCCTTGTTGATACCTGCAGGAAGGGCATCATCCTCCACAGGCAGAACAAAGGCGATCTTTCCTCCCTGCGATACCACCTTTCCGAGGTTAGTAATGCTACTTCCCTCGCTAACGCCATCAAAAGCATGCAAGAGCGTCTCGTCCGATCCAGAAGCTTTCAGCGCCTTCTTAATTTCGGAGACGACGAACTCATCGCCCTTGCGGTAGTCGACGATGGTGTCACCCTTGGACCGGTCGATGAGACTCTCCACGAATGGGATGCCACGTCCCGCGACGGTGATAATGGGGTGAATGTTACTCTTGACAGCCATTTGAATAGCAAAGGCTCCGACTGCTGTAGCGCCGCCGTAGATAACCAGCGGGATACGGGAAGTCGCCGGACGCCATGGTTCAGGCAGGCTGAGGTGGTGGTACAATGCAAGGGCCGATGTCATAGCTGCAAGGGGTAACGTAGCAGCTTCTACTCATCGGTCAATACTGACGGATTACTTGCAGAATTCCGGGGTTATGCTGACCTTCAAAGCTTGTGGACTTGGGAATGTGGAAAGTAGTATGCTGCCAGCTAATGGCATACTCGGCGTAACTGCCATGGGGTTCCAGCATCTGATGGAACGCAGCTACGCGGTCACCGGGCTTGAACTCGGTGACATTGTCGCCGACGGCGGCGACAATACCAGCGATATCATCGCCCTGGTTGTCAGTTCGGTCCATCCATTCAGGGACCTTCCTAAAGCGATATTAGAGACATGCAGCCAACATGACGATTGCGGGGGACGTACCAATCCTTAGGATTTGTCCCGCTCACAATAACTTTAATCAGAACCTGATCCGGTCCGGGTGTCGGGATGGGATTATCGACGATCTCGACTGAAGGTCCCTTGCTAACCAATGCTTCCTTCATGACGGCGACGCGATCCGAAAACTGAATGCAGCTTTGGTTGAGGTAAACCGGAGGGCGGGTCTTGGTGCGGATGACGGCGGAGCGGGGACAGATGCTTTAACTATAGTTAAGTCTGGCTGATTACAAATCGGATATTGTACCTTCATAATTCCTCGCGTAAAGAATGTTATTGGATTTGTCATGGCGACAATGCTCTTCAAACTTGTATAACTTCAGAGTAATCTACCGGTCTTGGTTGTTTTGCTTCGGATTCTTTCTGGCCTTCAATGCGGGTCTAGGCTCTTGAATACAAGACTTGCCCATATAATGTGCCTGTTGCCTCATAGTTTCCCCAGACTTGCAGGACTAGAGCCCTCGATTGATTTTCTCGTCAGATACGAGGATCCGTGCTGTTGATGAACTCGAAAATGACTGCGATGTAGTCAAGCGCGTCATGGACTGGGTATTCCTCACCGGCCAAACAACAAAAAGGACGATAAGAACAAGGTTGTAGAGAATCTATCTGACAGCTTTTTTGCACCTGTAACGTAATTCCCAGGTGAGCCGCGAACCCCTCATTCATTGCACTCTCCACTAATATCTGATGACGGACCTATCTCGGTGGTCGCCGGTATCATTTCGATATCGGATGGTAAAATATCTGCTTTTTCGCTCGATCCAGTCGGATTGTGCCCGGTGATCGTGGGATAATAATGCCAGGTTCAACTACTGAACTAGCAGACCTTGGCAAATGGAGACCAATGTCTCCTGTCCTGGCCGAGGGTTTTTTTTGCCGTAGGCTTCTCTTTATCGAATGTGCCTATTGGCCGAATGAAGTAGACCAAACCCTAGTTGCCCTCAAGCTCACGACTAATCTCCGGGCTATTTGCTTGATTCCGATATCAACAAGGTGAATGCAGCATTAGGGCGACCATGGACGCCATGACACCTTACTCAAACCTGCTATCTCTTAGCCACGGAGTACGGTATATACTTTGTACAGCCATTTGGAATGATGAGATTTCTGGCCCCACTAGATAATAGTCGGGCTCTTTGTCCGAGCTAATTGTCCAAGCTAATTGGCCCTTGCAACATCTACCTATTTATCCAGACTATCACTTAAGGGGCCGGTTACTTGGCGGTTACTTGTTAATTTTCTTTTTGGCACATCAGTCTGCACCTCCCTTCATTATCCACGCCCCTCGCTCACCTTCATTATATTCCATGTACTGACCTTCCCGCTCCTGAGTCCTAACAGAAATTGCACAGCATGCTGCTGGTCGTTATCAGCTTGTGGGTATTTCTCTCTGCACAAGTGGAGCTAAAACCATGCATTTTCCAGAAAACCTAACAAACAAATAGCGTCGTCCTTGGTTCGGTCTTTACTTCCTTCGTCCCTCATATACGTCAAGCTTGGCTAGACAAGGGTTCTAGAGACATTTCGTTGCTCTACCTACTTTTCAATGTCACTTGTTCCACGGAGCATCTCCTTTTGGTCTTCTTTTACACTATTAATCTCCCTGTTGAGACAGGGTACTGGACTCACCATCCGCGTAATGCACTTGACTGGGTCAATTTTGTCCAAGTGTTAGGCGTATGGGCATTGTGGAATATCCTGTGAGCTCAAAATGTCCCACTTCCTAGTAATCAAACAGCGACCGGAGACTGACTAAAATATCAAGATTTGGGCTCATCCTCTACCACAGACTCACTAGTCGCCTTCGCAAGGCTTTGACAGTTGTCATTTATCTCGGCTTTCTCATTGTATCCATAGCCCCTGTCGTAGCAGACGCAGTGTCGGACATCTTCTGTCCTCCACACCATCCGAACTGCCCTGAGCATGAGCGCGACCCTATCGCTCTCTTCCAGGGCCTTCATGCCGTCATTCTTCTGCCATTTCTTACGACCATACCGCTTGTCATTGGAATAATCAAACAAGCCCGCATGCCCTTACAATCTCAAAGTCTGACTGGACTTAAGCTTCAGACAGCGGCTTTCATGCTCTCAGCCGTTTCCTGGGTCCCCAGAGTCTCTGTCCCATGGGATCTGTATCTAGATGGTGGACACCCGATCATTGTGATTATCAATGCATGGTACCACATGGTTGGCTTTGTCGCTGTCAATGATGCAGTCTTTGCTCTGGGGCAAGGAATTTTGTTGTGGTTGGCTTTGCGACAGATCAGACTTGCGGGGGGAGGAGAAAGACAGCCGCTTTTGGGGTGATTCAGAGTGTCCAGCTACTTACGCTAGGGGTCGACAAGCAAGGTAGATGCAGTGGCCGGACTCGAAGGGGGGTTTGGGGAGTCGGGGAGCAGGAAATGGAATTGCGGGCATATAGCGACGGATGAGGGGGCCTATTCCACCCAAGAATCAGAATAAATGGATGGGCCGCACGGCTTGATTGCGAAGCCAATTGCTGTTGAATTGGAAGGATGAAGAATGCTTGCTGGTAAAATGTTCCTTCCATTTTTCAGACACATACCTTGGCGCGTTGGCAAGCCTGGTCTGAGTTGATTCGCCTTAAAAAGTCATTGGCAGGGTCCGGTTCCTCAACCACAAAGGCAACTCCAACTCTTTCATATCGTGAACCTTCAGTACTCTGAAGCAGCAGCATTCCATAACACCATGCATCAATGCATTTCCCTAAGTAAGTTGTGGAGGCGATAGGGACGCAAGTTGCCGTGGTTCTCGTCCTCAGGGGCCGATTGAAACATACCTCGAGTTTTGAATTGGTTCCATCCTCGCAGTATGGGGCAATGCTTCGAAATAAGGAGAGAACAGTTCCCCAGAGTGAGCCTTGTGAACGCTTTGATTATGGCATGATTTCAGATATATTGAGTGGAAAGGTTGGGTAAACTTTATATAACAGCAAAGGATGGAGAGTCTAGCAGGTGCTTCCTAGGTAAGGTAATATAGTAAGAAGGAAGTTAAGCCTCCTCTTATAAGGCTGATAAATGCTTATATAGGTGCACTAATTAAGAGGCTGGCTAGATTATATCTTGTGAGTTCCCATGCAGCACAATTTGTCCTTTAACTACTAATTATCTAATAATAATGCCTATTATCATGCAGTAAATCCAACTGGGTAATACCCAGGAGTCTTAAAGAAAAGAATAACTAGTAGCATCAACCAGATCTTAATAACCTATACATTATCCAGTGTACATATACTATCTTCTTCTAAGCACAGATAAGATGGTATCTTAGTAATCCCTACTTGTCATAAACCTCCTTGGTTTGTGTCTGAATAATAATCATCGTCACCGTAGAGGCACCGTACGTTTTTTCGGACCTCATTCATATCCACATAATCCAGCCAGCTGCTATACCAATCCAAGAACTCAGGTACAGAATCAAATCGTGGATACCGTCCGTAAAGAGTAGTTGGGTTTCCAACATCAGCCCGGAAGAATGAAACACGCCAGGCCCAGTCTTTGAGAGATGGGTCAGAGTCATCGCCGCACCGACGACAGTATAGATAGGCACTGTACCATTCGTCGTGTCCTGCGCGACTGCCAAGGCCAGTTTGAAATCCAACCTTGACTTCCAAATCTTCATCCACAGTGCCTTGAATAAATATCTCGTCAAGCATTCTCTCTTGTAGGTACTCTTCCAACATTTCCCGGGAGGTTGAGACTTCAGGAGTAGGAAGTCTACGCACAGCCGCGCGCTCTGGGAACGCATACTCCTTCCTCCCGACAGGAGGGACGGGCTCAAATGGACAGATACCTGAGCAGCGGAAATCTGCATCTTGAACGCCATTAGCGTATTTAATGAAGTGGCCCAGTTCGTGGCACATTGGGATGTCGAAGTCCTCATCTTCGACCTCTTGATTCTGCGCCATTGCCTCGTTGCATACTTCCTTCAAGACTTCTAAGTACATCTGGCGCCATTCATCAGTTATCAAAGTTGGAGGGATGGTTCCGTCCATATGCTGGTGGTAGATAGTTTTGACGTCTTCTAGCCGTGTAGCATTTCTCTCCTCGCGAGATTGTCGAACAGGACCTAAAGGGGCCGTATCGTTCCACGTCTCCTCGCCTTCAGCGCCTAAATTAGGCCAGTACAAGCACATCTCCTTTAATTTCCCCTCTTTGGTGGAGAGACCCATGGCTTCGATCTCGTCGATGCAGTCTTGTAAAAACCGCCGATTGGAGGACTCCATTTTGGCTCGAAATCCTTCCACGGCCAGACGCATAATCTCAGCCGGGTCTGTATCAGATAATTCTATGCAGGCCGCCATGGTCAGTTGCGGCAAAGATTTGGCTGGTGGACTCTGGACAATAATAGAAAGCAGGACTAACATTAAGAGTGTAGGTCAGGGGGTAGCAACAGTGTGGAGTACAACAGTGAAATTAGTGACTACAGGTCAGCTGACCCTTACTGAGGATTTCGGTCAGCCCAAAGTCAACCAGCCGACGCGGATAAACAGAAATACAAATACTAGAAATTATTTTGAATATACTGAATAATCCTATGCTCTAAGGTCCATTGACAATTAGCTGCAGACAGGCAAATACATCTCAGAATTGACGTAGTGGAGCGGACGTGGATTGTTGGCATCACCCATTAGGATCTCTCTATCATGACCATAGCCTGCCACAAGGTCCATGAAGATATAGAAGCACAGGCTCGCGATCTAGGAGCATTAAGCCTGTCCTTTCATAAAGGCTTAGCTTCACCCTGTGCCCCTGTGGCATGCTTATCTTCTCTTAAGAGCTATGCCTTTCAAATGCAGGAGCTTATCATGAATAACATGCATTTATCAAAAAATAAATTCTCACACAAAACAAGAAACAGTGATGGGTTAATGAGTATGAATTTCACTCCAGTCCACTCAGCTGATACCCACAGCCAAAGAATCTATGGTTACCTAGAGGGGTCACAAAATGAGCAGCTTCTATTATGTACTAGGAAAACACTTGCATCTATTCATGGATACCTTCTGGTGTAGTACATCATGCCCCCCAGAGGGTTTCGGATATGTCAAGGGCCCCGGCCATCGTTGGGATTGATTGGGTTATGGAAGACTGGGTGTGTGGCCACATTCTTCTGTGGCTTGCCTTTTGCCTTCTTTCCTCCCTGTGAGGACACCCGGAAATGCATGGCAAAATGGAGATTGAGTTAGTAGTGGCAACCTGCTTGCACTAGTGGTGCAAATCAGAGCTTGATACCTAGTTCCTCTCCTTGCCGACTACAGAGGAACAGGGGTCCATCTTCAGTATCACGCGCTATTATGGCTGGATAGCTGACGCTTCCAGCGCTAGAGCCTGGTACTGTTGTCCTATTCCACATGGTATGTCAATATCGTCGCGGCTTCTATGGGACGGGTAAGGGCTCCTCAGTTTCTTCGTAGTGAAGCAGGGCGGAGTTTCTCGACTGGTCGGCACGCTGTTTCGCGACTGCTGACGGCTGGACTTCTGCGCCGCGATGCTACGTCCTAGTGTCAGCAGATTGTCTCTGAATTCAACCTCCGAGTCCGAGGTCACATACTCGGCGGATTTGTACTATGTCGCATGTTAGTCACACTAACAAGCTCATAATCTCAGACTTTTCGGTCAGAGCCAAAGCACTAGCCGATGTTGACTCTGGCCGAAAGGAGGGGCAAGGTTGGGTGGGTGGTACTTTACCTTGCTGGCCGTAGCCTTGGTGCGCTTCATCGCGCGCGGCCCTCAGTTGGTGAATCCTGCCTTGCTCTCTCCCTCTTGCGGCCCCTAGGCGTCATGCGGGCGTTCATCCGGTCCAGGTCTAGCTGCGGTAGGCCAAGGTCATCTGCCCGAGCATACGACGGAGACAATCCACCACAGCCCGCTTGGATGACCTCGGCCTCGGCCTGGTCGGCGGCTTCCTCGTCTTCGCCGTCATCCTTCACCTGTGCTGCCATAACCATAGACTTCAGTAGATCATGTAATTGTGCTGAGAATTGCGGGAGGGCTTTGAGCGTGTTATTACACTCCAACCATCTGGATATGGTATGCTCTTGGAAGATGGACCACACCTTCTGGCTTGGACGCGTCCCACCGCCTGAAAAAGCGTATTGAGATTCAGAGACGGCTCGAGGAGGATCACACAGCTACACTCCGCGTGGAGGTTGAGCCCATGTGCCCCACATTGGTATGATGTGAGCAGGATGCGGCAGGAAGATCGGGTGTCAGCGAACTCAGCGGCGGCCTCACGGCGGGCCGCCTCTCCCATCTGGGCCCGGATGGTAACGTATGAGACGCTAATAGCATTCAAAAACATCTCCGTCATTCACATTACCATTGGCCAGTGACAGAAGATCAAAAAAGGGGGTTGTTCGCGAGTCGGGTTCCGCCATAGACGACAATTCAACTTACTTGGTGGGCGAGCCAGCCAGCTCCGACGGGAACGTCCACGCTTGGCCTGGCTGCTGCTGCCATCTTCCCTGTATATCAGGTGGTAGTGAGAAGAGATGCTCGGTGTTTCCAAGTGTATAAAGCAGAGTGGTGTACCCGCAATCCTGTCGCACACTAGCACTGCTGCTTCGCTTTGAGGACATGCGCGGCTTGGCTGCTCAAGCGTCTGCTGACATCCGGTTTGTATTGATAGGCCATTGACTGATGGTATAGGACCTTCACCCAGCATGGGAAGGGTCAAGAGAGGATCTGTAGCGTATTATATTGAAGAGTTCTTCAATGGAGCATCTGTGGTGAAAGCAGCTCCGTAATAAAAGGCAGGTAGACATGTTTCCTATAATATGTGTTAGCCTGATGGTCTAGGTTAAGAAAATAGTAGGAAGGATAGGAAGTTTGATAGCAAATAAAAGGTAGAAGGTAGGAAACAGAATAAACAAATATCAAAAACAAATCGTAAGGCGTGGGAATTTACCTGAGTGGCAATATCCCTATTTATACGTAGAATGAGATGGTAGAGTTGAGTAGTTTGGAAGATTGGAGTAGGAGCAGCATCCTGTATGATACAGCGGAGTAAATACCGCCACTATGTCTGGCTCGTTGCGATCCATCATTGATCGACCTAGTCTTCGCATTTTCTTCAGATGGCTTCAGTCGAGTTTGGCTTCTTGCAATTCATTGCTAAGGTTGAGAGGAACATGATCAAGGCGACGGTTACTTGATCTTCCCTCCGAACGGGACCACTCGTCCGAAGTCAGAGAGGGAACTATCCGACTGCTTCGAGAGGACTTATATGTATGGCGCGACTGCTTGGCTTTGAAGAAAGAGATATTTGATGATCATAGGGGTCAAGGAGGCTGGTGGGCAACCAAATTGGTCAAGGAGATATAGAAAGAGAAGAATGAGAGAAGGAGGACGGGAAGAGAAGAGGACGTTTAAATACTAGAGGTTTGGCAGTCAGACAGGCTAAATATCAATGGAAAAATGGAAGCTTACATTATTGAGGCGCCAGACTATCACCTTCCGTGTCATTGCAGGCTGTCCGTTGCTGATCTTCCACTCTTCCCGTAGAATCTCAGGGACTCAATGCACCGATATCAGTACGACATTTCCAAGTCACACGTCCAGATGAAGAGAATGAGGACGCGAAACTGAGATCAGATCAGACGAGATTGGCTCTTGGCCTATTCGGCATAATCTGTATTGGAGAAATGTATCATCATCAGCACGTAAAGGAATCATTATAGACGAAGAAATACAGACAGAACGTTGTTGAGGAAGATCAAGTATGACCACATTTCCAGAGGTACCAGAAGGGGAGAAGGAGAGACCACAGTATTTATTCCCCAGATGGTGAATATACGCCTCATTCACTGCTCTGAGGCTCTACACTCACTTTATTCTTTGGAGACATTGCCCACACGGCTCTAGACTCTTCCAGTGACGTATTCCTTTGTGGTAGAGGAAGGCTACATGTACTGTTTGCCAGGGGAACAAATCTATGGCAGTAGAACAAAAATCATTGAAAGATCCTGCGTGGCCTAAGAGCAGCAGTTATCCGTAATGGAGTACATTCCGGTGGCTTTGAACAGATCCATTATCCTCTGCAGGAGGCCACCGCAGAGAAGAGAAGACAAAAGTGGAATAGATAATACCAGTTCTCTGGTTTCGGAAATTATTTTGCAGTCATTACTCGGGATATTTTTACTCAGACTCTGAAGACTTTCCGCTCTGAATTGTAGGACAAGCAAGAACGTGTCCGGTTGGCTAGGATCAAGCTTTCGGCTACAACTAAGCAACAGGCATACCCAGGAACGCCAGGGCACTCCGTAAACTATCTATGTAGATACGAAGGGAGAAAAAATCTTCAGGCGTCCGCGTGCCAAGAACCGTTCGTATTCCTAACGGAATATCACCATGAACTAACACTAAAATCGGCTACACGCGGATGACTCATACGTGTCTTCAGTAAACAGACATCAGCAAGCCAAATAACCGTGTGGAAATACCTTTCTTACGCAAAGAGATCACTATCTGTACTCCGCAAGGCAAACCGAATTAAGCTAAGGAACACGATGGCCTGCACGCTGGTCCCCATCAACCTGCACAATCCAGCCGAGTACGCCGAGCTGCAGGCCCAGCGCGTCCAATGCGGCTGGGACGCAGAGGACAGCCAGATCCTCGCCTGGCGCGAGAAGCAAGACCAGAACCTGAAATCGTTCTTTTGGATCACACTTCCCGCCCAATCTTCTCCAAAGGACAATGCAGACAACCAGGCAGATGAGAAACGCACGATCCGCGCAGGCCACATATCCCTAGACGCCTACGCGGACCCTCCAGACCCCGAACTCGCCTGCGCCGATAAATCCATACTGACGATCCAGAATTTTTTCATTCTGCCGGAGTACCGGCGTAACGGTCTCGGGGGAAAAGTTATGGATCTAGTCGAGAAAATGGCGAGCCAGGAGCCGTGGGGGAGTGAGGCCTGCCGCTTTGTGACGGTCAATGCGATGAGCAGGCGGTATTTCTACGAGGATTGGCCCGAGAAACTTGCGCTGTGGGAGACGTGGGCGGACAACCCGCCGGTGATGTGCAATGTGGATTGGTATACGCGGCGGGGGTACGTGCACTGGAAGACGGAGCCGCGGTATCCAGAGCGGTTGAAGAGCGGGGAGGAGATTATGATTTTGGCGGATTTTTTGAGGAAGCCTATTAATCGGTAGATCTGAAGCAGGCGCAGGTTTGGGATTGTCTTATGGCGGGATGCAAGAGTATGGTTGGGAGGTAAAGTGATGACGATCGATGATGCGAGGAGATGTACATAGACTCTGTTGTCCTTGCAGTTTCAGGGAAAGCATGAGCAATAATTTATCCCGTGCAGGAAACCAGTATCAGGGTGCTGATAGCTCGAAGTAAGCTTTGACGAAGGTTGAGCTGAAATGAAGGCAGTACCTGGATGTGATATCACAACGCGAGACCCCTTGCTTCTGCGCCACTATCAGGCCATGCATGATCTGCATAGATCTGTTGATCATGCATAGTCCGTTGAGAACGCCTTGCTGTATACGCATGAGGAGTAGGTCATATAGCTTCATCTCGTCTAAGCAGAAGATCAACAACCCGCTCATTTGCGACCCGGATATAAAAGGCCTGAATAATGGAGCCTTCTCCCATCATCATCAACACACACTCTCACCTCAACAAGCCCTCTCATCCCTCCAGCTCAACTCTGAAACTCCAACCAACTCCAAAATGCAGTTCTCTACCATCCTCTCACTACTCGCCGTTGCCGGCATGGCCGTGGCTGCCCCTTCTGTCGCCCGTACGTCTCCTCAAACCCAACAGAGTAACCACCAAACTAACGATCCAGGTCGCCAATCCAATAACAACGGTCTCGCCGGCGTCAACGTTGAAGATACCAACGTCCCTGTCAACGTCAACGTCCCCATCAAGGGCAACGACGTCGCCAACGGCGTCGCCAACGGTGTGCTCAAGGACGGCGTGAACGTCGAGCACGTCGCCGATGCGGTGAATGCCGGTGTGCTGGGCCAGGCGAACCAGGTTGCCCCCAAGGGCGGATTGCCTCCTTTCTAGAGAAGGTTGTGAAGACGGTATGTATCTGTGGTTAGTGCCTGTTCACGGCTAACTAATGGTGCCAATAGATCGAGATGATTGGATATAGTCAAGGATGGTGGTTGGATGTGTAATTAGGTCGTCATGCAGTGGTAATGGTGAAGTGAAGGATGTCTTCTGGCTTCTCTACGGTGGATATAGTCTAATAATAAGAAAAATGACTTTATTGTCGATGATGGATTTGAACATGTAGACCAGTATCAGACTGAGCGGGACACAGTAGAGTTCGACAACGCTGACTATCATCAATAATTCGTTTAACCTTCATTAAAGACAGTTTTCAGTGGATTTGCACAATATCAACAATAGTGCAGAACTTGAAGCAGTCCTAAATCATGCAATGTCCAGACAATCCTCATTCCAACCCGGAAGTCCAGTAGTCTATCCTTCTGCAGGCTATCTGTGCCTTACTTTGTAATACATCAAACCTATGAGGGGAATAACAAATAGACTCTCCAGTTAATAAATGTGTTCAAGAGAGAAACAAGTCAAGCCATATAGATACGGTAGGATGATGCTGATCCTACGCAGACCAATCCGGTATGGATAGAATGTGAGATATAGCCAATTGCTCCACAGGATTCAGAAAATTGCCGAGTAAGACATACCAAAGGACCGAATAACGATAATAACATTGCAGACCAATCAACCACGATGTTTTGCTTGTCAATTCCTTGTTACTCGTCTGCGCAGTCTTGGGTTACAGCGCTAAGGGCTTACTCCGCTGATAGCCATCCTCGGTCTATGATTGTTTGCTTGGCAGGAGAAAACAGATGATTTGAATGGTAGATGATCGAGCTCAAGAGCTATCTCCTGCGTATTCGCCGTCGGGATTAAAATGATACAATCATCTTGGCTCTGGTATGCGGGGTTATTCCCCCATATTTAAGGTCGGGGTAGTCACGCAATAGCTCGATGTGTTGCCAGCCGCAATCAAAATGAAGGTATGTACTTTTATCATTCAGAGACAGAGAACGCCTATAACTGACAATGCAATAGTGGTCAATTCTCCTTCTGATCGGCTGCGCTGCCGCCATTGACGTCCCTCGTCGTCCATATGCCCCCATTGGAAGCGGCAAGAAACGATTGACCTTCAATGAGACGGTCGTCAAGCGAGCCATTTCCCCCTCAGCCATCTCGGTCGAGTGGATTTCTACCTCCGAGGACGGGGATTATGTCTACCAAGACCAGGACGGCAGTCTGAAAATCCAGAGCATCGTCACCAACCACACGCAGACGCTCGTCCCTGCGGACAAAGTGCCCAAGGATGCCTACAGCTACTGGATCCACCCCAATCTCTCCTCGGTGCTCTGGGCCACCAACTACACTAAGCAATACCGGCACTCGTACTTTGCCGACTACTTTATCCAGGACGTGCAGTCGATGAATGTTAAGCCCCTCGCCCCGGACCAGTCCGGCGACATCCAGTACGCTCAGTGGAGTCCCACGGGCGACGCCATCGCCTTCGTGCGCGGCAACGACGTCTTCGTCTGGACCAATGCCTCGACTAGCCAGATCACCAATGACGGCGGTCCGGATCTCTTCAATGGTGTCCCGGACTGGATCTACGAGGAGGAGATCCTGGGCGACCGCTTTGCGCTCTGGTTCTCCCCGGACGGGGCGTATCTCGCCTTCCTCCGGTTCAACGAGACGGGCGTCCCGACCTTCACTGTGCCGTACTACATGGACAATGAGGAGATTGCGCCGCCGTACCCACGCGAGCTGGAGCTGCGGTATCCCAAGGTGTCGCAGACGAATCCAACCGTGGAGCTGAACCTGCTGGAGCTGCGCACCGGCGAGCGGACGCCTGTGCCGATCAACGCGTTTGACGCGAAAGAGTTGATCATCGGCGAGGTGGCGTGGTTGACGGAGAAGCATGATGTCGTGGCTGTCAAGGCGTTCAACCGCGTGCAGGACCGGCAAAAGGTCGTCGCTGTTGATGTGGCCTCGCTCAGGACCAAGGCCATCAATGAACGCGACGGTACGGACGGGTGGCTGGATAACCTGCTGTCCATAGCGTATATCGGGCCCATCGGTGAGTCCAAAGAGGAGTACTTCATCGACATCTCCGACCAGTCCGGCTGGGCGCATCTGTGGTTGTTCCCTATCGCCGGGGGTGAGCCCATCGCCCTGACCAAGGGTGAGTGGGAGGTGACCGGCATCCTCAGCATCGACAAGTCGCGCCAGCTGGTCTATTTCCTCTCCACGAAGCACCACAGCACCGAGCGTCACCTCTACTCCGTCTCTTGGAAGACGATGGAAATCACCCCCTTAGTCGACGACACCGTCCCCGCCGTCTGGTCCGCCTCCTTCTCCTCGCAGGGCGGATACTACCTCCTCTCCTACCGCGGGCCCGACGTGCCCTACCAGGACCTCTACGCCATCAATTCCACCACGCCCCTACGCACCATCACCAGCAACGCGGCCGTGCTCGACGCCTTGAAAGAATACACCCTGCCTAACATCACCTACTTCGAGCTGGCCCTCCCCAGCGGCGAGACCCTCAACGTCATGCAGCGTCTCCCCGTCAAGTTCTCCCCGAAGAAGAAATACCCCGTCCTGTTCACCCCCTACGGCGGACCCGGTGCGCAGGAAGTCTCCAAAGCCTGGCAAGCCCTCGACTTCAAGGCGTACATCGCCTCGGACCCAGAACTCGAGTACATCACCTGGACGGTCGACAACCGCGGCACGGGGTACAAGGGCCGCGCGTTCCGGTGCCAAGTCACCAGCCGGCTCGGCGAGCTGGAAGCCGCGGACCAGGTCTTCGCCGCGCAGCAGGCCGCCAAGCTCCCCTATGTCGACGCAGACCACATCGCCATCTGGGGGTGGAGCTACGGCGGCTATCTGACGGGCAAAGTCATCGAGACCGACAGCGGGGCGTTCTCGCTTGGTGTGCAGACCGCGCCGGTCTCGGACTGGCGGTTCTATGACTCGATGTACACGGAGCGGTATATGAAGACGCTGGAGAGCAATGCGGCAGGGTACAATGCCAGTGCGATCCGGAAGGTCGCGGGGTACAAGAATGTGCGTGGCGGGGTGCTGATCCAGCATGGGACGGGCGATGATAATGTACATTTCCAGAATGCGGCGGCGCTGGTGGACACCCTTGTAGGGGCGGGAGTGACGCCGGAGAAGCTGCAGGTGCAGTGGTTTACGGACTCAGATCATGGGATTCGGTACCATGGGGGGAATGTGTTCTTGTACCGCCAATTGTCCAAGAAGCTGTATGAGGAGAAGAAGCGGAAGGACAAGGGCAAGGCGCATCAGTGGAGTAAGAAGTCGGTTCTGTAGATAGACTCATGTATGCACATCTTGCCCAGAATTGGCGGCAATAACCTCAATCTCACTTGTGCATCTCACAGAGTCCAAATATGTCTACTGTTCCGTTTCTGCAGCAAGACCCGGGTCGATGCGCCCATTCAGGGTGGTATCTCCACTGAACTTCCAGCATGAGTGAGATGATTCCAATGGCCTAGAAGGCAGGCTATCATCCCAGCATCCGGTAGGGGACCCCCTGGAGCTCCGGGGGATGCAGGTTGAGATGATACAAGGTCCGAGCACGACATTGTGTTTAGTCTGATGTGGTTATCTAGATCTAAATGGCCCATTGACTTTGAGAAGAGGATAAAGTCACGATAGGGGGATCATACCCAAAAGGGAAATGTGTCCACAGAGACTAACCTCGATGAAGTTAGACCGTCAGTGGTGTCCCAAAGAGGCAATCAGCTCAAAATATCTCTGGAACCTGAAGACACTATCCCAGTTTTCATTGCCTAATACATTCAAAAGGGTTCGGACTATAGGAAGGCATATGTTCGGTTGTTGACCGCGATCTTTCTCGTTTTGAGGTTTGTCGAGATTTATGCGACCATGAAGTATTCCGAGAGGTCAGCTCTCAGTCTTCGCTATGTAGCGTGCCAGCGACGCGTCTGATCATCATTAGGAGCTTAAGCTTATCCTATTCATCGATAATCATAACTGAATGTTCATCACGATCCAACGCTAGGCAGCACTAATGGATCGATTTGCTCCGTAAAACTCGGTCTCCAGCTCATTTGATAGGCAGAGGAGACAAGGCAGCATTCAAAGTGGCTATGCTATGAGGGGGCCTACGGACAAGGCTCCCCCGCCTGATGGCCTCACTCGTATTTAAATTCCACAAAGTCCCTCAAGCGACGTGAATGAGATCTAGTAATAAGCTATCGTGAAAATGTCTCTGTCTATGTCAATGGCCGAGATTCTGGTATCTGACCTTCCCACCAAATCGGTCACTCTGACTCCTCTCAGAGCGACTGTGGTTCGCGAAATCCAGACTACTATCCAGGTAAGTGCTGCCTCTTCGATTTCTGATATGTAATGCTAATTTGTACAGCCCGGCCAGAATGAAATTACCATCCTTGGGCTCGATCCTCAGGTTGACCCCGATTCCATCCGTGTCGACGGCTCCGGTTCAGCAACCATCACCGACATCCAGACCGACAAAGTTCCTCGACGGGAGAATTTCGAGGATGTCTACCCCGAAGAGTCGGACAGTGAGCTGAGCGACACGTTAGAAACCGACTCGGATGAAGATTTCGGCATCGATGATTCGGAGCTTCAGGCGGTACGGAAAGAAATCGCAGAGGTGGAGGCTGGTCTTGCCAAAGCGCGCGGCAATCAAGCCATGTCGCTTGCCGTTTCAAATTTCATGGATGGCTACGGGAAGAAATTGAGCATGGAGAACGCGGACGCGGCGAAGCTGAATGATTTCCTCCAGCTGTACGCCCAGCGCCACTCGGTCGAATGCGACCGTCACCACCAATCTACAGTGGAAATAAAAGAGGCGGAGAAAAGCCTAGAGCGACTCAATCGAAAGCGAGCACGACTGGAAACCAAGTACAACAAAGCCAAGGAGGCTGCGCTGAAGGATGTGCGTAAAGAGCGCAAAAAGCGCCTGCGGGAGCGCGAAGAAAAAAAGAAGAAACAACAACAGTTGCGAAACGAGCGAAAGCTGTTCTGGACCCGTACCGTCAGCCAGGTCGTGGTCCATCTCGACAGTCACTCGATCATGACTCCGGGATCGAGCCGACGCAGCTCGATCGTGGAAAAGGCTGGAAGTAGCGCCGATGCCGTCGACGTGACCCTGCGTCTGACCTATGTGATTCCCGGTCCTCGCTGGGTGTCGCGCTACGATCTCAGGATCAGCACTCCTTCTTCGTCCGCTCGTCTGACCTACCGCGCCGAGTTCCACAACTCCTGCTCGGAGACCTGGCGGGACACCCAGGTGACTCTGTCCACCTCCCAGGCTTCCTTTTCGGGGCTCGAGGAGCGCATTCCGCAACTGCAAGGCTGGCATATCAAGTTGGATCCTAACAACGCAGGCCAGCCGTCATGGAACAACATCTTGCGCAGCCTTGACGAACCTGGTCAGCCCCTTCAGGCTCACGCAAAGTTACTGAAACAACAGTTTGCCGCAATGCAAAACGCAAATCAACAGCGGCTTAACAATGTGCGGAACGTACAGATGAAGGCACAGGTTGCACCCGTCTCAATGTTCGGAGGTGCACCCGCACCAAAGTTCGGACAACCAGCGTTCGGACAAGCTTCAACCGCATCACCGTTCGGAGGTCCACCGCATCCGCCCGCTCAATCCGGCTTGTTCGGCTCAAACGCACAGCAACAGCAAGCACAAAGTCAGGAACAGGCTCAGATAGCGGCGGTGATTGAGCGGGGAGAGAGGTTGGATAGCCTACCTGCGTCTGGGTTCGGGATGGCCATGCGGCCACAAGAACCGGCAGCCCCATCTGGGAGCTCCAACTTGAACCCCGGCAACGAAGACGATGAAGAGGACGAGGACGAGGACGAGGATAGCCAAACCATCGCGGCAGCCAGCCTGGAGCACCAAGACTCCGTCAAACAGGACTACGGCTTGACTACGACGTACGACCTTCCCGGCCGCCGTACACTCGTGCCGTCAAGCGTGCATCGACGACACGTGCTAGCCGAGCTAGACCTAAAGTCCATGACCCTCACGCACATCATCGTGCCCAAGATGCGCGCGGCGGCCTTCCTGCGCGCCCGCATCCAGAATACATCCTCGGTAACCATCCTCCGCGGCCGAGCGGGGATGACAGTCGACGGCACCTTCCTGGGAACGACGGCCTTGCCAAACTGCGCGCCGAACGACGCCTTCAATATCTCCTTGGGCGTTGATCCGTCTATCCTGGTGACGTACGCGAAGCCGTCCGTCCGCCGCGTTGGAGGCGGGTTCTTCAGCAAGGAGCACACGGCCGTCTTTCGACGCACGTGCTGGGTGAAGAACACCAAGAGCATTGCCGTTGATCTGATTGTGTCCGAGCAGGTGCCGCTAAGCGAGCACGATAAACTGCGTGTGCAGATCCTCGAGCCGAGAGGACTGGAAAAGGAAGGCGATCAGGCGAAGATGGCGATGGAGGGTAAGGGCAGCGGGAGTGTTTTCCTGGCAAAGAACGGCGAGGTCAAGTGGATGTTCAAGTTGCAGCCAGGCAAGGATACCCGATTGACACTGGAATATGAAGCAAGGGTTCCTCCGGGTAGTCAGGTTGAGGTTGTCAAATAATTGCATTACAGCTAGCTCTACCAATCTACGCTCATGCTTCTACAAATCGTACAGTAAATATCATGCTATGCTACCAGTCAAAACTCCCCGGCATCCGCTGCCGACACTCTTGATCTTTATGCCCTTCCTCCTTCGTCGTTGTTTCCTCTTCAACAGCATCATCCCCCTTCCTGTCTACGACAGTATCTCCCCACCTCTCCCTCCAGCATGCCAACTCCTCGCGCCAGAGATCATTCACGCACGGGTCACACGAACTTCCACAGCACTCCCCCAGCCCCGGCGGCGGCGGCGGATCATCGTATTCTCGCGCCGCAGCCCGGATAAGCTGTTTCCGGCGGGTGGTGCTCAGCCGTTTTGCGTTTTTGATGCGCGGGACGGACTCGGGAGTGTAATTGGGAGTCGGCTTCGAGTCTGCTTGCGCATTAGGGGGTGTGAGGGTTGGGATGAGGGAGGTCAGGGTCATTGTCTATATCTTTCGTTAGCTACAGTCAGTTCACGATGTTTCCGTCTCGTACTTGGTGGAAGAATAATTTCCCGGATTGGTTAGTCAGCTGCTGGGTGGTTTCGGGCGGGGATTTGTGGTATAGTAGTAGGTGAGGGTTGGGATATGTAGAGGTCATGATATGGACATGATGCTTCGGTTGTTTTCTGTCTTCAACTGGTACTATGAGTATTGCGTTGTTGATGGGCCATCTCATCCCGGGAGTGCCCGTGAGTAGTGACTGTGGAGTGCGGAGTGTGGGGTATCACCATTAGCATCATGTTAATGATATGGCAATAGTTAAGGCAAGTATAAGAGGAACTATGGTGTCATGAAGTGATGATTTAAGCTACTCTGAATCTATTGCTGAGAAATGTGAGTAGTATGAAGTAGTAAGCTCCTAAGTGCTTGACCTCGACCAATGCCAGTCATGTTCTGAAAGCACGGAGATGACGGAAGAATATATATCATTATCCACTACAAGCTTTAATGCCTTGGAAAAGCGCAATTGCTAGTCTTGGTTCAGTATCTGTCTTCATCTATAACCAGCCAAGACGATATCTATCAACAGTATACAGTACTGACCCTGTCCCACCAACACCGTTGACTCTATTCCAGCGCTATACAATAGACTGCTTCTCTAACCTATACTCCGTAATACTGTATGATTTTTCTCAGTTATAGCACTTTGTCCTCCATCAGAACACGTGATACACACAATCACCATAACAACGCGTGCGTGTGGATATCCCATTCCACCCCTTTTGGGATTCATAAGCAGAGATCTACTCCGTATGCATAAGAAATATGCCGCCATTCTTCAGCTGATTCCTCTCGCATGACTGGAATCATAAACCCGGCATTTACTGCAGAACAGCCACGACATCCCGATCTCGCATCGAATCGGAATAGGCCTGAGTCCTGCCGTTCCCCGTCGTCCGTAAGCCCATAAGGTAAGGTACGTACTTCGGTTGCAGGCGGTGACTCGGCAACTGGTGAGCTGTTGCAGTTGCTATTGCAATTGCGATCCCTGTCGGACTGGGTTCTGCGTAGATTAGTCCTTGTATTTTGTTGATGGTGTATCAATTGAGCTATCATATTTTGCATATGCGTCTGCATGTATGTACCCATTTCCAACGACTGATTCTTTCGTCGTTAGCAAACAATATGATGGCTGAGACTTCGTTTGTGATCCGGGTTGCCGAGTTGATTGACCCGCACGCACTGCTGATTTCAGTCAAACTGGATAGATGGCTGCGCAACGCAATTGATGCATTGGATGATTTCTACGAGAATGATATATCTTTGCAGAACTTTTAATGATAATTGTTCGTATTGAATTGTAGAGTAGCTGGGATAAAGACCGGGAAGCGGGAATCCTAAATCCACCGTGGCATTTGACTCCATAGATTGCCCACTTTACTGACACTGGCCAAGTAACGTGTCAAGCTTCCCCAGATTTAGTCGTAGATTGATCAATACTACTGTGCAAGGAATGAGGCAAGGAGATGAGAGCTCCAGGTGAGTGGCCATTTTAAACTCTATATGTACAGTTTATTTGATTGGGATGATTGCTGGCGGGAAAGTAGTACATGATATATCAAAAAGACCACCACAAATTACCTCTAAAACACACACCCCCCGAGCCAACGCACACAACGCCGGACGGAGAAGTTGAAAGCAAGAAGTTGGTCTTGTTTCATCAGATATGCAGTCGTGGCAGGAATTTTTTTTTTTCGATCATTCGATTCGTTCGTTCAAGAAAAAATACCAGGCGACGTGCACATCATTGACCCCAGAGGTCAAGTCGTTTAGACGTACTTGCACATCATGGCAACCATCAGGTCGAACAGACCGATGGCTTCGACGAAAGCGAAACCCAGAATGGCGTAGGAGAAGAGCTGACCACGCAGAGCAGGGTTGCGGGAGACACCGAGGAGGAGGGCACCGAAGACGAGACCGATACCGATACCGGCACCACCGAGACCGATGGCGGCAGAGCCCATACCCATGTTCTGGGAGACCTGGACCATGGCGTCGGCGATTTCAGAGGAGTACTGGCGGCGGGACTGGACGTTGGCGAAGACCTGGCGAGCGTTGGCCTGGATGAGGCTGGGCTGCTGACGCTTGACGGTCTGGAAGGGGGTCATGGGGACAGCGGTCTTGCGCTGGGTGGTGAAGGTCCGCTTGGGAGCCAGCTGGAGACGAGCGGCAGGACGGGCAACCTTGGTGGTTGCGGCCATCTGGGAGGCCAGGCGAGAGGCAAAGACACGAGAGGAGGCCATTGTGATTTTTTGTGGTGGTGTTTTGAGATTGGAGATGGTCTCAAAGGAGGTAAGTTAGAGTGTGTGGGAGGAAAGGAAAAAAAAAGAGGAGAGAAAGGAAAAAGGAGAGCTGGGAGAGCTTTTGGGGGGAGAAAAAGGCGGGAGGGCAGGATGACCCAGAGACCCATCTAGGACATAAATACTTCCATGCCGAATTTTCACCAGTCGGTGTTAGTGCGTTGGACCAAAGCCCTAGCAGTAGTTGTCCTCTATCCGTATCTCCAAGGTTATCTGTCTGTTTCCTACCCTCATTGACCACTCCGGATGGACTTATCGGGTTCGTCCGGGTTATGGCCCAGCTGGCATTTGTCCTGGTACAGCCAATTATTCAGGGTCCTTGCAGGCCGCGCAGCTCCGTAGAGCCCACCGACTAACCTTCGATCCTCCACTCTTCTACTGCTATTGATACAGATTTACTCTGAATTGCTATCTGCTACACTATTTAGTGTCAATTGATTCTACACCAAATCAATTGACCACAAAAAAGACAGCGACAAGAGGGAGGAAGCTGGAGCTGGCAAGAGCAGGATGAATGACGAATTTTTTTCTCGTGCGGTGGATCGAATTATGGGTCCGATAATTTGGTCCGACCCACCCGATCCAAAGCTCTCCACCAATCATAACCGGCAGAAAAGCAGGCCGCCGTGTCGGAGTCAATAAAACCGGGCCGATTCGGGCTGCGGCTCCACCAGAACCGGAGTTTGGTCACCAGAAACGACCAGAACAGGAAGAGACCAGCCACTGGTTTCGGCTGGAGGGAAAAATAGTCTTCTTGGTCCGAGGGAAACTGCCAAATGTCTCACCGACTGGTTTGGCCTCAACATTCCGTCAGTCTCCCTAAGCTGGTGGGAAGGTACGGGAGAGTACCTTAGTCCCTCAGCTCAGCTCTGTCATTAAAGAGACTCTGTAGTGAGAGATTGAGAGGTCGAATGCGACTCATCCGAGGGAGCTGCACGGGTTATATATCCCCTGGATACATCAGAGCGTTCGCCCTGTTTTTGCCTTTCTCCGAAGCAGGCTAGAATCCTCCGTGTTTTAGCCTGAAATTTCTGCGGATAGATCATCCTGAGGTCACCGACAGACAGTACGCACCAAACAGGACACGTAGTCTATGTGTTGTTTGCTACCTTAGGATAGTTGATATCGATCTCTTGCTTCTCATATATTTACACGATTTCTGAGTATCAAACATCTATCAATTGATGCTCTGTTGATGTACGGAGTACGCATAAAAAGGAGTATTTAGCAGTAGCGTCCTGCAGGTAGCCTCACCACTCAGCCTCATTTTCCGGCAGCTGATCATCATGACCTGGGTAGTTGCATATGCAGTGTTACGTAATCTCCCTCTGTAATTATTCCCTGCCAGTGCTTGGAGCATGCGCCCATGATGCATGCGTACAGGGACTTTCAGGGATGCCATTCCTTATTGCTCTGAAGCTACCATTCTGCCGACTTCCTCCGATGCTCACTCAACGCTTTTCAGGAGAGTACCTCCCTAATGAGTACATGAGTACGGGTAGATTGATATTTGACAGGTCATGATGTACCAATTGCAGCATTTGAGGGTAAATATTTCAAAATATTTGATAAGTAGAGAGGTAGAGAGGTGTTTTAATGCTTCATTTGTTATTGTCAGTGATGACCACCGATCGGAATGAATCGGACTGTTTGTTGCCGCCTGAGGCAGCCAGCAGCTTATTACCTGTTTTGGATTGCCGCGGAAGCCTCAGCCGAGGTCACCAATTCAGGCAGCTCTCAGCAGCAGATATACCGCTACTGATATTAGTTTGTTTGTAGTACTATGCAGGGGTAGGGTGATGCTAATTAGCTTCGTCAATATTGTAATCAACTACCGATCGCAACTTCTCAGGCCATGATTATATCACTTCACAACGGCTGATTTACATCCAAGCAATGAATGTCAGAGATTGGACTTTACAGTAATAGGCGCAAAACCCTTCTGGTTAGAGTATATAGGAATGGTATTAGCGTTGTTCTTGGGTTTGTACTTCAAGGCAGTATGGAGTCGGTTATATATTTCGGCTGGATTTACCTCTCGAGACTAGCATACTAGGTATTGGAACCACAATGACACCTATTAACAACAGTTATTTAATTTAATCATTCAGTCGATTTATATGGCTTCAGCGACCTTCATATTATATCAGCAGATTCAACTGACTACGAGTGCTGCCAGTCAGATAAATGCTCCTGTTGATACCATACTCCATCTATATCAACACAACTGACACAGATGGTCCAGACATCAATAGAAGACGAAGGCCATGATTCCAACATGATGAGATCAATCATCAGAGTCGTCGCCTCTAGACCCCATTCTTCGACTCCTATATGATCCCACTGACTTCAGACACGTGTTCCAGAACGAGGTCGTTCTGAGCTAAATCAGTGGCATATTGGAGATTCAATTTGCATTGTACGCCCACATATACTCTATGATAAACCTGGGAATCCATGATAACTAACATTATCCAGACTACAGTCAAGTTACACATGGCTGCCATTGGTCTTAGTGCACTGATTGCTTGTCTTGATTGAATCAAGGGCGACAGCTCGTGCCCAGCTATGATGCCACTGGAATGCCGGACTGAAACAACTCATTCCATGACAAATCAAACAATCTGGTCGACGCTACCACTTGTTTTTGCCTACTATCCTCTGCTCCCCGGGCAACCCTGCCAGATTGATCATCAGAAGCTGCTTCCCCCAGCTCGTCCGCCATACTCAGCGAGTCTATCTCGCAGTTCGAAGGCCTCAGCCGACTGGACACGGATGACGGCTTTAGCTGGAGTTGCTTCCTAATACAGCACATCTGCATGTACAATACATAATGCCATGGCTTAGCACGTACAATACCTTATGGAGGTCCCGGTTGGTGCCCGCGCGGGACGTTAAGTAATATGCCAACCACAACAACAACAACAGCAACCCTCCACCAGACCGCAAAACATCTTCACGACACATAGTCCTCTTCTTTTGCGGGGTCTCAGGAAACTTGATTAAAGGTTCTTGCAGACGCAGGATGAACTAGCGTGCTACAGCAGCAGAGATTCTCTTTGCCCGTGGAACAGTCCAGAGACTCATCTCTGGTATGCTTCACAGATTCTGTTCTGATGCTATCCATGCAGAGCGAGGATGGCCAAAGCCAGTTCCTCCCCGAGACACGGTCCAATTGAAGGGACTTCTTCCCCGATTAACTGATACATTGATCTCCATGCCTTCTGCAACTACGAGTCAGTAGCCATGTTGATTGCTTTCATCCACAAACTCTACCAGTAACCACTACATCGACGATTCGCATTCCACCGATCGACCATTTGGCGCAGCATGTCCCTCTACATCACTGTCCGACTCGATTCTCGGTGTAACCTTCCAGTAACAGGCCATGGGGGGTTGAGTTTATCAAAAGCTGACATCCCGATCCAGGGGCGTCATTCCAGCTTTCCGCAACATTCTTGGCGCATGGCTCGAGGCCATCAGCCAAAGCATCACAACATCACCACTATTAATAGGATGTCTTGAAAGAGCAGGTCTCAGTATCAAAATAAACAAACAAACTCGTTCCATCGTATAATAATGCTTGTGCGACCAAGCTGACATCTAACTTGTCCGGACTCTTTATCCCCAACATTCTTGCATCACCGCCAACAATATGACCTCTGTCACTGCGAGTCTCCCTGTAGGAGACCAGGGCTCAAAAGATTTATCACAAGAAGCTCCAGCGCGACTGCATGATGATGGGATGTACCATCCTGGTAATGCTCGACTGGCAGTCGTGGCGGATCCTCCCCATGGAGTCGGTACCACGGAGACGAAGCCAATAGCAACAGCAGACGCAGTGCTTGACGGGCACGGCTCGAGCGAGTCTGGAATGCTTCGTGGAACAATAACAGACACACTGCCCGACCCCAAGACCGCTGCTGTAAAACCCACGACCCTGCCGTCAGAAGTCCCCCTCGATCTGCGTCAAGGACATTTCGACCATCCACTTCAACCTATCGCCACAATGACGACCTCGACAAACGCCTCATCATCAACGACATCCTCGACCACCTCTTACAACTCTACGCTCCGTACCACCCTTCATACCGTCTCGATGCCGACCTCCACTCGGGCTAGTTCTACCACGAGCGCATCCCATGCAACCTCTACCTCAGCCCCCGCCGCCCTTCGCTGGGAAGCAATGACCCCTGGCGCGCAAGCGGGGATTGTCATCTCGGCTGTGAGCCTCGCCATCACCTTGATCGGGATAATCTTCTGGTGGCTGTATCGCAAGAAGCGGGCTCTGCTGAGGGCCATCCGAGGGGAAGAGGCCCCGTCATCGACGGAGAAGCCAAATCCAGCGTACAGATTCGCGTCAAATCTGTATACAAGCAGTACCTCCACGCTGGTCAATGTAACGGAGATCTTCAAGGCTTCCAGGGAGAAATCACCGTCCCTCAATGACAGAAGCAGCAGCATTTACTCCAACCACCAGCCACGAAGCAACCTGTTCACCCTCGCAGCGGACAAGGTCAGACCACTACGAGGCAAAAAACAGCCCCCCGACAGGCGCAGCCGCTATTCCCACGGCTATGTCTTTGCACAGGAGTTCGAGCACGTCCCCCCACCGCCGCCGACGCGTCTGCAAAAGATTGTTGCCGGTCTATGCGCCAACGGTTCATCGACGGTCAAAACAGTAACGGCACCGTTCAAAGCGCAGCCTCCACCGCCGAAAGACAGCGCGTCCTCAACGTGGAGCTCCATGAGCAGTCGCACCCCATACGCGCGCGCCTACGACAGCTACACGCAAGCGCATCAGTTTCAGCCTCCATGCGACATCAGCGATAACCTGGACCTGGTCAAAGTGCGGAGTGTTTCCTCGGGCACTGTCGCCATGAGTAACCCCGCGGAGATAAGCGTCGACGCACTGGCGGGACGTATCTCGGGCGAGGGCAAGCGACACCAGGAGGCTGTCCGGGAGTCAAGCCCCTCGCCGTCGCAGTGCACCACGGCTCCATCTCAGCGGCAGTCACCACCACCACGGACCTCGCGGGAGGGAAGCCCCGCGTATTCTACGCGAGCGCCCTCCCAGATGCAGCTGGAGGTGCCATCGGTGAAACTGTGGACAAAGCAGGTGTACCGGGTCGAAATGGACTTTACGTCGCGCAGCGACGGCCAACTGCAGGTTGGCGAGGGACAGATGGTGCTCTTGGAGCAGATCTTTGACGATGGATGGGTAAGTCTTAGTCCGCCAGGACCTCTGGGTATATCGACTGACTCCCCAGGCACTATGCACTCTAACCGACGCCGAAAAGCAAGGGCTCCTCCCCCGCGCGTGTCTCTCCACCTGGCCCATCAAGGAACGCCGACACTATGCGTCCAGTAGCAACACATCGGAGCGTGCTCTGGGCGTCTCGCCCACAGATTCTCAGTCCTTCCGGTTCTACCGGCAACAGTCTCGACCAGGGACCCCAAAGCCAGCCACCGAGCCCAAACCGGTTACCGAGTCCAAACCGCCGAGCGTGAAGAAGCAGTCGATCTCGCCTACGCTGTCGACCTTTTTCCGCCTGTAGTCTGCTCCTCTCAGTCCTTTTCTTGTAGATATTCGGGTATATGTTTCCGACCGTACGGTTACGGTCATAATCAAATCATGTACATATCAAGTAGCCAGCTCGAAGCGGCTCCGCGCCGGCTTCGCAGACAGTTCGCTCGGTGGTGCATAAGCGCACGCCTCGAGTTCCGCTTGTCTGGCTCTGGCTGCACTTGTCCGGAATGGATTTTTTCCAATTTGACTTTGCCCTCGGGTTTTAGCTGCAAGTCTGTGTGCCCTGAATAGCAGCGCAACCAGCACGATGATGATGATCCCTGCTCCCGCCGCGCCAATCCCAATCCCTGCCTTTGCACCTGTGGACAGGCTATTTGTAGCTACTGCTGCTGTTGCCGTCGCGGCTGAGGACGTAACAGACCCGGACGGCGCTCCAGCTAACGTCGAACTCGAACTCGCACTGGCAGACGGAGAAGCAGAGGCAGAGGCAGAGGGCAAAGCCGAACCCCCCGGCGCCGCCAACTCAAACGTCCCCCCATCGCAACAATCCCCCTGACTCAAACCCGCCTCGTCGTCATGACAACAATACCTCGTCAGCGCGGCATTACACGCCCAGATATACTGCCCTCGATACGAATCATCTACCGTCATCAGCACGACTGACTCTCGTCAGTGGGTAGAGGGGAGGTAACGTACACGTCGTACAAGCTACAGAACACCCCTTGTAACTCTTATCCTGGCAGGAAGGTGTATAGTACAGCCCGGTGTAATTGTATGAGTGTCCGTCCGGGAAGTCAGTCAGCGAGCCGTTGGCGTGGTTGTTCTTGTCGCGGCAGAGGAGGTTATCCATGCATGTTGCGCTGGAGGGGCAGCAGGTGTTGGCGTTTGGGCAGGGGGTGTCGTCTGTGGCGCGGGTGCCGTTGCGGTAGTAGCATGTCATGTTGCTTGGTTTCTAGGAGGTAAAAGGAGAATGAGAATGGCATTTCGGGACTTGGTGTTTGGGAGAGGGAAGTCGGCGCGCTTATGAATCCGTGTGAGAGGTATTTTGGGGAATTAATGTGAAACGCCGATATGCTGCATGCATGATCTGATGCTAAGCTGAGAGCTGCGCCGCAATTTGCGCAAGCAATTAGGTGCAGGGTTTAGGCGCCGACTCCACCATGCGGCATGAAGGGATCGAATTGCAAGAAAGATAAGACATGATGTGCCCACGAAATGGACGACATGTATGATAGATTTCGTGTGATTTGACTTCAACTGTAAAATGCGTACATTGTATAGGAAAAACGACGAGAAGCAACGACTCGTCTCCCAACGCAGAGTCTCCGAAGATTCTGTGGCAAAGTCATCACGGCAATCGCATGCCACCTGGGAGCATCTGCTATTCTTTCTCCTGCTGATTCCTACCGTCTTGAGCATTCTCCTCGTCCTCAGCGATGTCCGCAACTGGCATATGCCTCCGGGCCTCTATGCCCTGGTTGACGAGTACCGGACGTCCATCCAGACGGCCGTTCAGATCGTCGCGACGATACTCAGTACCATCCAGTTATTTGCCCTCTGTCGGCTGATCAACTGGGCTACCCGTATTCTGTTTGGCAAACATCCTACCTCGCTGAACGTGCTCGGCCTCTGGTCTGCTATGTCTACGCCGTCCATCAACTGGACTCTTCCGCTCTGGATGATCGCCCTGTCGATCGTCATGGTCAATCTGTCTGCTGTGATATCAGCTCTCTGGACTGGTGCTCTTACCCCGGCGAAGTCCGTCGCTTTCAACAGCACCACACTCATGGTCCCCGACTGGTCAAACACCACCCTGATCAAAGAATACCCGTCTGAAATCGACCAGACCGGCCCAACCATCCGCAACACCAAAGGCTACTTCACCTACTCCGTCGGCGTGGGCCTCCTGACCCCCCTTGTCGCCTCCGCTAGCACCGCCACCACCGTCGACGGCAGCATCCGCAACCACAACAAGCTCGACAACTCAGGCTACACCTACCACGGCCGATCATACGGCGCCGGCGCCTCCGTCGGCCTCGTCGACGACATCCTACACCGCGAGAACCCCCGCGCAACAAACTACACCTACGAGGAGACCGGCCTCGCAGCCGACGTCGCATGCATATACAACCGCACCTCACAATTCACCATCCAGGAACTCGGCAACGTCCTGCACGCCCTAAGGGGCCCCCTCCCAGACAGCAACCTCAGCGCCCCAGAGTACTCCGTCTACATCGGCCGCGGCAACCGCACCATCGTCGGCATCGGCGTCTCAGGCCAGCCCGCAGCATTCACAGCGAAACGGTACCTCGCCATCGCCGCGGGGGATTACTACGCCCCGCTGAACTTAACGCAGTGCACCGTGACGTACACCCCAGCGCACTTCAACGTCTCCGTCGACATCCCCTCGCGGAACATCACCGTCGCAAGACTGGACGGCGCGGCTACGTCAATCGACCCAACGCACCGCATCGCCCACGTCGTCACCCGCCAACTGGAACTCATTTCAAACGACCTGACGAGCTTCTATCGGTCGACGCTGGGTGATGCCCTAAACGCCAGCATCAGCGACTACCGCACCGCGGTAGCAGTCACAAGCCCGAATATCTCTTTGTCCGAAGAGCAAATCGTGCTCACGGGACTCGAAAACGCGATCGTCTCATTCGTGGACGATATGCTCGTCGCGTATGCATCGGCGCAACTGGTAGTTGGCGGGTTTGCAACCCCGGCCAGCGCGGCGGTGCATGTCTCTGCGCTGCGGCTCGGGTCGCGTGTGTACATTGTTGCCACGGCGGTGATTACGGGGGTTATTGTGCTGCTGGTGATTGCGGAGATGGTTCGGACGAAGGGGTGGAGGGGACTTCCTGCGTTTGACTATCTGGATAATCGGATGTTGGTGCTGGGGGCTAGCGCTGGGGGAGGTGAGATTGCAGAGTATGCGGCGGAGAGGCGGTGGAAGGCTACGGGGAAGATTCCGGTTGTGTTGAGGACGGAGGGGGATCATCAGGTTATTGCTTTGGGGGTGGAGAGAGGTAGTGATAGGCAGGCATCGGAGAGCACGTTGGTTGAGGAGACTGTGCAGTCAACTGCCTTCAGTGAGACGAGGCAGGTGGGGGGTAGGAGGGTTGCTGAGGCGGGGTGGATCTGATGTGTGCTATGATAGATATGACTAACGTACGATAATTGAGATTCTGAGCGGTACAATTCTGAATAAGATCAGTAAGGGCTGGCCAGTCGTATCACGCAGTGTAGCGCCGGAGTGGGCTTCTACAAGCCCTAATTTCTTGGGTGGGAGGGGATACTAACACGACTACTGTCGAAGCGCGCGCTTAGCTGTATACCAAAGAGAATCTAATTTCAGCCCGAGTCTCATTAATGATTAAAAGCACATTAATAAGTGGTGCTGGTCATACCGGACGACCGCGCCAGTACACCTTCATCTTCGCTCGATGAAGCGCACAAAACAATGGATCTCTACTTAACACTATCCCTACTGTTGAGCTTCACTCTAGCTAAAGCAAACAGCCTAACAGATCTTTCCAACGGCTTCTGTTGAAGCTACCAATTCGGCGGTATGTCTCCCCTTCTTTCAACAGACCAACACTAACCTCTCCAGCAAACATCGTAAACGACACCCTCTACCTCATCAACCTAGACGGAGGCCTCCTCCCCGGCGACGGGAACAGCTCACGTACGTCAGATGTCCACCGCTATAATAGAGCATCACTAACAGCAGCAGACAACTACCTCGTCACCCTCGACCTCTCACAGCCCTTCTCCAGCAATGATGGCTCAACCTACCATCTAAGCGTAATCGACCCTGCCGTTCCGCAACTAAAAGGCCAAACGCTCTGGTCCAACGCCGCAAATACAACACTGTATTCGTATGGCGGACACGGTCTCGGGAATACCTCCCTCGACGAGGGGATTTGGACGTACGACCTCGCGGGGGAGAGGTGGGGGCTGCAGAAAACCAGCATAAAGCCTGTTCGGTTGTATTCTGGCGGTAGTTTCCCTGAAGTTTACAGTGGTGGTGAATGGACTGACGGCAGTTAGTTTCGAGTAAAGTCCCCCATTTGCAGAGTTCATATTGGATTGGGGGGTATCAGGATCGGGATACCACGCCTGCGATCACGGACGGAAGTAGGGTATATGCGGATGGGATGATCAGGTTCAATACAAGCACTGGGGAGTTCCTGCAGGTAGCGGCGCCGTTTACGCCTGTGCAGAATGGGGCGTTGGTGTATGTTCCTGTTGGGGAGGGGGTGTTGGTGTATATGGGTGGAGAGACACCCTCGGTTGCGGACGGGGTGAATGCTACTATGACTCCTGTAAGTTTGATCTGGGGCTGCCTGTCCGAATGCGATGCTAAGGTAAGGTGCAGAACTCATGGGAATACGTGTTTGTGTATGATATCGCAAAGGATAGATGGTATAACCAGACGACCACCGGGACAGTAGCATCGAGAACCGAGTTCTGCGCTGTGGTGCAGCACGATCCATCCTCGTCGACGTACGAGGTCTATGTCCTTGGAGGCGCGGACTACGTGTCGAAAGAGGTTTTGAGCGATGTGTATGTCTATGACCTGGTATCTAGTCGAAGCGAGCTGATATCCGCAGATCCTACCTCTCCATTCCATCGTTCCACTGGTACAAAGCCGCGGAGCTCGCGCAGCAACGCATGACGCTTGTTTGTGAGGCCTATGGCCCACAGGTGTTTGGGATTGGGGGACGGATTAACTGGGCTGATGATCAGGATGCTGGCTGTTATACCATGCCGGCTTTTATTTATGATGTGAACAGTGGAAGCTCGAGGACCAAGTTCGATGTAGGTTGTCTTGTTGTTTGCCATTGTTGATGGTCACACTGACGAGGCAGCCCGCACTGACGAGCTATTCGCAACCCTCTGCTGTGGCTGAACGGACGAAAGTCTGGCCATATCCGGCTACCTGGGCAGATTCGTCACTGAGAGAACTGTTCGTGCCGATGGAGACCTCGTCTTCAACTGCTGGTGTTTTGGAGACGAAACACAGTCATGGTACGCCTGTCGGGGCTATAGTGGGTGGCGCCGTTGGAGGAGTTGCAGTCATCATCATTATTTTGATTGCAGTGATAGTGGTCAGACGGAAGAAAAGGAGTCCAAATAACACGACTGAAAAACTGTGCTTGCAAACAACGGAGGTGCATGGGTATAGCTTTCCTGATGAGCTTGATGGCACTCCAAGACGAAATGAGTTGAGTGATAGTTCGAGACATGTCTTTGAGCTTCATGGGAATTGATAGAATCTCTTTCCTTCTGATGTTTAATGTTAAAGGCTTCAAGATCAAACGATAAATGTTCTCAAACTTGATCTCGATCCATGGTGTCTCTGCATACAGAACGCGTAACAACCGGTGCGCCTCCCTTTGCCAAGGACAGACGCGCCGAAAAAACGCTCATCACATTCACAACAATAGTCAAGATCGCTGTGCATTATCAAGGAGTCTGGCAACTCCCAAAGCTGTCATTTAGGTGATCCTGGGTCTGTGCCATGAGGGAAAGTATATCTTCAAGATTATTAGTGATCAGCTCATCCTGTCTTGCACAGTCCACCTTCCACACCGCGTCTTCGACGTTACCACGTTTCGGATCTTTCACGTCTACAGATGGTCCCGGTGAGTATATACCCATCGATGATGTTGAAAAGCTCGAGCGATATCGTCCAGGAGGGTATCATCCAATAACCATCGGAGCGTGGCTGAAGGATCAATACCGCATCGTCCATAAACTTGGCTTCGGTACATACTCCACCGTCTGGTTAGCAAGGGACGAGGGAGCCAAGAAATACGTTGCCATCAAGATCACAATCGCAGCAGGTGATCCAATAGTCTCCCAAGAAAGCAATATCCTCCGTCAGCTAGGCGTCGCAGGATTAAAGGCCAAGTTGCACGCCGTGGCCGCATACATCCCTCGCATACTGGATGAATTCTCCGTTTCCGGACCCAACGGGATACATCGGTGTTTCGTCACCGCACCAGGAATGATGAGTCTAGCCGAAGCCAAAGATGCCTCGTCTGTTCGGCTGTTCCAGCTACCTGTCGCCAGAGCCATCGCGGCTCAACTGGTCCAAGCTGTGGCGTTCCTGCACTCGCAGGGGATTGTCCATGCGGGTGAGTACCCTCTGGTTCTCCATCTCTCCATCATGCTAAACCTGCAGATCTTCATGCTGGTAACATCTTACTCCGTCTCCCCGAGAGCATGGATGCTCTCTCGCCAGATCAATTATACGAACAATGTGGACGCCCTCATACCGAGCCTGTGGAACGCCTCGATCAGCGTCCGCTCCCAGACGGCGTCCCTAGCCATGCTGTTGTGCCTGTCTGGTTAGGGAAAGAAAGCGATCGGGTTTCTCTATCGGAAGCACAAATCATCGTTACTGACTACGGAGAGTCCTTTGCGCTGGCTACAACAACACGGGATTACTCCCATGCTCCGGCCGTTTTGGTTCCCCCAGAGGCGCATTTTGAACCTCAGTCATTTTCGTTTCCTGCTGATATCTGGACGCTTGCGTGCACGATCTGGGAAATTATAGGCCAGCGGCCGCTGTTTGAGGGATTCAATCCGTCAGCCGACTGGGTAACCAGAGAACAGGTTGATACGCTTGGCAAGCTGCCTCTGGAGTGGTGGATGAAATGGGATTCCCGTAGGAGATGGTTCAACGAGGATGGAACACGACACGGCGGCACTCCACGGACCTGGGAGCAACGATTTAGCGACTCAGTGCAGGAGCCAAGGCAGGAGGTGAGGATGCAAGAAGTGGGAGAGGCGGAGAAAGTTGCGTTGCTGGCCATGTTGAGGGCTATGCTTGCATTTCGGCCCGAGGAGAGACCAACTGCGACCGAGGTTATGGAGTGTGAATGGATGCAAAAATGGGCTCTTCCTACCTTGCCAAGTCAAATGAAGGGATAAAGAGCCATGTATCTTGCATGTTGTAAAGAACTTTCACATGATTTCCTGGAGACTTGTCCTAGAAATGATTCTTTTGAGCTGGTTGACCTACAGACAAAACTACAAGAGGTATGTATACATATACTGCTGGACACACTATGTGCTTAGCAGCATATTAATTGACTATCTGGGAATATTGGGTTGACATCCGGGACGAGAAGGGAGAGGTGATGTTCACAGGTTAGATGGCCTATTTAGATGACTTCTATACATGACCATAATCTATCCGCCCGAGCAGTCTGCGATGTTGTTGATTGCATCAATAACCCATGTAGAGAATTGATCAACACATACATCTGTCTCTTATGCTATTCCTTGGATATTCCCTGGAAAATCCTCGAAATAAGCTTTGTTGATGTGGGGAAACGATGCGGGTGATGTCATCCGGACATTCCCCGTTTTGCTGTTGCTCTATAAACGATGAGGACGCTTTTACTCCTCGTCTACATGCTCATACTCTACATGTCTGATCAACAAATTGATCGCTAACATGCCAGATCCTCCGGCATACCCTCCAGCCCGTGCGCTGTTCAACTTCTCCCCACAATGGTTCCTCATGCCCCAAGGGACCGGCATCATCTCGGTCATCCTGCACCAACTGCACTACCAGTTCGGCGCATTGCGTATACTAGCCAAGATCGTCTGGATTTATACCATCGTGCTTCTCGCCATCACGCTCTTCCTGTACCTTCTGCGCCTCGTTCGCTACCCCAGAGAAGTCGGCTACGAACTCCGCCATAACCTCATCGAGACCTCCTGCCTCGCCAGCATCGTCATCACCTACACAACCATCATCCAGATGGTCGCCCTGCAGTACGGCAGCACCCACGGCGTTGCAGTAGGCGTCTACGTCCTCTGGTGGATCGCCGCCTTCTTCTCCACCCTCGCCATCATCGCCATCCCCTACGTCCAACTCAAACTCCAACCCAGCGGCTTCGAGCGCGTCCCCCCCGCCATCTTACTCCCGGTCATTGCTGCCCTCACCTGCGCCGCAGGCGGCGGCGCAATCTGCACCTCCGCCGCGCTCAGCCCCCGCCTCCAAGTCCCCCTCATCATCGTCGCATACCTCCTCGTCGGCGCAGGGATATCCCTCGCCCTCGGCTTCGACGCTGTCATCCTCTTCCAGCACTTCTCCGATCAGCAGCCCCCTCCGCAAAAGGTATGGCAGGATATGATCCTCTGCGGACCATTCGGGCAGGGCGGCTTCGCGCTGCAGATTTTGGGAGGTGCAGTGCAGAAGAGCTTCCCTGCGTATGCGCGGGGGACGCTGCTGAGCGCGCAGGCGGCGGGCCCGATTGCCGCTGTGAGTCAGTTTGCAGGTGTTCTGTCCTGGGGATTTGCGACGTTTTGGTGGTGTTTTGCGATTATTAGTATTTTGCATACGTTGGCGGCGCAGCCGGGGGGTTTCAAGAGTACGACGTTTAGTCTGGGGGCTTGGTCGTTGGTGTTTCCTTGGGTATGTCCTTTTCCTCTGCTTTGCTCTGGAAGGGGTATTGACAAATGCAGGGCGTATATACGAATTGTGCGGTGCAGCTGGGGAAGATTATGGATTCGCCTGCGTTTTATGTATGGTCGACGGCGCTGCTGTTGATGCTGGTGATCATCGCGATTGTCAATACGCTTTTTACCATCAAGGGGATTATTACGGGGAAGGTGTTCGGATTGGAGCATGGGTGGAGGAAGGAAGCATATGAAGATGACAAGGAGGCTTGAGCGTCATCTTTCATTGATTTGTCTATATCCGACTTTGTCTATATCAATGTATATCAAACGCAATGTGTCACCATTTGCGGGGTAAATTGCGATATCATCTTGACTTAAAACATATCCAGGACCTCAACACCAACGCCATCTCCAGCCATCCTTATAGATTCAGTATCACCGTCAAAATGACCAAAATAGCAGACATCGAAGCCGCCAACGCGCAGTACGCCGCCTCTTTCACAAAAGGCCACCTCCCTATCCCTCCAAAACGGTACGTACGCTACTCCTCTCCAGCTGCTATCATCTAACAAACCTAGCAAACTGGCCGTCGTCACCTGCATGGACGCCCGCATCGGTACCCCCTTTACTTCCCTCGTCCTCCGTACTTCCTACCAGTGCTAACAAGGTAGACGTCTTCTCCGCCCTCGGCCTCACCGAAGGCGACGCACACATCATCCGCAACGCAGGCGGACGAGCCAGCGAAGCCCTCCGCAGTTTGATAATTCCACAGCGGTTGCTTGGCACGGAGGAAGTGGTTGTCATTCACCATGTATCCCATGTCCATTCCATCCTTGTTTGACTGGTGGTACTAATGATGATAGACGGATTGCGGAATGCTCACGTTCAGCGACGAGGATATCAGAGCGAAGATACGGGAAGAGCTTGGCGAGGATGCGTCGGATATCAAGTTCCTGCCGTTTAAGGACCTGGAGGAGAGCGTGAGGGAGGATGTGAGGTTTCTGCGGGGGAGTAGGCTTGTTCAAGGGGGTGTGACGGGGTATGTGTATGAGGTGGAGAGGGGGAGGTTGGTTCGGTTGGAAGTTGATTAATGTGCATATATGAGGGATTTAGATGGCCAGTAGATCGAAGCTAAAGGATGAGGGTGGGTGACGTGGCTGTAATCAATGGAACTGTTCTACCGCTGCCTACTCATCTATCTACCTAGTTCTGTCTATATTACTACCTACCTACCTCCAGAAAATGCCTTAAGCCAGACTCTTATCCACACTCTCCCCCCGCTGACGGCGGAAATACACCCTCTTGGCAAACTTCCACAGTTCCACTCCCAGGAAGAACAGCACCGCCTCCACAAACACAATGCCCCACTCCCACGAAATCCCCGTATGCTTAAACACCACATGGTTCAAAACAGGAATATACAGAATGGGGAACGTCGTCACGAACCCCGCCACAATCGACCAGAACAGGAACTGGTTCCGCCAGATATCATACATCCACTGCGTAAGATACTTCTTGGAGCCAGGCTGCATGCGGAAGAACGACCGCCGCATGTCGACCATCTCCCACGCCAGGAAGAGCGCGAACCATGTTAGACAGACAAAGGTGGTTGCGCGCGCGCGGAAGACGAGGTCGCACTCGGCTGAGTACTCGCGGTTACAGCCGCGGGCGAGATCGCCGTCGCCGAAGCCCCAGACCACAACTGAGAAGGACGCAAGGCAGAGCGCGGCGGTCCATACGCCGTACACCAGAATGTCGACGATGACTTCCCAGGTGAAGATGCCCTGTTTTGTCTGCGGGGGCCGGTCCATGATGTCTGGCGCGGCGACTTCCATGCCCAGACCCATGTCCGGCATGCCGGAGGTGATCATGATGATCCAGAGGATCTCGACAGGGGCGAGCGGGAAGACGGACTGCCCGTCCAGGTCCTTGAAGGCCAGCCCGATGAGGAGGGTGCATGCCTGCGCGATGTTCTCGGAGAGCAAATGCAGCACGAATTTCTGGATATTGTCGAAGATGCGTCGGCCTTCTTCGATGGCGTTGAGGATCGATGCGAAGTTGTCATCTGTTAAAATAATGTCCGAGGCGTCCTTGGCCACGTCTGAACCTGCCTGACCCATCGCAATGCCGACGTCCGCGTGCTTGAGTGAGGGAGAGTCATTCACCCCGTCGCCTGTCATCGCAGCGAACTTGCCCCGGCGGTGCAGCGCATCAATTATCCGCACTTTGGTCTGCGGCGCACAGCGGGCAATGACCAGCGGGAGGGTCGGCAGCGCATCCACCTCGCTGTCAGTCAGCTTGTCAAACTGCCCCGCCGTCATGACCATCGCGTCGGCCACGTCCGCGGCAACACTACCCAAATCTGACGGGAGGATTCCCACCTGCTGCGCGATGGCCTTGGCCGTCCCCGGGTGATCGCCCGTCACCATGTGCACGGCGATGCCGGCCTGGGCGCAGGCGCGGATGGCGCCGGCGGTTTCGGGGCGGGGCGGATCATACAGCCCAATCAAGCCGAGGAAGCACAGGTCGCGCTCGATCTCGTCGCGCTGCAGGTCTGCGCCTTCAAGCAGCTGAGTTGACTGCGTGTGGGGTTTGTGTGCTAGCGCCAGCACGCGCAGGCCTAGCTTCGCCAGCTCCTCCATGTTCTCCAGGATGGTGGCGCGGTGGTCGTCCGTGAGATCAATCGGGGTCGAGCCGTCCTCCCAGATGACGGTCGTGCAGGCGTCGAGGATGCGCTCGACGGCGCCCTTGGTGAAGACCATGCTGCGTTCAGTGTCGTCGTCGAATCGGCTGAACACGACGGACATCTTCTTGACGGTCGAGTCGAAGGGGAACTCGGCCTTTTGGTGCCAGACCGGCGTCTCGCCTTTCGTCCACCGGTCGCGGTTCCAGTTGAACCGCGCAGCGAAGACTTGGATGGCGATCTCGGTGGGCTCGCCGCGCGCGTGCCACTCGCCTTCTTCGGAGCGGTACACATGCGACAGGTTGGCCATGGCAGCGACGTTGAGGAATTCCTCGAGACGGGGGTCGTTGGTTGCTAACTCTTCCAGGTCGCGGATCACAGATCCCTCCTTCTCCTCATCAAAGCGCACCGGTGGCACAGGGGTGAACGTGACCTCCCCGACGGTGGGGTTGAACGGCTCGTTGTTGGTGCCAACAGAGTACGTCCCGTTTGCCGGAATCCACGCCTTCTTGACCACCATCTTGCCCTGCGTCAGGGTACCCGTCTTATCGGAGCAGATATCCGTCACAGCACCCAGGGCCTCAAGAGAATCAAGCTTGCGCACGATAACATGCCGCTCGACCATGCGTTTAGTCCCGACAGCCATGGTAATGGTCAACACGACGACCAGACACGCTGGGATCATACTCAGTCCCGTACCGACCGCATACAGAATGACCTCATTGCTACTAGCGAACTTGTTCGATGCCATCACAATAATAGCAAACAGCACCGCGATCCCAAACAACAGGATCGCCAGCTTGGACAGCTTCCGCTGCAGCGGCGTCCCGACATTAACGCCTAGGAACCGGCCGACAGCGTCCGCCCCCGTCAGCGTCCACGCTTGCACATACCACCGTTTCTTGGTCTCGCCGTTGGGGCCCTTCTTGACAGGTCGGCGGCGGCTGTCGCCCGCGCGCAGGGCCGCAGCAATTGAGCCAATCTCTGTGGCCATGCCGGTTGCGATGACGACACCACGGGCCCGGCCGCGCGTGACGGTGCTGGAGCTGTAGGCCAGGTTGAGCCGGTCGCCGGGGCCGGTGTCTTCTTTGAAGACGGCGTCGCAGTCTTTTTGGACGGGGAGGGATTCACCGGTAAGGAGGGCTTCGTCTGTCTCGAAGTTGACTGCTTCGACAAGACTGCGTTTGTCAGCTCATCATCCCAAGAGAAACAAGGCCATGGGGAGGGGGGAGTACCGAATATCGGCCGGAACAGTATCACCCGTACGCAACTCAACCATATCCCCCGGGACGATCTCCGCACTGGGGACGGAAAAGGTCTGTCCACCACGGGAGACCGTACCCGTGGGCGAGCTAAGCGAATGCAACGACTCCATGGTCTTCTCAGCCGCATACTCCTGGAAGAATCCAACAACAATATTAAGGACAATCACGGCGCAGATGACGCCGCCTTCGATCCACGACTGGATGCCAAAGCTGACCGCCATGGCCAATATCAGGACCTAGAATTGGATCAGACAAGCTCATTTATCGCTCAAAAGCAAAGTGGGGCCCTTAACTAGCATCATTGCGTTGGCCACCTGTCGGACGAGGATCTTGATGACAGACACGCCCTCGCCTTCGTCAAGTTTATTGGGGCCGTACGTCTGCAGCCGACGGGCCGCCTCGTCAGGCGTGAGACCCTCATTGACTCTGGTGGAGAGTTCCTTGAGGACGGCCTCATAGGGAAGAGTGTGAGCTGGGTGGGAGAGGGGCTTGGAGCCCGGGATATCGCCTTTCTCCATCTTACTCAACTCAATTCACTTGGGATCAATTGAACAGAGAAACCGACTGAACAGAAGGCGAACACCCAGTTTATAAACCCCCCAGGAAGAGCAGGAACCCCACCACAGCGAAAACTCATCACCGCGGTGCCCCTTGGCGCCGAGAATCGGGCATTGGCACTGGCATGGGCAGACCGCTTGGCACCGTCATATATGGCCTGCGTCATCGAATCTGACAAACCCCCACGAGGCGATTCCCCACATTCTGTGCCCAGACGCGAGACACGTGCGTCTGGGGGCCAATCAGGGGGTGTTGCCAAGAAGATTCCTCTGGTTGCCAAGAAGGCGGAACTGGCGGGGCGAATTGGAGTCCCCTGTTCATCCGCCGAGTCGCAAGTTATCGGCGAATAAAACACTGTTATCTGAGTCACTAAGTTGAATGCATTGCCGAGGTATGCATCCTTACTCGATAGATCATCTGTAGATATTCAAAGAAACAGGTACCTTGCTCATATTCATTCATTCATAGCATATCATATCATCAATCCATCATCATAACGCCATAGCCATAGCCATAGCCATAGCCATAGCCATAGGTAAGGTATCAATCAATATCATCCATCCGTCCATCTATCAAGCAATCAATCAAGTCCAAATCATAGCTAGACAGCTATTCATCCCCTCGAACTCGTCTCCTCAACAGTATCTACTATCATCAGCAACCAGAAACTCTAGAAAAGGGAAACATGGAAAGAACATACATCGACTCTCCAAATCCTTGCCCACTCCCACAGATGCAGACGAAAACAGACTCTCGCGTCGAAAAATCCCCAGATTCTTCATCCGCACCGACCGCATATACATCTCCTGGGAATGCGACGGCTGGAACCGGCGCTCGTAGGACTCGGCGGGGTACAGTTGGCGGGTGAGCGCGGCGCCTAGCGACACGGCAGCTAGACAGGCGACGATGACGATGACGATGATGGCGGCGGTGGTTAGGCCCATTCCTTCCTTGCCTTGGTCTAGTAGCCTTGTAGTAATTAGGCGGGTGCCAAGTGCCAACTATGACTGGCTAGATAGAGAGATAGACGCAAGATGGATAGATATTGATATTGATATTGTGGAATCTAGTCTACATGATAATGATGAAGAAAGATAAAAGAGGGGAAATTTCTTTCTATTTCTTTTCAAAGCGCATCCTTGTCTTCGGAAGTGCTAGGAAGAGCTGGATACTATTTATGGTGGCTTATGTCTATGGTCTTATTGTCTCTGCCTGATCACTGTCCACTAAGATTTATTGACATCGGTAATAATCTATTACTATTGGCTGGCTGTGTGTGAGTGGGTCAAACATCCCAATGATCGGCCAATGGAAGATTCTGGAGATGCTGTCTTATTGGTCAATTATTCATGTGTCCATCATTAGGTAGGCATACAGCTCACAACTTATGCTGTTGAACATAGGAAGGTTCCTGGTATATTCCTATATCTTAACAGATCTCCTCTAGAAAGATTTATCAACTCTAATATAGAGTGAACAGCATGATTGTGATGTGATAGAAGCAATCATTAGAGATTAGAGAGGCATGTTGTGTGTATAGAATGAATGACCTATGCATGGATAGACATAGACAGACACGACACTGGATAGGCCAGCTTAGGCTATACTAATCACACTGGAAGAATCTAGCCCACCGAGACCTCTGTGGCTCCGGCAACACTCGCATACACCAGGCCGACAGTCCTCCCTCAAAGGCAAAGTCCGCCGTCTCCCACTTCTCCGACAGCTGATCCTTCCATTCTTCAATCCATGCTGTCCGCCTCTTCCCATCAAGACTGTCAAGAACCATCATCCCCTCGGGCACACGTTCAAAAGCCTGCAGCGGACCGCCGGTATAATAAAACCCGTGCTGAGGGTCGCAGATGCCGGGGGGATGGGACGCACCATCCTGGGATAAGGCTGACTTGATATCGCGGTAGCACCATTGACACAGCATCATGAACGGGCAACAACAACAAAAGTACCAGTGGCAAATCGATCGCATCTCACACTTGCAGTTCGAACACTCGGCGAAATCGTCGATTGTGTACGAGATCCGGCGTTCAGAGACCTCATTATCCGGTACTTGTGTCTCGTCGTCGACAAGGTGCACTTGGTTCAAAGATTCGGCAACGCCACCTTCTGATATTGGATTGTCTCCCTTCGCTTCCCGCAGATAGTCCCTGTACCAGGCCTTGGTCAAATACAAGGCCCCGCTCAGATCTTCATCGCAGTCCGCAGCCGCCAGAAACGTTTGGAAGAGGCTCAGGAAGGCGTCGTCATCGTTGGAAGGAATGTCATCTGACAACAGCTCGACACTTTTCTTCACACGTCCACGGAGAGCTGTCCGGGCGTTTGCGAAATCACCATGATACCGCAGCCAAGTCGAGATGACCAAACAGATATCACTGTACTCGGCCTTTTCATCTAATCTCAGAGGAGCCTCGTCGCAGAATGGAATCTCGGGATGGTATAGACACACGGCTGCTAAGCGACTCAGTGACCGCATTTGAGTTCTTTCCATATCCCCAGGCGGGTTGTCGAGTGCGGCAAGCTGGTACCAAGCTTGGATTCCTGCGGTGATCCGGTTGTTTTCGACCATCAGCGACGCGATGAAGTATTTCGCCGTCGCCAGGTCATCTGTTATTTTCCCCACTGAGGCCTCGAGTCTGGCCCCAGCTGAGGCAACAAGATCAATAAGCTTCCCATCGTCCCGCATTCGCGTATGGTGAAGGACCCTATATATTAGACGGTGCGTCCAAGACATTGTCAAAGCGAGGAACTCGACCAAACCTTCCATTCCGGTCCATTGAAACTCCCGAGAATGTGAAGCGGCAAAATCCAACACATCTTGAACACGGCGCGTCTGGTGCAGCTCCAGGAAGACCGAGAAGAACGAATGCAGTGTATACTTGTCTCGATAATCCTCCTTTCGTCCCAGAAATGTTTCCCAGGCCTCATCTGCGGTGGCAACAGCTTTATCGGTCATTTTCGCAAAGTGCTTCATTTGCGCAGTGTTCAGCAGTCTGCCAATAGGATCCTGCCAGTCACTATCCCAGGAGGCGTCGTGCAGCGACTCGGCCAGTTCAGAGTGTTCTAAAGCCTCCCTGTACCTTCCAGTCTCGGTACACGCGCGAGCCATGTCTCTGTGAATCGCATATAGCGCTTGTTTGCTCAGGATAGGGTTTCGGTGATGTTCATCCAGACAGATCTGGAATTGTTCCAGGGCTGTCTTGGAGTTATTATGCAGGAGGAGCGCCTGAGCCACTCGAGCATGCCAGATGGGCGTCTTCTCGAGGCACTGCATCTCGGCGACCTGCATGATCTCAACAGACCTCAACGCCGTGCGTACTACCCTTGCTATCTTCCCTTCGGAGGTTGGAAATTCGGTGCCTGCCATTTGCGCGTACACAAATAGCATGGTGGCGAGGCCTTCCGGTAATCCATCTTCCTCTTTGATATCTTTCGGAGCCAGCCAAAGTCGGGAGAAAGACTCTGCCAAACGAGAGAAAAGTACCGTAAAAGGACAGGCATCGCTTGCCACCGTCGAAGATCGAGCACAATCCTGCAGGTGCTGTTTCGTATCTGGGGAGAGCCAATTCAGGACCAGCTCAGCCCTCTGGTTCGCCGTGTCACGGTTCTGAGTATTCCACCAGTAACAAGCGATCTCTGTTGCGCGAGAGGAACTATATTGGATATATGTGGCAATATAGATTACGTGGTATTGTTCAATGAGCCAGTGCTGAGGGTTGAGTACCGGCTCCTCGGTGAGGAGAGCGGCAAGCAGAGTGGCTATTTCTTCTCGATTTGCTGCCTTTTCTGGATTTGCACGCTCCAGATGCAGCGGTAGGAATTTTTGAGCATAACTGCTGACCGGTTCCAGCAACCGGTCTGATTTGGGTGCATTTCTGCTCCGGAGAGCATAGAGTAGGACGAATACAAAGGACGCCTCAGCTCGGTCAGGGTCGACCTGGATGGGTCCGGCCTCCACGGATGTGCTAAAGAACTCATAAAAAGAACTATGGCGAAGTGTTACAATGACTGCGTCTTCCTCTACTCCATCACCATCACCATTTTCTCCTTCCACCGCGGGACGGAGCGAAAACAGGGATGAGTATGCTGTGCGAAGATCATCCTCAAGATTCAGGACCTCCTCTTCAAGGATGACCTCCAAGATATGGTCGAGTTGGTCCACCGTCAGCGGCTTCTGGGCCATCGTCACAAAGGAGAGTAAAAGGTTGAGCTGTTGAATCTGCGTCGTTGCTTCCCCGGAGGATTCTTCCCCATCGGAAAACTCGGTCGACATCGCATCCGAGGCCGACAACTCTCTAGCCAAACGCTGCAGTTCTGCATGCAGCATTGCACTGATTCCTCGGGGCATCGTCTGAACCACCTTCCGAATCTGCTCCTTGGACCGGCAACGTAGAACAGATTTGATGACAAGGTTGGCCCATTCCCAGAGGCCTTCCGCTTGCCCACATATATCCTGGACAACCTCGTCTAGGAAGTCTGGATAGCCGCGAAACAACTTCGTCTTCTGCAACTTCTGAGACACATATCCGTGAAGATCGTCCTTGTTCTGGTTATTGGTGATTTCAATCTCCGGAATCCATCCGAGGGAGTGTTCGTCGAGAACGCCGCGCACTGAATCTCTGCCCAGAAGTACGACTCGGATGGGTGCGGTCGGGCTCGTCTGATCCTCTGTCGCATACGTGCTCTCGAGTAGACTGAAAAGGATTTCTTGCTCCTCAGGATCGGCCTCGTCGATACCGTCAATGATAAAGCACGTTCCGGCGTCCGGTGGAGACTTGATGAAGTAGTCAAGCAAGAGCTTCCTCCAGACAACGTAGCTGTTGGCGGGGTCTTCTTTCAGACAGAAATCCTCTGCATGCGCCGCAAACCTCGATCGCTGGACGACCACTTGCCATGCCAGGGTCCGCAGCGCTTTGTTAAAGGAGCGTAGGTCAACATCGTTATTTTTGAAGAAGAAAGAGGCGACGACGGGCGCAGAGGGGTCCGCCGTCGTAAGATCACTGATGATCTTCGACGCCAGGTAGGATTTGCCGACACCAGGACCCCCGTGAATCCACAGTAAAGGCTCGGGACTCTGCCACCAGGACCGGATTCTGTCTTCAATCCAGATGCCCGATCCAGGTATGCGATTCTCGTTGATCGAGGAGAAGACGCGGCCGGACGCAGAGACGGGTTCTAATGCTTTCTTCACTGTATCCAGTCTCTCGCGCTCGTTCCTGTTGTCATCTCGCTCGAGTAATTCCGCGGTGTTTCTGAGCGCCTGGTGAGTGAGATCGAGCCCATGGGCAGAGACCATCTTGTGTTCCTGGCTCGTCAACTCCTCCAGCTCGTCCAGGAGCGAACTAATCGACGTATCCTCAATCAGGACGTTCTTTGTCCATTTCGTAAGTCTTGCTCTGAGCGACCCTCGACTTATCAATTTCTGCGACGCAGCGCAGACACGAAGGAAATTGACCAAGACTTTGACAATGATGGTCTTCATCCCTTCGCTGAGAGGGACCCCCTTGTACGAGTCCAGACGGAGAGCAAAATGGCCGAGTTTGTGAAACAAGTCCGTCAGTATGTCAAACGACTCACTGACTCTGCGAGCACCTCGAACCAGAAGCATCATGGCGCCCATGATGGAAGACGCTGGAGGAAAAGCTGCGGAGGCTGCACCCGCAAGCAGATCGCCCCAGTTCTCAAAGGGCGCCAGGATCATTTGCATGGCATGCAAGAGCGGTCGTCTCTTCATTCGAAAGTCCTCGAAATGGTCCTTCTCTGCGTCTAGCTGACGCGACAGATCCTCGGGACCGTGGATCTTGGGGAAGTCGCTATCGCTAAGCGCGATCCCCGTTTCTTTAGCATAGTCGTCACAGGCAGAACGCCAGAGTGTGGACAGCTTGTCATCCAAAGAATCACTTGCCGTTTGAGTCATTACAGGTAGGCGCGCCGACAGGAGGGGCTGTGAGGTTGTATGCTCGTGCCTTGACGGAGTCTGACATGATGCCCCTCTTTCATGCAGTAAGCTTCCTTTTCAGGATTAGCTCGTGTGCAAGCTAGTTAACAGCTCTCAACAGCTTCAATATTACCATTTTGGTCATTTGTGCGTCTATCTAAATGGACGCCTTTTCTTTCTCCTACACTCGCATCTTCCAGCGTAGTTGCAAAAAACCAATTACAGACCTGTATCCTTCCGGTTTGATACTAACACAGCCACGTTTCCCTATGTGCTGCACAGCAGCATTGAACTATAATGATCGATCTACGCCTTAGCTCTACTTCCTCCGGGTAAAAGTCAAATGCAACGGCCCCATGTACAGCACAAAGTTGTCCTGCGCCTGCTGCTCAAATGCCTTCCCATCCTCCCACGGGGCAAATCCCACATCAAACGTCGTGATCAGTTTAGCGATTGTAGTACGCATGTTTAGCAACGCCAGTGGTCGGCCAACACAACTATACGGACCTACTGCAGTCAGCACTCAGTAGATCAAAGATCACAGGTGTGTACATACCCAGGCTAAACGGCGCAAAGGCCGAGCGATCCTTGATCAGATCGGGGTACTTGTACCATCGCTCGGGGATAAACTCATCCGGCCGCGCATAGCATAATTCAGCTGTGCGATACCATTAGCATCTCCTGACACATTCCACAGACGTAGCCTTACATCTCCCCATGGCATACTGCGGACAATACACCGTCATCTCCCCAGGGATATGCACCCCCTCCACCTGGATCCCCTCCGGGGGCGTCTTCCGCTGCAACCCCGACGGCACAGCCGGATACATCCTCAACGCCTCATTAATCACGCCGTTCAGATGCTCCAACTGCGCAATGTCCGCCCCGCGCACCTCACCCTCGTCATCAACAAACGGTTCAACCTCCTCCCGCAGTTTGCGCTGCTGCTCAGGATGTCTCGCAAGCTCGTACAGAACCCCACACAGCGACACAGCACTCGTATCGCTGCCCCCCACGACGATCAGCCGTGCGTCGCCGTCCAGCATTAGTTTCTCCTCAGGCGTGGGCTCCCGCCCCTTCAGCGGCGCGAGCAGCGAGGCGCTGATGTCGGGTATCTGCAGGTCCATGCGCAAGCGTTCTAGGAGCCTCTCGCTGCAGAAGGATAGGAAGGTCCACCAGTCGCGCGTCAGCCAGGGAATTTTGAGCAGGATGAGGTGCAGCCACGGCGGGATGAAGAGGCCGATGTTGCTGAGGGCGGCGTTTAGGAGGGTGATGCCCGGGTGTTCGTGGCCGGTGGTGAGGCAGTCGAAGCTGCGGCCGAAGGAGAGGTCGCCCATGACGTCGAAGGTGTAGAGGTAGATCCACTGGCGGATGTCGACGGTCTGGAGGGTGGTTAGTTGGGCGATGAGCTGCTGGTGGTAGGTCTTGATGCGCTGCTCGTAGCCGCGGACCATCTTGTCGCTGAACGCGGGGGTCCAGGTTCGGCGGCGGGCGTGGTGCTCTTTGGCGTCGCGGCAGTGTTGCAGGGGGCGGGAAGGGTGGCTAAGGTCGTACCATGGGGCTTTTGTACAGGGGGATTGGGAGCCGTAGATGGCAGGGACGGCGGAGGGGTAGATGATTGAGAGGTCTGAGGGGCCGGTGCGGACGATTGGGCCATATTGATTGTGTAAGGCCTGGAGGGTAAGGTATGATGTGTGCTTTAGGTTGATGTACCAGAGACCTGATACGCGGGCGAGGAGAGGGCCGGGGAAGGAGCGTAGGGGGTGGAAGAACAGACGGTAGATTAGGATGCTGGTATAAAGGCTGGCAAGATAGACCAAGATATAGCTGTAGTGGAAGCGTACCGTGACGACGGCGGTGGAGATAACAAAGAGAACGAGGTAGATATGGCTGTAGAGCTGATGCTCGCCACGTCGAAAGTAAACGACATGGCTGAGGATGCCGGCAATAGCGATGAGGACGTATGGATCCATTGTCTGGTGCTACAGCTGGAATCTGGAGTGAGCAGGAATCGACATTTATAACCAGCGATACTGCTGACGATAACATTCCGATCCAGACGGAGTATCTGTTACAGCCACAGCGCTTGCATATTGCTGACAGTGATCTGATACTTCATTGGAATTGGCGCTTCACAGTGTTTCAGTTTATGCAAGGGATGATTCAATTGTGTCACGCAGCGCATCATATGTACAACCTCCACCTCCCCACATAATGCCAGATCATAAGCACAAGATGCCAGATCATAGAGCAGCAATGATGGCATTATACGCCGCCTTGGGCTGATAGTTGCTATCGAACAACAGCGGAGACGAGCTGGAGCGCCACGAGTCCTTGTCCGACACCCCCCAGACGGTGATTCCCACACACTTCGAGACACCCAGGCATGCATTGACGACCTGTTTTTATTAGTGTCAACTACCCTGCAACTGGCGATCAAGAGACATACGTTGACGTAATCCTGGGAGCTAGCACCCGCGATATCCAGCTCGGTAATAGCGACCTCAGAGACGCCGGAGGAGGCAAGGGCAGTCAATGCTGTACACGGGGGGTCAGCGTTACGTAGACAAACCAAGGAAGGAGACTTATCCTTTGACGCTAGAGGAAGCACCCGCACCAAGGTGGGTTTGAGAGCCTTCAGGAAGAGTCAGTATACATCATCACACACAGCTCGCGGCATAAGCTCACCGATTCCATCGATAGGAATGCCCGCAGCCAACCACTTCTTGACATGGCTCACCATCCCCTGCGTTTTGGCATAGCTAGCCGAGTCGAGGCTTTGACGGTCAGATACAGCACACGTCCAGCAGAACCAAAAGCTTACTTGTAATCATTGATGTACAACTTCGCAGAGGGATCAACAGAGCGCGCCGTCTGGAAGGCAATCCGGACAAAGTCCTCGCCCAGCACGCGGGAGAAAACACTGTCGCGGAGGGAGCCGTCCTCGTTGAAGATCTCGTTGACGACGTCCTTCAAGATATTAGCTGAGCTGGCTTCATGTTGGATGTGGCTGCCACTTACCCAGGCGTAGATCTGACCCTTGTACCGGGTCATGATGGTGGTGATGTGGTTCTTCAACACCGTGGTCAGGGTGTTTTTGTCGGTGATAGCCGACACCCAGGACGGGAGTTGGGAGTGCCAGACTACATTGTCAGCTTATCTGTATTCTTGAGCTGCCGTTAGGTTGAATGAATACCTAAGGTGTGTCCGCGGACCTTTTTGCCATTCTGTTTGGCATAGTTGACCTATTGTCCTTTAGCATACGCTCGACCGAGATGAGCAAATTGCATACCAAGAAATCAGCACCAGCGAAGTTGAAGTTTCCACGCGATGCTAAACAGAATACGTCAATAAGTTATGGCAACCCAGAGTGATAGAGACCTACGCTCAGTAGCATCCCACTTCATGCTATTCTCCGGCGTCAACTGGCCAAAGTCTTTGCGCACAATGGCCTCATTCTGCGAGGTCTGGAGCAGACGTTGGTCACTGGCGGTGCCAAAGTATTTCTTGCCATGGGATGTAAAGGCCTGGTTGATACTGGCTGACTGGCGTTCGATCACGGCCGCCGAGACCAGGGAGGCAAAGAGAATGCTGCTAATGAGCTTGCTGAGGACGACCATTTTGAATTTGATAGAATTGAATTAGATTCTTGTATGTTGAGACCTTGCTGAGAGTGAGTCCTGACACAGGTATTTATAGTTGAAAGTACTGCCAGAAGTACTGATACTCCTCAGGGTCCAGGCTATGTTGTTTAGGCTATATTCAGTTTCACCATTCAGTTCAATACTCTATCCGAGGGAATGCTGCAGAATGTTGTCACTCTGCGACTGGGCTTGTTTCAGCCAAGTTTTGCTTTAATATCCGCTTGCCGATCCCCCACCGGTATAAGGGTCCTATATGACACACCAATGGCAATTGATGGCCAGTCATTTCGGTGCTTGAAGAGTTCAGCCGGAGATTAATATTCCTCTGCCTATACAGATGAAGGCGTTGCTGCTTTTGTCACGGCTATTCTCCTAAAGACCATCATGCCCGCTACTGGTAATCCATCCCGGATCCACCAAAGCCGCCATCTGCACTCCTACTGACACCATCACAATCATCAGTGTCAGAAGATAGCCTGAAAGGTGACAGCATGCAACTAACCAGTCTTCTGACTCGCATCCTGGTCAAACCGTCCCACTTAACCCCAGCACTCGTTGGGACTGGAAAGCAACGACCCAAGATCACCCACAGGAAATTATCCACTGTCGTCTGCAGAAACAGCACAAGCATATCGTCTGCATCCGCATATAGCCTATTACCCCGTATTCACAAGGAGCTTCTCCGGATATGCCCACAATCTGCAGAACCCTGCATCGCCACTTGTCCGTCGGGCTTGCACGACAGGCATGTACAAATAGCCTGTATGAACCCTGCCAGCTGCTCCGTATCCGTTATCCTGCACGAACGAGACACCGATTTGGACAGTTTGCCTTCCCGGCGGGGGTGAAGGGATCCGTACAGCCTGTTCAGCACGCCACCGCGCCGTCGTAGCCACTGTTGCTGATGTAGGGCGGCCGCCATGCTGCAAGGGTTATTGCCTGAGATGTCGCAGTCTGTTGGGAAGGCATGTGCTGCACCCTGAGAGGTGATTGAGGTAATATTGATGGGATCGGCGCATTGGATGGGCGGGCAGTGCACCTGAGTCATGACGTCTGGGCCGACGGTTGTACCCGCCGTGCCGACTTGGAGTAGATTCTGCGATTGGCGTGGTTGGAGTCAGGCAAATGAGAGTAGATGAGCTCATGCATTACGGTCTTTGTATTCTTATCGTCGTTGACGCGGTGGAAACGGCAGACGGACTGTTCTCCTGACCGGATGAGCGTGGCCGAAGCCGATGCTGAGGGTGTGTTGATGAACTGCTCTTGTTTCGACTCAATAAACGATTCGAAATCCCGCAGCAAAGAGATCCGATCTACGCCGGCTACTCTTGTGCCTATTGATCCATAACCGCATCATGTTGTTGCAGAAGTGCAATTGTTATGGAAGGGGATCGAGCGGGATACATGCAAGGAGCTTCAGCCTGTTCTAATGCAGACACTGGAACTGCTTCTCAGACACCCAAGTCTGTTCAGATAGCGACAGAGGAGGCAAGAGATCTACTCATACTTTAGCTGTGAATATATTGTACTTGGTCAACCCTCGACCTTGTTAGGAAAACTTATTCACAGAAGGGTTGGAAATCATTCACTTCTAATTGTTGGATCCAAGCCACAGTCAGGTATGAGGGCAGTGATATAGAAGTAAATTCACCAAAGATATTTCAGCTGCTTCTGTCCTGGGTCCTTCGCAAACTCTCTCTCCTCCCATCTTCTATCAACCTCTTCAACAAGCACTTTCATCTTCATTCCTATAAGGGCCTTGAGTGAATACTGATCGAACGGCTAGCGGACTTCGACGTACTCCGGAGATTGAAAAGGTATAAAAATGCCAGTCATCAGCCAGTCTTTATGCGGTCCTATGAATCTAACATGATGTCTGTGCAGGGGCGCAAATAACAAAACCTCACAGCTACTCCCAGCCCACGGAAGAGATTCTGATGGGTTCAATCCCAAGCGTCGTCAATTAGGATTGGGCAACTACAATTGGCCGATTCCAAGGATTGATTGTACGCATGTTGTGTTCAAGATCAGCTACAACACCGTCGCAGAGACGCTGGTCATCAGACTCATGCCAACACTTGTCCATGAACGCCATACCTAGTGGATGAGGGTGGTAGAAGGCGATCTTGACGAAGATCAGTATCAAGCCTTTGCGCCGAGCAAGCAGCAATGAGGTGTGCTGGCTATAAGCTAGCACGCTGTAGACTTTTTCTGCTTCTCCCGCTTGTCTCTGCTATACAAGGTTGTATAGTTGCGGCTCAGTTGACAATCTGTGGGCTGCACAATGCTGAAAGACCTTCGCGGGTGGCAGGCTCCTATAGACAAAGGTCAGTATAGGTCAGCCATGTCGTCTTCAACTTATGCTTCGCCCTAAACAACACAAAGAAACTATTACTGTTTGCTTACAGTTCATCAGAAGCAAACTTGGCCCTTTGTCTTACTCTGATCTAAAAGCGTCTTATGGCCCACCCAGTCTGACTTACTTTTTGAGACAGGCCGTTGCAGAAATATCTTCCTCCATATCAGTATGACAGCCAGTTTGAGAAGCTGCTAGCGGAGATGCAGAAGACCACCGCAGGCAGGCCAGATGCGTTTCCTATGTCATCTCTCATTCAGCCTGGCTCTCAACAAGTACTACCGTGTAGCGGACGAAGAGGCAGACACGATGGCTGCCGCTATCACAAAAAGGGACAACCGTAGCGACCAGGGGTTCCCTGACTTTTACTGGAGGACGACGACAGAAGTTCGGAACATGATGCCCTTGGCTGTGCTCCGTACGCCACCGGAGCGGTCCTCTCTGGACTATGGCGAACGTCCGGTTAACTCCCATTCCAGTGGTAGGTTCCCTTCCCCTATCTCCGTGATAGCTCGCAGCTAACACTGTGTAGGAAAGCTCATCGCTGGGCGCCTCCGTCTCCTGAAGGCTCACCTTGGGAGAAATGGGCAATCCTGACTTATAACGAATCCAGTAAGTCTACCCTTGCGATCGAGTAACAGTTTTTGTCTAATCTCTTATGGCAGCTACTCTTACGACGCCTGTAGAGGGCTTCTCCGTGCCCATCCTTTACCGCCAATGCTGCAAATTGCTTGGCTGATCGGATCAAGATCATCAAGCAACATGTCGAAGTCATGTTTGTCTTATTCAACGAGTGACAACATCGTGAAGAAACGGGGGCTCTAACCCCTCGAAAAGTGAAATGTCCTTAGTTGGAGGCTCGTGCATAGAATTCGCGATACTAGATTGACGCATGGGAACCCGCGTTCTTCGTCTTCCTTTGAAATCACTGTCGTGGTTATCAAAACGCTCATCGGGTCGAGATACAGGCTTTAAATTGGTCTGTTGTTCAGCGGATGCAACCATGTCTGAGGACCGGCGGCCGACGGACAAGCTACGACAGTTCATCATATATATTCAAAGTTCAAGCAGACTGGTATCACATAGTCCCATTGCATGGGATCACTAACGGTGAACACAATCTCCGGGAGCATCAATATAACCGCCTTGATCTCTCGAGGTAAGGCCATTGAACCTTCCTTTTTCCTAGCACAGAGAGACCCCATTAGCCATTGACAAAGGCGCATCAAACCCAAGCCTTCGACAGTTCTTCTTAGCCTTAGTTGAATTCTCGGCGTTTCGGGCGTCATACATCCGTCAGCTTGGCTCCTCATCCATCCTTCACCGGTCCGGCGACGGTATTGCGACAATCCGCATTTGGGTGGCATTTGCATGTTTCAAAAGTCCCTGAGCTAGCATTGCCATGTTCAGAGCTGGACACCGACGAACCCCGTTATTACAACTCACGGACTCAAATCAATAGACAGACGAAGATCCTGACACTCCAAATGGGTTTACCAGGGACTACTCAATCCGACAGAGCGCAGACTCCTTGACATAGGAGTAGGAACTATTATGTCCTTTGCTCTGGTTTAGTGTTACCTAGCTGCTAATATTTAATTACAGGGTTCCGTGGGTTCATAGGACAACGATACCTTCATTCATCCAAGGGACAGAGGACCCCAGCAGGACAGTGAGCTTTGCTCTTGTTCCTATAGAGGAAGAATAGATCTTCAACCGCTACAATGCTTGGTCAGCCAAGGTGTCCAAGCGCCGCGATGACCCATACGCGTTCTACGATCTGCCACGAAACGCGGATGCATTCTTTGAAAAGGAGGAATGGCCGGGCCGTGTCTGCGGGCAGGCTGGATATTTGCGACTCCAGCAAGATCTGCCGTCTCGGGAAAAAGGGTGGTGCTTGTGTACAACTATCATGTCAACAAATCATTCGACGTCACACATCGCTCATGTTTTGCGAAACGAACTCAAGGCCACGCACGAGGGACACACAGTGCGCCTCGACAACCGGTTAGTTTAGCCTTCATTCAGCATTGACAGCTGGATACTAATACTCTGTGTCATTTAGACGCTAGCCACTGTCTATTATCGATGCCTTTAAATGTCAGAGTGGCCCTGCCCATCAGGGCCCATCTCAACATCCAGGCGTCTAGGATAATAGCACCATCTCAGTCATTCAAGACAGTTAGGCAATTGTTTGCAAAATACAGTGCCCGGTGGTGTCTCCACACAGGGCAACCATGTTACTCCTGGTCCCATTGACCAAGGAACTTCTTCTCTTGCTAGACAAGAGATCAGATCAGTAATTTGCACCAAACGGTGCTCTTCAGCCTCGGATGATACCGAGGACATCAATCCAGAAAGAGGATTAAGCGCCTCATCCCTGAGCCCTCTAACCAAGAGGACCAAGTCCCATCTCGATGATGGACGCCAACTGCTCCCGTGCGGATGTCCGTATGATGTATGTAGTTGGATTTCTCCTTTTTACCAAACACCGACCGTGCGAATCTCGGTTTTACCAACCTTTCTGACTTCAATAGCTGGCAATGCTCGAGCAGTGGTTGGTTTAAAAAGGTCTTTTCGATGAGGTGAGAAATTCATTATCATTTCATGGAAACTGGAGGTCTTTTTACTGGTTTCCTCGGTAAAACCGAGGATTAGTCGAACCGCTTGAAGCTAGAAATGCCGAGCACGCTCGGCAAACACCGCGCGTGTCTTTTCTTTTTCTTTGAGATTGTCTTTGGAGAATTCTCGGTTGACAAGGCTCAAAAAGCCGGCAAGCGCACAAGTGTTGTCCCGCCAAAAAGACGTGGTCCGGTCCTCAGAGTCAATGATGATAATGATGACTGGAGGAGGATCGTCCGCAACTTCACCCCTTCGTACGCATCTTGCTCCCATTTTTAGTGACGAAAACACTAACGGCGAATAGATATTTCTCGGTCACGATGGGGACAGGCATTGTATCAAATACACTCCCCTATAATGCTCAATGGCTATACTGGATCTCTGTCGTCATCTTCGCTATCAATGTTCTCCTCTTCATCACAGGATGTATCATCAGCTTCTTGCGCTATACGCTGTATCCGGAGATCTTCGGGGCTATGATCGTCCATCCCGTGTGAGACAAGTCCATAGGTTAAGGTACATTGTTTTCACCAACAGGACGGATACCCGCCTCGAAATGGTATGAAAGCAGCCTTGCACACGACACACGGATGCTGAGTCCTCCTTCTCCCAGGATTGGCATAAAATCTCGCTTACCTAGCCATCATATGGCGCATCCTATGTCGACTACCTTGAAGGAAAGTCCACCTCCAAAAAGATTTTTCTGAGAATAAAAGAGATTGGCACCACTATTTATCATAGCATCAAGCCTGGATATCACGACCGTTTTTCCATCGGCTCCGTGTCGCTGGGAGTATGCGGGCATTTGGGAGATACCCCCCTTCAATACTCTAGGATGACGAAACCATCCAGGAATCCCACGAGCGTTGGCTTTGTCGGTGACAGAAACCGACTGAATGTCGCTCTCAGCCGGGCGTAAAAAGTTTCGATTGTTATTGGGAACCTGAAGGTCTGGAATCCCGACGAGATCAAGGCGACTCATAATAACGCCGGCAATTGGAACAAGTTCCTCTTGGATCTGCTCAGGGACGTCACTCGGGACGGCCTAACCCAGACCTGGCACTGCGCAACTACTGTGGAAGAAATCGATCCTTCCCACCAGACGCTCTACTTGTCGCATATTGGCGATACCCTGATCCGACGCCCCAGATTACCGAACCCAATTCCCAACCAGTGAAGGTTGCAATGACGATCCGCTGTAGTTTTAGTCGAAGAGGCAGACTAGTCTATCATGGACGGTTTTAAGCCAGTGAACTTCTGCACATCAACGACCAAGCCCTACAAGATAGCGGATGTTAAATGAGGTACACTGAGGCTTGAACATGTGGGATTTGACACCAACTACTCTACGGATAGGCAACGTCTGCAATGCACCTTCGATACTTGTGACCAAGAACATGTCCAATGGCAAGAATCTATTGAAGACTATACAGCATACCTCGAAAAGGGACGCTGAAGACCTGCAGACTCGTTCAGGAACGGAACGAACGGCCTAACGGAACGAACGGCCTAACCAATGCAGGTGCCTGTCAGCCTGCCAGATGATCCTCCGAATATCGGATTACAAAACATGACAAACTAGGAGACCAGGGAGGTCCTGGCTGAGCCCGGTAGTGCGTTGAATTCATTGGTATTGACTGCGGATTTATGGGAGGAGGTGCTTTTTACGCAAACCAGTCTGGGGATAAAGTTGTCGGTGTAAGAACAATGTTTTCTTTTGCTCTGTGGCTCAATGTTAGCGTGCTAATATTCCATCGCAGCTTTTCATGGGTTCACGGGTCAATATACCCATTCTTCCAAGGAGCCGGACCTGTATTTGCGTCCAGGCGCACGCCCCTTGTCTCTACTCATAGGCGAAAGTGGCTGGAACGAGTTATTCCACCTGAGTGCCACGGGCCGTTCAGCACTCCTCGTCAAATAATTGAGTTGAATATAATCCAGACTATGAGGTGCCGAAGGTTAAAGCCATGTCTTCTCCGCTCCATAGCGCTCTGGACCTATGCATATGGCGACCTTTGATAGAGGTACCGTCCTGACCCCTGCTGAGGCCAGGTGCACTGAGGTAGTCCAAAAATGCCGTCATCTGTCTCGAACACTTTCACTCAGTTTCTGAACGATCAAGACACAATCTCGCCCGAATGCTATAGTGCTCCAAGTCCGGAGGGAAGAGGGTAGCGAGACTTGCTCGCAGTGTGCGAATCACACCGGAACTTTCCAGTCTTGTGTTTCCGCGCCTGAATACACCACTGAAGGGAAACGCCGGGCGCTCTTCGCGGGAGCCTGTGCAAACTGTGTTTGGCACGGCAAAGGAGCGCAATATACACTGAGAGTCGATGATTCAAGGGAATGGCCACCAACCACGGCCAAGAATATTTTTGTGTATCTCGAACAGGCCCTATCAATAGTACACCGCATGTCAGCGTCAGGGGCATCTGACATTCAAGCCTGTGCCACCTTCTGCGAAGTTACATCGACGAGTTTATTCTCCGAAGTACCCACGCTCTCTGACCTGCAAATCTTCAATATTGTAGTAAATTAAGATCAAGCAGGCAGACAGGCATAAAAACTGGCCGTGCGATTTCGGCGGCAGAGATGAGCTCAAGCCAGACAGCACCGCTAAGCTCAACGGTGCATACCACACCAACTCGGGAGGGACCCCTTGCCAGCGGGAAAAGCCACCTCGTAACCGAACTACCGCAGACGAGCTAGTAAGTACTAGGCAAATATATCTGATATTTACTAAACAGATGCTAACTTATACAGCCCATCGAGGACCAAGCGCTCAAGATAAACATGACCCAAGTACTTGAGACATTCCGGCGCATGGCAGCTCGGCGTGCCAAATTTCAGGGGCGGGCTAATGCTCCCAACCTTGGCGGGGGGTAGGCGGCATTTGCCCGCCCTTGAAGCTGGGCACACCGAGGCTGGTCAGGGACAGGAGAAGAAGGAGAAGCTGGAGAATACGAACCCCGAGATGAGACGATGGGGGGAGAGGGCCAAGAGGGAGAAGCTCCGGCGCCAAATGAGATGGCGCTTGCTGTCGGAGAGTTGTCGGACATTGACCTTGACGTGTGAGAGTGCCACCTTCCATGCTGATCTTGTCGAAACGGTCAAAGCTCTCTCGCGACCCAGAGATTATAGTTAGCACGACTGACATAGTTCGAGCCAACTCTTAAGGTTTATTTGAGATGTTCTAGTAGTTCACAATATGCTTTTCACTAGATATGTGTTCCAAGGCTCTCAGCCTCTCACGGTCTCACCTATCCTCAGTGGGCAGCAGATACTAATGTCACTGATGACTCTATAGACTCACACACCTAGACTATCTCACAGTATATATTACTGAATATCCACGGAACTACTGCTATAAGTCACATTATAACTTCATGGAGCTGATTCTATTAAGCTCCAGGGACTTAGGGTTTACTGCTTAGATGAGGAGTCAGGTGACTGATTAACGCCAAATCTTGTCATTGCAGTCATGTGATCAGCGACACACTTCTAGTTCTGGATGATCAAAAGGTGAATATAATTCTGTCAAATAATCCTAAAACCTCGACTATTGATAAGAGTAGACTAGATACCAAAAGTGCTTCTTGATATGTGATTGATCACAACTTCAATCATGAACACACCCAGCATCTCCTTCACAAGCCTCGGCTTGGTCGTCCTCGATGAGATCCGCTTCCCCAGCCAGGAGCCATTACTCGATATTCTGGGCGGTTCTGGTGCCTATGGTTGGTTCCACCCTGGCGTTTTCAGTTGATCGCGATGTACAACATGGCGTTGGGCTGATCCGTGGTGCAGCCACGCTCGGTGCTCGATTATTCCTCCGCCCTCCGCTGAGCCATACCTTGGGCTGGATGATCCATACGGGAAATGACTTTCCGGAGCTCATGCTGGACCGGCTAGAAAGCTGGGATGCAACGTTGGTTGTAGAACGGGAAGCCGATAAGCCGTCAACTAGGGGGCTACTGGAATATGAGGATACTACGTTTGGACGTGCGAATCCCCCATTACAGCCTTCATCATGGAGAACACCAAGAACTAATTAACCCAGCGAAACACTTTACATATACCACACCCCTCCTCCCAGTCCACGACAACAACCTAAAGCACACTCCCCTCCTAACCGCACAAGCATACCACTACCTCGAAACCCCGCAAGGCATGCAAACCCGTCTCTCAACCCTTCTATCTCTCAGAAAAGAAGCAGGCGCACTAGATCACCCCCTCATAATCTGGGAACCTGCCCCCTACGCCTGTAAACCCGAGAACCTCCAGCCCTGCCTCGCCGCCGCGCAGCATGTCGACGTGCTCTCGCCGAACCACCTCGAGCTCGCCGCGCTCTTCGGCGAATACCCCGCAAAAGCTCACGACAAAGCCACAATTGAGGCCCTCGCGCAACGAATGCTAGATAGCGGCGTCGGGCAAGACGGGAAAGGCACCGTCGTCGTTCGCGCAGGCGAGAACGGCAGCGTGGTTGTATCTCGCGATCTGCCTCCAACGTGGCTGCCGCCTTTCTATACGACTGGAGCTGACGGGAGGCAGCATTTTAAGGTTGTTGATCCGACTGGCGCAGGGAATGCGTTTTTGGGGGCGTATACGGTTGGGTATCTACGTACGGGGAGTGCGGTTGAGGCGGCTTGCTATGGGACTGTGGGGGGGTCGTTTGCGCTGGAGCAGGTGGGGATGCCGGAGCTGGTCTCCGGTGGAGACGGGGAGTTGTGGAATGGTGTGGATGTGTTTGAGAGGTTGGCTGAGTATAGGGAGGCGGTTGGACTTGGTGCTTAGCTTGAGTTTGCATTTTCGCGTGCTTCATGGCGGGCGACGGAAGCCTCATAACGCTCTGCAAGCCACTTGAGATATCAGGGTGTATAACGGACTACAGAGTCTCCGCAAGCCGAAGCCTGGTGTCCTATATCAATTAATCTGTTAAGTGCAAAGCTACTATATCTTATTATCAGGTTATTGCTCAGTTAACATATGGAACTCTATTCAAGTCTAGCTAGCCTGAACGCCAGGGTATATGACAGTTGACAGTCCATGATCGTCGTAACCGACCCCGCTATAGACTCAGCCTATTCAATGCGGGGTTCCGCGATTTGCCTTGAAGCATCAAAGAGCACAACAGATGACATATATACTCTAGTAGGACGTGAACCTGGCATATGCACCCAAGCCTGGCAATGAGTTGTCATGGGTCATTCGCGTGGTTCGAGTTGATCCTTCTTCCAGCGGGTATAACACCCGGTCATGACACGCCGGTTTCGCTCGAGACCACTTTCCCGAGAATCAATCTCAGAGAGCTCCCCGGATGAGGTGGATGCGTGATCTCTTCCCTCACGGGATTCGGCCGGCCCGGTGATATGCGGCGGTGGAGCCCCGCCCGATACAGGTCCGAAGTCCGCTAGGGTTAGGGCTGCCCGCCCCGTATATCATGTGACATGAACATGATATTCTTTATGAATGTTTATCTTGAAATGAACGAATGCAGGGCATAATTTCAAGATTCAGCTGGTAGCCGGTCGAGCTGTCCGTGTAAAAAGGCTCTGCCTTCGGTGTTGGCGAAGCCTCCAATCCCAAATGCGGGGATAATCCGACACATGCGCGTCAACGACGCCCCAATCCAGTCCCGGCTGACGCGTGTGAAGCGCTCCTTGGCGGGTAATTGCGTCGGCCGATTGTACAGGTCCAGCCCGAGTAGGTGGATCGGGGTGCTGATCAATTGAATCGACGCGGGGACTGCAAGCTGCGCTATGAGGATTTTGAGATTCTCGCTGGAGGCGATTGAGTCCGGGATCGAGGCGGAGACCAAGGGCGGGAGATTGAAGGAGCCGAAGATGGTGAGGGCGTCGCGGATGAGAAAGGCGGAGTAAGTGGCTACGGGAAAGGAGCGGGTAACGGTGCGGATTTTGTGCTGTGAGGCGGCTGTTGATGTTGCCCCAGTCTGAGAGTTTGTGGTCTTGGTTGCAGATTCAGTGGTAGTGGTCGTCTTGTGGCCGAATAGTTGAGCAAACTTGACGTCTTTCCAAATGCCTACGGAGGAGTTCACCACAAAGGTGGAGAGGAACGTGGTCGTGCCGGCGATGGCATGGTCGACAGCGGGGTAGACCTTGTTGAGGATGGTTTCCGTGGCATTGGCCGTTGCGAATGTCGCGGTATATAGAGACCACACAAGCAGACTTGGTCGCGACGTAAGGAAAGTTGCAGGTTGTGTGATAGAAAGCCAGAGATGTCGGCGAAAGGCAGGTAAGAGAGGTTGATTGTAGGATGACTTTTCCACCACCAGCCTGGTTGCCGTTAGTATCAACCAGGGACAGGAGCCAGGCTTGAGACTAACCGGTCGAGGATCATAACAGCTGGAGTCACTAGTGTTGCTGAACCTGCAGCAACTAGAACATCCGCCGCCAGGTATTCGGCGAGCCTGTTGCGTTGGCCACCAAATGACCAGGAGTGGCGGATCGGAAAGTCTTGGTCCATGGTGCTCAAACCACAGTCATAGAGTCAGGCGCTTTCAAGTTCTAAAATAAGGGATAAATATGCAAAGATGGTAAACGCTTCTGGCTATGCAATGCTACAGCGGTTGTTAGATGAGCAGTGGTAGACCCATGTCGACGGACACGCGACACTCACAGTGATCAACGCTAATGAGACGAGACGAGACGAGACGAGACAAATGAATGACAGTATGACCTTCTCAAGCACGAGTCAAGAACGAAGACAACCACCGATATAAGAGACAAAACCCAACCATGCCAACTGTCACCGCACAATTCATACTACCGGATATGGATCATTTCGGCGGTTGCAGCCAATCAGACACTCACCGGGCCGGGCGGCCGGGTACAGTCGGTGATTTTGGTGAATCTCTGCTGATAGGAAAAGGGAGAAGCAATGCCGAGTCCATCGGGGACAAGGATGAAGGACTGTTATTGGAGAAGTCATGCTGGAAAGTGGATCAGATTAGCAATAGTTTCGTCTTCGAGTGTACCTTAAACCGCCAGGGACCATCCAGGTTGTGCGGTTCTGGAAGACTGGATGATCGGCATCCGGGCTTTATCTTAAGGTAGAATTCAGGCACGCAATCTATCCAGCAGCTGATTGATTACGGTGGAGTTGCCCTAATGAGTGTACCCTGTGCCCTATTGCCTCTTCTGGTAACGTACCCCGCCATATCAGCCAGCAATTTATGGGTATCATTTTGTGGCATCAGATGTGTTCAACCAATGATGGCATAAGCAGCAATTTATTCTCTAGTCGGACGAGACTCAAGGTCTAGCTACTTCTCCTGGGACTGGGGGATCAAAAAACCTCGCGTGGTATTACCAGATTCAGCTCGACGTAGAAATGCCGCAAACTCTCCACAGAGACGTAACCGGGACGAGAATCATAACGATGACGGACTGCCTACAAGCAAAAGGTGGCTTGCAATCTTGCCGCTAAAAATAACTACGCGATAAGGAGTGTGTACAAGGGTAACACGTGATGTGATGCCCCAGGCCGCAAATCTTCAGGGCCGAGATTAAACCGCGCAAGGCAGATACTCTACGTAATAATAGTCCAGGGGCGAGACCACTGAAACGCTATTGCGGTGAATCCGGGCAGTGGGTCTCAAGGCAAAAAGATAACAGATTCCGATGGTCATTAATTAAACAAATGGTTTCAGCAGTAGCAATCTGATCCAGCGCTCGAATGAGTGGCAGCCTAACTTATCAAGTATCGCGAGATCTATCAGACCAGGCTGGGATGCATCCAACCTCTAGTCTCTCCAACAGAGCAATGAGCAATATAGAAATAGGCGAAAATTCAAGCCCATGTCCCCGGATCAAAACGCCGATTCTGCAACAACGGGACTGCCTGTATGGACTTCCACCCTTGGACACCAACGTGCCGAATATTCACAACCTTCGCTTGCCGTCTGTGCACACCTACATAACCACACAGCACGAGTTCTGCTTCTTCGCGGACGTGTAGAACATCTTGCTCTGGGCGCTCAGCCCCTCGCTCTTCGAGACCAGATCGTCGATCTTCTCTCCTCGTTCCAGAACCTAGCGGACGTCAGCTCTTGCCTCGCGAGTTTCCAAAAGCCAACTTACACTCTCAATAGTCTTATGTAGCACGATCTTGGTCTCATCTAACTCCTTTTGAATCTTCATGATACTGTCCACCTCCTGAGGGTTCTGGTAGGTCGTAATGTATGTTCGCAGCTGAGGGAAGGGAACGGGGTTTCGCGAGGTCGCGGCGCCGGGATTCTGCGACAAGAACTCATCAAGGATTTTGGAGAGGATCTGATGCGCTGCGAGGGAGGGATACTCGTTATCGCTGATAATGACACCAGCGATGCCTTGGGTTCGGGCGTAGACGTGGAATGTAAAGTCTGTCTTGATCAATACGAGCTAACCGGCGTTGATGGGTCTGTCGTACCCTGCTCCTGAATATCCTGTCTCTGGCCCTGTTTTGTGCGTTCAGCAACGGTCTTGCTGAACATGGTCATGAACTCGCTGATGCTACCCCGAGTGAACCGGGAGTAGCTGCTGAGCTCGCGCTCAGCGCAGAGCTCCACAGCGGGTTGCTGGGCATTTTGTAAGATCTGAGAGAAGTAACAAGTCAGTTGTGTCAAATACTTAAAAGATAAAGGATGAGAGCACGTACTCCGATGTAGACAATCTTCATTTTGACGGACTGGGGTAGCTGTGATGACGGAATGGTGGTCCAGATCAGGTGCGGGGAAAAGGTCGGCTCGGAAAAGGGGCATTGTTCTGCCACCGCCTGCCTAAAAGCCACTCACTGTTCGACTGTTTACTCCGTACTGTCCACTGTGTACTGCCCACGGCTACAATCAAAGACCATCCAGTATTACTCGATCGCTTGCCATGAAGAGCAATATGTGAATCGATATTAATTGCCAGATTTATTGATATGATTGTGCAAGCCAGAAATCTTGCACATAAACAGGTAGTGTCCTCCCGCACGACATGGAAACTGAACCCTCAGCAGTTCGACGTCCTACCGATGGGTCTGCTGCGAGAGGAAGAGCTCAAGGGGGTGCAAGTGCAAGCCGCACCTTGGGATCCCATATTACTATCGAAACGCAAGGCAATTTACTCCCTGCCAACCTGCCAGAGAAGTTTGAGGAAATTGTGACGCACCTAAAGTGTTTTCAGACCCTCCAGCTATGCGAATTGTACATCCGGAACCGATTGAAAGCCAGTGGTCTCGAGAGCTTGATTAGACAGGATATCCCAAAGCCTGGACCTGATCATCGGCTTTACGAGAAGTGGAACAAAGTATCCAAGAGAGTCAGTTTATGATTTTCAGTCAAATCCAAGAGAGCATTGCTCTTGACTTGATCTCAAGACCAGACCACAAATCCTACGCCGATGACATGTTCCAAGCAGTCATCAAGCTTGTTAGCGGGTACGGAAAATCTCTTCCGCGTACGGCATTTCTACGACTTGTTCCCATGAAACGAGAAGACTTTAGAACCGCGGAAGAGTTTGTGTCTGCGTTCACAAGAGACGTACAATTCTCAAATGAACTGTGATGCATCAGGACGCCTTTCTGCGCCTGCGTCTTGTTGCTGGAACAACTAAGTAAAGATATACCAAGCTGGGTAGCATCCGTTGAGGCATCCATGGAGGTTAAATTTGATGATGTTGGGCCGGAAACGATCACCTGGGATTACTTTCAGAAAGTATGCCATAACGCCCTAGACTGTGTTGCTGTTATCGCATACAGATCAAATCCACGCCGCCGGAAGCCCAACAATAAAGGCAAGCGCCTCATAAGTAATAGAAATATGATCAGCGACTTCAACAGCACCGTAAATGTGCTTACGTGACTTTATTAGTTAAGAACTCATCCAGTTAGGCTAGCACAGGAGAAATATAGGCCAACAGTTGCCACTGACTGCGGAGAACTCGAACCGGCCCGGACCGAATGCACTCTAATTTCGCAGCAGGTGCGAAATGTTAACGACTAAGGTGGTGTATGTTGGCCTACACAGCATCCACCTATCAGGCCTTTTCCTCCAAAGGTCCGTCCTAGTGCTGCTGCGGTCAAGGCAGTGTGGACCTGTTTCCAGAGAATGAATGGATCGTCTCTAGCAAACCCAGGCGCTGGCTCGAATACTACGAATTGACGAGCCTGATTCCCACAGTCTCAGAGTGCCTGGTGAAGTCTATTCGCTGGGAAAAACAAGCATAAACAAACTGACCGAGGAATGTCGCTCGACCTAACATGCCTTGACAAGCCGTCTAGGTGATTGCTGAGCCGCTGTCGTTCCTGCGTTGAACATGATCCCTTGCGTTGTATAGAGAAAATCACTTGGGTCCGTCCAGTTATGAAGTGCCCCTGGATATGACAGCTATCGTCATACTTTATGATTTAATAGCATCTCGGACCCCATGATATTTTGCAAATAACCAATGACTGCTATTTAGTCCGACCATTTGTGGCATGTATATCACAGAGAATGTGGATCTTGCCTAACTGAGGTTATTGAGGCTATTGACCTTGTCAGGTACCTACATTCCAGGGCTCCTCGACGAACCGTTATCCCTTTGGCGGAAATATTGATCGACTATATTCTCAAGGATGTAAATACCCAAGACCTACTGTGGAATGTAGAACTCGACCCTTGATAACCGCGTTTCTCTCTTAAGACTTCACATCCCGACATGTCACACTCTCCTACCTTCGTCTTTTCACTCTCTTTACACTCTCACCTCTAGTCCTTCTTTTCCATTCCCTATCTCTCTCTCTCCATACCGCAAAATGAAGTTCATCACCACCATCGCAGCTTTCCTGCTGGCCGTCACGGCGGAAGCCGGTGGAAAGAAGGGTTGGGGCGGCGAGTACCCTCCGATCCCCGCCGACATGACTGTGAAAGAGGCAGCAAGGAAGTGCGGTGACCAGGCTCAGCTCTCCTGCTGCAACAAGGCCATCCGCGCCGGCGACAAGACCGACGTTGGGGGCGCTCTGAAGAACCTTCTCGGCGGTGGATCTGGCGAGGAAGGCGTGGAGATTTTCGACCAGTGCTCCCATCTGGGTCTGCAAAGTAAGTGTTGTCCTTTTTAATTACCAAATCAAATGCTAACTGAGATAGTTCCTATCATTGCAATTGCTGTCCAGAATATCCTGAACGACGAATGCAAACAGAATGTGGCCTGCTGCCAGACGAACCCCAGCACTGCAGTAAGTCTAAGTCTTGGGCCTTTTCAGCACATGCGCGAGTCTAATGTGTTCTAGGGCAACGATTTGATTGGTGTCGACCTGGCCTGTATCGCACTTGGAAATCTGCTGTGATGCGGATGCGGATGCGGACTGTGTTTCTTTCATACAGATATTTTTGCTCAGTCACGTAAAACATTTAATCTTACTATCTAATACCTGCAACTGGCATCAATGCCTTATGCCTTATGCCTTTATTTGGCAAGTCAAGTCACACCTTGATCTCGATCTTCGGATCCCGCACCATGCAATACAACTGCCCTCGTCAGCATATCGCAATCCTAAAACCCAAAAGGAAAGGGAAAATACCTTGCAGGCATCCCACCCATCCACACACTCTATCTCCTTAACCAGCTTAAACCCCAACCTCTCATAGATCCCCAGATTCGGCTCCCCCTTGGAACTCTCCAGGTAGCACGGCACGCCCTCCGCATCCGCCCGCCCCGTCACAGCCTCCACCAGCTTCCTCCCCACCCCCATCCCTCTCATCTCCGCACTTACCGCTATCACATTACAGAAGTAGTATCCTGCCGGGTTAGTCCAGAGCTCCGCGTGCGTGCGCGCCTGCAGAGCCTTCCAGATCCAGTAGCGCCGGACATTCAACCCCCCGCGTCCAAAGAAGCGGATGTTGTTGAGGAGTTGGCGGAAAGATAGGAGCCAGTCTTGGGTCCAGGTGGTCCAGGTTTCTTTCTGTTGTGGGGGGAACCACCAGCAGACGCCGACTACGGCGGAGGAAGGCGGGGGGTGCTTGTCTGTTGGGGTGGGGCGGTATTTGGCGATGTAGATGGGGGCGTTGGTGTTGAGGCCGTGGAGGAAGTGCGCTGAGAGGGAGGCGGCGTTGCGGTGGACATTGAACTATTTGACTCTGTTAGTCTGCAGTCTTGCTTCAGGCATGGTGTGTAGGGAGGGCGTTACTTTGGATGGATCGTTAAAGACCCAGCGGAAGTATGGGTCGTCGGCGAACGCCTTTTGGATGCAGACTACTGCATCGGGGATGTCCGGCTCTGTGAGCGGAAGTATATCGATTGCCATCTTGGGGCTGTTATTCAATTTCTACTGGCTCTGCGGATGGGCTGCGATAGGGATATGGTGTATGTGTGGGAATGTCGGCGGAGGGGATAGAGAGAGATCGCCATCTAAGTGATGATTGAATATCTGAATATCAGATTGGATGTGCGCAATACAATACTGGTAACTGATGGTAACTCTCTTGTTGCAACTGATACTACAGTCGTGTTATCCTACCGGCAAAAGATGAAGCTTATATGCTTCAGAGGACAAGGTCACGAGATATCCCTACAAGGCAGTTCCATGCGGTTCTTTTAGATGATCCTGTGCTGCGTGCACCAAGTACAGGTGTCACATTATTGGGAGACCTTGCAGCCGACCTGCAAAGCCAAGTCGGACAGCGTCGTTCATTGTCATCCGCAAGTAAAGATCAGGCGAATCACAGAGTGGACAAGCAAGTGATGCCGCCAACTGGGGATCCCGAGCCCCCGCTGTGGAGGGCCAAGCCTCTAGGCGGAATCAGGCAGGTTCTTGCGGTGCTGTAGTTTTATTGGTGATATTGGCCATGTTATGGATAGAACACTGTCAGCTGAGTGGCCTTGTACAAATGCTATCTTAGAATCACTTGTCGAACAGATCAATTGCGAGCCGGCTCCCGAATCATAACTACATATCTGGCGTCTCCCTCCCCACCATACACCGAGTAATCAATCACAATATCCTCCACATCCCGCCATCCATACTTTCTATACAGCGGATACCCCTCCGGCGAGGCCTCCAGGTAAATCCGTGCATTTTTCTGGTCTGCCATCCGCACTCCCCAGTCCAGCAACGCCTTTCCCACCCCTTTGCCCTGATGCTGCGGATGCGTCACCAGAAGTTCCAGAACTACCCCGTCAGCCAGATTCACTTCCAGCGTAGGTAAAAAACTCACCGATGTCACCCTCCCTGACGTACTTCCGCCTCATCTCCTCCAGCGCCTTCATCACTCCATCGTAGACCGCTACATTCATCCCTGCCGGCCGCAGCTGCGCCATCTGCGCCGCCTTGGCCCTTGCTTCGTCGGACAGGACCGCCATTTCACTCTCGCTCCGCCATATAGGACTGGTGTCGGGCATAAGCCAGCGTGAGCATCCCAGGATTTGATTCGAGGTGGAGTCTGTAGCGACTAGTAGGTGCATCTTGGGGTTGGAGAGCTTGTCGTAGGTGCGGGAGATTTTCATGGGCGTGGCGGATAGAGGGTCGATGTTTGGGAACATGTTGCGGTACATGGGGCCATCTTGGAAACAGATGATGTTTAGCTCTGCGATTGCGGGCGCGTCGGCTTCGGTGGCGTAGCGGATGGTGGTCATTTTACAGTCGTTTACTCCGTGTGTGGTAAACGTATGTTATGGAAGTTGACAGGAATGGATTTAAAGGCAAATGGGTAAGCAATTCGGCGGGTGCCTAAATAGTGCTTGGATGGTCGTGATTTTTGTCCATTAATGGAGCCCGACTGGGATGCCGAGGTTGACTCTGACTCAGTCTGACTCAGAGGGTGATCTATCTGATTAGATCAAGATTAGACAATGGAAAAGATGGAAAGAGATAGAAATATGATGGCATTTATTGTCCGTCTAATCATTATCATACCAATGTCTATAGCTAGCGCTGTTTCCCCACTTTTCTTGAATAGCTTCATCTAAGCGAGACTCAAGCCCACTTCCCCAACACCCCCATCAAGACCATCCCCGCAATCAGCGACAACCCTCCAACAGCCACGCTGCTCATTCTGGCATTCATCATCTCGCCGCCCTCCATCACCCAGTCCCGAGCCCACATATCGACCACTCCAACCCACACCAGGATGCCCGCCGACAGTGCATCCAGCGTCCCCAGCGCCACAATCGTGCTCTGATCCTTCCCGTTAAACGAATGCAGCACTCCGAGCCCGATCGCCATACCGATCGGCGTGATCACTGCAAATGCACCCGCCATCAGCGCCTTAGACCCCAGCAGCGGGCCTGGGAGCATCGCGATCCGCGCACCGAGCGCTAGGCCCTCGAAGAACTGGTGGAATACAATCACCACCAGCACTGTCTTGTAGAACGAGTCCCCGGCAACCACGAGGGTCAGTCCGATCAGGATGCTGTGGAAGATCACGCCGGCTTCCATGACCAGCACGGAGAGCTTGGTGTTGGGGTTTGTGGGGTCGAGTGGAGGGCCGTGGTGATGGCCCAGGGCGGCAAGGGTCGGTTGCTGCGGTTGGTTGGAGGGTGGTTCTTTGCTTGTGGGTGAAGGTGTGACTTCGCCAGTCTGCTCGGGACAGGGTGAGGCGGACCGTTTCCCGCGGACGAGAATGATGCGGTGGCCAATGTACTCGACGAGAAAGGAGAGGAAGATGCCGGCCATGACGATGGCGGAGGTGGTGGCTTCGTATTCGAGTTCGCCGAGACACTCGTTGGTGAACATGAGGTTGGCGTGCGTGTAGAGCTGGTCGGTTAGCTGCGTTCGTCATCTAGGTGGAGAGGGGCCATACATGCACAAACGCAGTGGAGAGGATGACACCCGTTCCGAACTGCTTGATCACCGTCGAGACGACTCCGTTTATCTTGGCAGAGGGCAGTTTGACCAGGAGCATTGGCAGTAACACGCCGATGGAGCTGGTGACGAGCACGACGAACAGGGTCCCGATGCGCAGGGGGACGTCGTAGTCGCGGCTTCGGAGACCACAGGATTTTTGGCTGCTTCCACTTTCGGATTCTCCTGCACCAACGCAGTGCCTAGGTAGGTTAGTATTAGAAGAGCGGATGTACCAAGCAGAGGGAAGACGTACTCGACACCCGCGTGGAAGTGACAGTTCATGCCCGCCTTTGAGCCCGAGTGCGATTCCTCGCTCGAGCCAGATGAAGAGGAACCTTCTGTCGCATCTCCTTCTCCGACGATCTGGACGTCGTTTCCCTCAGAATCCATGCAGAACCTTCTACCGTCAGCTACGCTACGCTCGATCAAAGTACAGCGAGGTACTTACCTCTCTTCACCATGAGAATGGCATCCCGTGTACTGGGCCGGCAGTTCCCCTGTCGGTGTCGACGGCAGCATCACTTGCACCTCGTGACCATCCGCGTCGATACAGAATACATCGCTGCCGTGGCTGTGGCATCCCGTCACGGCGGAGGCGTCAGCGGAGGTGGTCGTGCTGGCGGCGGCGGTTACAGGAACTGTCTTGGAAGCCGACGGACTCGCCGTGGGGAATGGGGTTTCCTTTCCATCTGGACCAAAGCAGTACTCGGTGCTGCCGTGGTTGTGGCAGCCCGTATAAGTGATATACTGCGCGTGGGCAAGGCCGAGAAGTGACAGCAGCAGCAGAGCTTTGGCCATGATTGAATGGATTGAGTCTGGTCGCTCGGGTAGCTACATGTTACGTGGTACGGTATTTATATCTATCTACGCAGCAAATCTGTGACTATTGTAAATCACTCGATGGATCATTCGATGAGGGCTAAGCCACTGGCAGCGAAGAGTTTTCCTCTCGCCTTGAACCACACCACACTAACTCCCAAGGTATCTGCGGCCAAGAGCAGAATCTGACTGCCAAGCAGGAAAACTCCGCAACCTCGACGAAAAGCAGCTATATTCTGCGGCAAAATGGATCGAGAGCCGTGCTTGTTGCTCTCAAGGTCCTCGACCCAAGACTCTTGGCTCCTTCGCCGGGATTCTTGGCGCGGGCTGGCTCCATGCATCCATATCACGTTGTGACCTCGTGGTGCATCGTTGAGGGATTAGGTTGGTACTTCCTTTCATTTGATAAACATCAAGTCTGTAGAGGCATGAAAGTTAGCTGTTTCAAGGCTGCATACGCAGGTCCCTGTATGCAAGACTGCAAGTCGAATCATGTACGAACAGCATCATATATGGCCGACAGAAGCTCAGAGTATCATAGCTTGTCGGAACTAGCGGACTCGGGAATCAGCTTGATCACTACCAAGGTGTTCTTGGTATCCTGTGGAACCCCGCTAGAATACGAAGAATAGATCATGCATCTCGATGGCTCGAGGCCTTGACCTACGTCGGGGTGGGCCGGTGGCGTGCATCCTAATGGCCCAAATCCAACAATAACAAGACAATGAGTACCTCTGGTGCCGCGAAGCAATCGATCCTCAAGGTATATAAGGACAGCTCTACCTCTGGCCGGTATGCAAACCCACGCACCATCCATCTTTAGTATACTCAAAATGGCTGCTCTCCTCCGCCTTGTCGCTCTCCTCCCCCTCGTGGCCCCCCTCGTCGCCGCCCTCCCTACCTCCTCCGCCCCCATCGAGGCGCGAGCAAACCCCCACGAACCCATCTTCTTCTCCTGGGACGCTGGTGCCGTGACCTCCTACCCCATCCACTCCAGCTGCAATGCCACCCAGCGCCGGCAGATCGAGGCCGGCCTGAACGAGGCGATCGAGCTCGCCCGGCACGCAAAGGCCCATATCCTCCGCTGGGGCAACGAGAGCGAGATCTACCGGAAGTACTTTGGCAACCGACCCACCATGGAGGCCATCGGCGCCTACGATGTTATCGTCAACGGCGACAAGGCCAACGTTCTCTTCCGGTGTGATAACCCTGACGGCAACTGTGCTTTAGAAGGTAGTCACCCCCACAACAAACTTCTTCACTACCCCTCAGCCCGCAGGCGTAAGCTAATTATATTGAACAGGCTGGGGCGGCCACTGGCGCGGCTCGAACGCCACCTCCGAAACCGTCATCTGCGACCGCAGCTACACCACCCGCCGCTGGCTGCTCTCCATGTGCTCGCAGGGCTACACCGTCGCTGGTTCCGAGACCAACACCTTCTGGGCGGCGGGTCTGATGCACCGTCTGTACCATGTTCCTGCTGTGGGCCAAGGCCGGGTCGACCACTTCGCCGACGGCTACGACGAGGTGATTGCCCTGGCCAAGAGCAACGGGACAGAATCCACGCATGACTCGGAGGCGTTGCAGTACTTCGCGCTCGAGGCGTATGCGTTTGATATTGCGGTGCCCGGTGTCGGATGTGCGGGTGAGAGTAAGGGCCATGACCATGGACATGACACTGGCTCTGCGTCTGCGGCTGCATCTAGCTCTAGCTCTAGCTCTAGCGCCACGACTACCCCGACGGATGCTCCCAGTGCGACTGTTGATGTGCCGCCGGTAAGTAGTGTCCTAATATGGGTAAGAGGATGGCTAACTGACGTTGGTAGAACTGCCATACCCATGAAGGTGGACAGCTTCATTGCACTTAGGCGAGGACACGATGCTTGATGACCGTATGCTTGACGCTGTATACTCCCGGTTAGGACCCGGTCCTGAGTAACTAGATTTAATCTCTATTGTCTAAAAAAGAAGTGTTATGAATGCGCTTTTGCTTATTTGGATATGCTTGAGATATACACGCTGTATAGCAGTGTAGACCCAATAAAGACACACTCTTATAATCTACTCAGATGTTAAATATCATATCTATGCAGACGGACTTGGGATTTGCCCTCATGAACGAACGCCATCGGCGACATGGACACCGTCGCTGAAGTCCTCTGGTGCTCAGTCAGCCCAGCAGAGTCCCCCAGAACCAAAGACGAAACAGAGACGGGTACGTAACGTCTGACCTGTCCGGTTTGCCGTGTTCAATAGCCTGAACACGTAGAAATCGGTTCTCTTGGCGCGAATACCTACCAGTACGTCACCTGTCTTTGGAGTGTGCAGGTGGTATGTGAGTAGTGATTGCTAGACTGGCAGCTTTTGGCTTGCTGGAAACTCATGTCGCAACTATTCCGAGCATGTCGCTATTGTTGAGAATTGAATCGGATAGGAGAGACCGTGGCTACGCGTAGAAATTGAGGATTTTGAGTAGTTTGGAGGATTGAGGATGAGGATGGGGATGGGGAGGGTCGTACCTAGGTTGTCTCGAGTATAGCTGCGTTGTATATATATTTACCGAGTAGATGCAGTTATATATTTCTGTATGGTTAACCCTAATATTCCGAGAACACCAAGTCAATCGCAATAGACTTGACTATTCACCTTCCCTAAAGATATCTACTCATGACCAGTAGAAGCTATAATGAGAACACAGCGAAAGGATGTTCGTAGTGTCGCATAATGACATACTGCTAAACGCCCAGTACACTCCATGCAATGCACTGCAATTACTCTCATACATCAGTGTACACGTTAGAACTCCGTCATTAAGTTGATCATATCCCAGAACAAGCCGAACAATAGGAAAGCCTCATACTATCCAGTCCCTAGCCGGGACAAGGTACCGTCCATTCTCAATGTCGTCCGGTCGACGTCAACGACTTTCTTAACACGCAGGAAATGAGGAGATTACATGTTTCCCTGGAAACACATGCTGCTAATGTATTTTAAGCAAACAATGCAGCCAAAGAACGCGATAATTTGAGGATGCTCCGCCCGCGCCGCGAGGAGGAGGACGATGGCGTTGGAATGTCTTGCGGAATGGGTGCGCGCAGGTACCGCTACGTGCTGTGTGGTATCAAGGGGTCTTGGCTGGAGGACAGTGTTGCCTTTGAGCGTCAGATGGAGTAATAAATGATTGGCGGGAAGTCATGGAGTCGTACCTGGATACCCCTTGATTCCATGAGTGAGGTGATGTAAGCGTTGGTTCTCGCCTGTGGGCAGTGGACTGGCTTGGGACTTGAGGGATATGATTGATTTGATGATTGTACTACTTTATCTGTAGGATTAGGTTATTGTCAGCAGGATTCTGAATATGACCCTATCTACAGAGTATGACGATGTGGTAGATGATAGGGTAGTGGGAAGTGCAGTAAGTCACCAAGATGAAGAAACTAGAGCATAGGACGTACACACTTGTGATACTCAATTTCCACATAGTGTAGGTGAATCGTCTAGTTCACAAGTAGTGTCCAATGTCTAGACTAACGTGTACGCCGTAGTTATAGTCAAAGTTCTACTATAGTTATCGAGCATAGCCACCTACAGATGAATCAGTATAGTCGCTGATACTTGTTACTCAAGTCGTTAGTCCATGCCGACCAGTATGCTGTTGCTATCTGCTACAACGTCTAGGATTAGTGGTGTACTCCATGGATATCTAGTTTTGGGTAGAAATATATAGGACGGTTAACTGTTATGGAAACAATTCTGGCACTTTTAAATATTATTCCAGTACTAGAATCATCACTCTATCAGTCAGCTATACGCGGATATCAATGTCTTGTGGCTCTTGGTAGGGTTCTCTATGACTCGACACGTGTGTGCGGTGTAAATATATATTATTTATATATGTCGATTGTTGGGAGTAGCTTAGCTCAACATCTAGACACAGAAGTGGCAAATAGTCTACCCCTATCTAGGCCACAACGTTTTGCATGATATTCAGAGAGATCTGCAGAGCAACGTTAATAGTGTCTTTAGTTCAGTGATACTCATAGTTTGATAGTACAAGCATCCATGTGTAAGATTGATGCTTATCACCACTGACCATTCCATTCCGGCTCCAATGTCAATGACAAATTGTATGACAACTTCAAGACAATCTCCCAATCGATTGAGACCAGTATTCCTTAAAAGAAGGTTTGAATCGAACGACGAAATTATGGAAGACTTGTGGGGGATCTAAAGCGTAATAGCTCAGGGGCACCATGTTCCACTATCATCACTAGTACTATGGAGACGTCAACACTTAACTCTAAACGAGGCCCTCGTCCAGTTTCCAGTCCAGACTCGGTCTCGGTCTCCTTTTTCTTTAGGTTTGTCTATCATGCAATTCCTTCAAAGCTAGTCCTGAAGAGTGACGCTAAACTGGAGCACCGTCTTGGCAACATGGTGACACCTTCTCTCTATTGCATCTGTCGCATGCTTCCCATATCACCAGGACAATCAACCGGAGATGTTGGCCAGAAGATGTGATGTAGTCCAGGGGAACGGAAGGAATGCCTCCACAATCCCTAAACCTAGTATCAGAAACACCGAACCTGTTCTTAGCCGAAGTGACTGAACAAACTTTGCCCTGATTCTCTGCTGCACGTTCCCCAAGCTTTTTAGTTCCGTTCCTGATAGGTCATATTGTCTCGACTGGTTGAGAGGCGACTTGGGGGGTGTGCACACATGGGGGAAGCCGCAGCGCATGACCCCCTTCCCTGCCCCGAGACATTTGTCTTGGACTTCTTGGAAGCTTGGAAAGAGGGGTAGAAAAGAACTTTATATTATTTTGCTCTTTTCCGATTAGACGTGGCATCCTTATTTATGTGCGTTGTCAAGTGAAGCTTAACACTGTCTATTTCCTGGCAGCATTGATATAGGTTCTGGCGCATCGCTGTTGAAAGGAGGGTTCGAGCCATTACTTCCCCCGTCCGCGTCGCCCCTTCATTCGCAGCTTTTACCTTGTATATTTTTTTTTTTTTCAACTACACAATCTTTGTCGCCATGAGTCCCTCGCTGCAATTGAATACTCGCTCTCAGAGGGATGAGAAGCTTCCCTCATGCTCCTCCAAGACTCTTGTCGCTGCTCCGCCCGTGGAATCTCCCAAGTCTCCGGAAGACTATGACCCTTGTGCCAATGCAAAGCCATACTCCCCCTTTTATCGACATGCGACAACCTCGTTCGCCTTGGAACAGTCAAAATCTCAAACGAAGAAACCGAACTGCACTGTGGATGCAATGAATGACTTGGAAAGTGCACCGTCGCAAACTCCTTACAAGCCATCAATGGACGTACCGGGCTGCCGCACCTCGAAGCTGTGGACAAAGAAGCGGAACCGTTGCGGTTGCATGCAGTCCTTGACGAGGAAGCAGAGGATGATAGTCAAGGCCGCCATCGCCATTGTCACGGTGGGGAGCATGGTGGCTATTGCCTTGGGAATCACCGTCGCTGTGGGCGGCGGAGTGTGGAAATCCGATCACCAACAAGGGGCCATCGTTGTATAAGAGTAAGTGCATTTATCATAATGCCAGGGACATTGCCATTGTACTCGGTCGCTGACTCCTTAGTTTGCACAGGTGACGCATTAGAATTGTACATCGTGCTACACGTCTACTTGTGCGGACTCGAGCTCTGTCCTTGGATGCCGACTACGCTGGACGTCAAGCGCGCATCTGCTCGAGTCCACTATTCCACAAAGTCACATCGGGTTGACCATGGCAGACCCCTTCATCATCTCCAGGAAACCCCCGGTCGGAAGCTGCAGCAGGCTGTCCAGGGAACGCCAAAGGGAGTGCCGATGGCAGTATTGGGGCGTTGGACCGGGCCACCCTCCCGCGCAGAGGATCCATTGTACAGAAGGATCCATTTATTCCTTTTTTTTTTCTTTTTCTTTTCTTGGGTGCTTCTTTTCTGGAATACAAGCTGTATATTAATTGGGATCAAAGTATGACGAGAATCGATGAATGGGTTTCTACGCAATCTTCCCGAAGCTGGATTGCCAGTTTTCACACATTATTATTATCCCATCAGGCACATCCCCGGTGGATCTGCCTGGCAGCCTTGTGGCCTGGCGGCGGAAGAACGGTCGGCCCCTGGCACGTGACCCACAACCAACTACAAAATCGCCCATTCCGCGTCGATCTCTTTACTCCCTTTCTTTTCCTTTTTTTTCCTCACATCGAAAAGCTTTAACAGAACCTGCCACGACCATCGTCCAGTTTTTTTCTATCCCACGGCGGTGTGTTGCCTTCGATCTTTCGATCGTTCGGTTCTGGAGAACAATGCTTTCCTTGATAGGAAGTTTGCCTTCCGTTGGGTCCTCTTAAGTGAGGGCGATGGAGGGTGAATGTCGATGACGGGAGACATCACTTTTTCTTACTTGCAGACTATACGATATAGAATGAATACAAATTGGTTTTGGAATATCTGAGTGTTTCTTTCCCTTGCCTGATATATGTTCGTAATCTTGGCGGGCAATCTTGCGGGTTGCCCGCCTTGCATGTTTCAAGCCATGCTGCAGTTAGCGATCGATGCTATGATGTCTTTTGTCTCTCGCCAAGGACCTGTGCAACGGCAACATCGTTATTGCGCTGAGTCGGAAATTTTTTGGGACTGTCATTCGATCAGTGGCTCTTGCAAGACACAAGGCTCTTGCATCGTGTTAAATTACGCAGGGATGATAACTTCCGGTATGCCCTGCAAGGGGTTACCAAGCTCCCCTTAGTATGAGATCGTGAGTACAGTGAGCACTCGGTACTCATACCGATCCTGGACCTTCTCGTGTTGACGTTGCTCTCAGGAATGCCAGAACGGCTGTGCGGAGCGCTTCGTGCGATGGACGAAGCCACACTGCCCACGGCCCACCACCTGATGGACCGTGTGGTTCATTCCTGGCGACATTCTCCTGACGCCTAAACAAGGCCAGGCTCTTGTTGTTTGTTTAGCTCACCAGGGGATGATCTACATGCCTCGAGTCGAAACAGGTAGGAAAGAGACTCATAAAAGGCATGAACCTTGCCGATGGAAGTAAGTACTTAATATCAAACTTCCAACGACTGACACAGGTACCGGCAATTCGTTCCTTTCTTTTTACTTCTTCATTTGTCTTTCCTTACGTTGGGCTTATAGTCCAGATTCACTCGTTAATCTGTTTAATTCTCCATAAAGAGATATCATGAAGGGTTTGGTCGGAGGAATCCCTCTTGCCCTCCTCGTCGCTGCCGTCGCCAACGGCCATGGCGAGGCGGTACAGGAGGAGGGCCCGGTAACTTTGATCGGTGGCCCCAGTGGTGACGACGGTGGGAACAGTGCTGCTATCGCGTTCGACAGCACCTACGGTTCCGGTGTGAAGGACAACTACAAGGACGACCACTCGGTTGATCTGAAGAACAATGTGGTCGGCCCCGCTCCCCCTCATCCCGCAGTGCCTGGCGTCCATAAGCGAGGCGACGGCAGCCTGACATTCTTTGATGGCCCGGCCGGCGATGACGGGGGCAACAGCGCGGGGTTCGAGTTCGACAGTGCCTATTCTTCTGTCGTGGAGGATTGGGTTAAGGATGATCACTCGGTAGACATCAAGAACACTGTGATCACTCCACCACCGCCTCCCTTTCATCCTCATCCTCCTCATCCTCCTGTGCCTGGTTTCCGCAAGAGAGGTGATCCCTCAGTGACCTTGGTTGGAGGTCCATCTGGGAACGATGGCGGCAACAGTGCTGAGATTGAATTCGATAGCTCGTACTCCTCCGGCGTTAAGGATGCGTACAAGGACGCCCACTCCGTCGACGTCGACAACCATATCGTCAAACCTGCCCCAGTTCCCGGTTCCTATAAGAGAGATGGGGGTGACACCACTTTCATTGGTGGTCCATCCGGTGACGATGGCGGCAACAGTGCTAGCTTTGAATTTGATAGCTCATATGCCTCCAGCGTGAAAGACTGGTATAAGGATGATCATTCCGTCGACATCAAGAATCATGTCGTCCAGCCTCCCCCAGTTCCAGGTTTCCGCAAGAGAGAAGGCGGTGACACCACTTTCTTTGGTGGTCCATCCGGCGACGATGGCGGCAACAGTGC